CAGATTTGGTTCTAGGTAAGAGCTAGATTTCAGAAAGGTTTAAGTTCAAGTGAAAGATCAAACGAAGATGGACCTAGGAAAGGTTTAGAGCATGGAAGTTTTGGTTTAAAGAAAGAGAGATGCTATACAAGTTGCTGAGTTGCATATAATGGGATAGCAATTGCAAGTTAGGAGTTCAAAGCACCATTATCAGTGTTTGATTAAATTGGTAGAGAGTTTGAATTGTTGCAGTAGTTGATACTTTATCAGGTGTGTGCTTTATCAATGGGAAGAATTGGAGAAGTTAGAGAGAGCAACAATTGTTGTTGCAGCTGCTTAAGATTTAGAGTCAGTTGAGGTGTTGCTCAATTGAGAACAAAAAATGACATGGAATTTATCATTTCTTGAGAAACAGGTGAATTATATGATACGAGAAGGTTTATTTTGTTGTTGGAAAGGAATTAAGGTTCGGGATATGAAATAATTATTTTGGAAGTTGCTGAAGTTGCATGTAACGACTTAGTAATTGCAACTGAGAATTTTGAAGTGTCAATAACAATGACGAATGAGAAAGCTAAAGCTTTGAAGTGATAGCCTTAGTTGATACTGGGGCAAACGTCGGTGGGAAGAGGCAGAGATTTGAGAAAAATTGAAACAGAGTTTTCGGTAGTAAAGATTGCTTTAACATATCAGGATGGAAATAAAGAGTTGATTGATTAAGAAAGAAATTATGAAATAGGTTCATTAAGTGAGAAAGATAACAGTGTTACGATGCTTATTAAAACTCAATATGAAGTTGATGCTAGTGCATTGAAGTTAGCACAGGAACATCAATTACGAAAATTACAATCAATAATTTGGTGATTTTGGTGAGAATGAAAAGTTTAAATATATGCTCGTATATGGGTTAAGAAAAACTAAACTTGAAGTTCAAAGAAGGAAAGATAAAGAATGCTGCTCATGAAATAACAACTCAACTCCGTATAGGTGATTTAGTATTAATCTGGGATAGACCAATAAAGAAACCAATGGGACCAATAATGAAAAAGCTAGATGTCAGATAGGCTGAACCATAAAAAATTGCAAACAAAGGAGAAATAATAATATAAAATCGCAAACAAAGATCACAAATAGGCATGAATGATGCTGAAATGCTAAGTTTTAAACAAAATGTAAATATATTTAAAGATTAGAAATCCCATTGTATATAGTTTATAGGATTTTTTAGTATGATTAATCAAGATTAAATAAGACACAACAATCTCAATTCAAACGTAGAATATAAGAGCATCCTCTCGTTCCCTCATTATTAGCTCAACTGAGGAGTGCGAAGTTCCTATAAAAGTTAACATTTTTCATTAGTTGCTGCTTTTGAGTTTCAAAATTTGAATCAACTAATAATAAACCTCAATATAATGCTAGTTCAATAGTTAGACAATTAGATTTTGAGTCAAACATCAAATTTAAGACTCCTTTACTAGTGGCCAATTTGTCAAATATAAAATAATTCAAAGGAAGAGAATTAGAAATACATTAATCAGTAAAAAATCTACAATATAAAGAATACAAGCAAAAAATATAATATTAAAACTACTTAGACATGCCATATAGATCTACCACTGAGTATGAGGGTACATACCAATGATAAAAATTTTCAGCTGTCCTCATAGTTATACCTAGCACCACTACCATATACTATGCCGTACCATATAGATCTACCATTGAGTATGAGGGTACATACCAATGATAAAAATTTTCAGCTGTCATAGTTATACCTAGCACCACCACCATATACCAGCCGTACCATCTACACCTTTCATACAAGAACCAATTGCAACTTCAAGAATCCACGACTCTTTAATTAAGTCAATATTGTGTCAATTAAAAGTTGAATTATTGATACAGTTTTTGCATCTTCAATATAAGCATCTTCTATCTTCTCTAACTTTATTATTTAAAACAATCAATACCCTGAACATTGTGTTTCAATCATCTTAAAGTTTGAAGCATGATAAATCAATTCTAATAGAGCCACCAAATCTTTCCCAATACCCTCGAGCCGTCACTTACGTGACAAGTAAAGGTCCAGAAATGATGATCTATGTAAAAAAGATAGTCATACTCCTTCCTAAAAGAATCTTGACTCGGTGAATTGGTCTGGGTAGCGTAGGTGAGTTTAAGGACAGGGTTGGTGATGAAGGTGATGGTGAATAGGGGAATGGTAAGGTATTGATATGTTTTTAACATGTGAAACTTTAAAATGAAGATAGAACCAGCTTCATGATTATACTTGATGCAAATCAATATTCAACTAATACCGTTTTTTAATATTGACTTCATTCTACTTTAACAAGAAAAATTCTTCAGATTTACTGTCATACCAGCATATAAATTTGTATAAATTCAGTAAATCATCCAAGATATTGTAGATATCCTTTATCAATACTGAGTCTTTTTGAGCATATGGATCTAATGTACGATAGATTGCTTCTTCAGTGGCAGTAGCTTCCTTTTCTCCTTCTCTTTTTGGAGCTGTTGCATTGTCTTCTGTTGTACCATTTTGACTGACTTTTTCCGATGTAGCATCTACCAAAAACTTGGTTTCATTATTAGTTGTAATTAAAGCTTCAAAAGTACCTTTGTTTTCATCCTTTGTTGTTAAAACCTTATCAGCTTCTTCTGTTGTACCATCTTGATAAGGTTTTTCCGATGTAGCATCTACCATAAAATTGATATCATTGTTAATTGTAATTAAAGCTTCAAAAGTACCTTTGTTTTCATCCTTTGTTGTTAAAACCTTATCAGCTTCTTCTGTTGTACCATCTTGATAAGGTTTTTCCGATGTAGCATCTACCATAAAATTGATATCATTGTTAATTGTAATTAAAGCTTCAAAAGTACCTTTGTTTTCATCCTTTGTTGTTAAAACCTTATCAGCTTCTTCTGTTGTACCATCTTGATAAGGTTTTTCCGATGTAGCATCTACCATAAAATTGATATCATTGTTAATTGTAATTAAAGCTTCAAAAGTACCTTTGTTTTCATCCTTTGTTGTTAAAACCTTATCAGCTTCTTCTGTTGTACCATCTTGATAAGGTTTTTCCGATGTAGCATCTACCATAAAATTGATATCATTGTTAATTGTAATTAAAGCTTCAAAAGTACCTTTGTTTTCATCCTTTGTTGTTAAAACCTTATCAGCTTCTTCTGTTGTACCATCTTGATAAGGTTTTTCCGATGTAGCATCTACCATAAAATTGATATCATTGTTAATTGTAATTAAAGCTTCAAAAGTACCTTTGTTTTCATCCTTTGTTGTTAAAACCTTATCAGCTTCTTCTGTTGTACCATCTTGATAAGGTTTTTCCGATGTAGCATCTACCATAAAATTGATATCATTGTTAATTGAAATTAAAGCTTCAAAAGTACCTTTGTTTTCATCCTTTGATGTTAAAACCTTATCAGCTTCTTCTGTTGTACTATCTTGATTAGGTTTTTCCGATGTAGCATCTACCATAAAATTGATATCATTGTTAATTGTAATTAAAGCTTCAAAAGTACCTTTGTTTTCATCCTTTGATGTTACCTTATCAGCTTCTTCTGATGTACCATCTTGATTAGGTTTTTCCGATGTAGCATCTACCATTAAATGGTCAATATCTGAAGTTGAACAAAATAAAAACGAATCTTCATCAATAACATTAATTAAATCTTTTTGTTCTTTGTTAGATCCTTCACTTTTAATTACATATTTATTGTAAAATGATTTTATTTCAACTTCTAAGATTCCTATTAATTTAGTTTGTTTAGTTCTATACTGAACTAATTCATCAATTTGATTTTGTAATATATAGTTGTCGTAATTTAAAAAATGAATTTCCTGTTTGAAAAGATTGATATTATGTCTTTTATCAATCAATTTGTTTTTCAATTTTTTCATGTAATTGTCTTTGAAAATGAGTTCTTCAGTTAATGACTTGATTGTATTTTCATAATTTTGGATTTTTGAATCCTTTAAATTATTATTAAAAACTAATTGATCAATATTCTTATTTAATTGTGATTCATTTTTTTTTGACACATCTATGTGTCTCTTCAAGCATTTATTTTGACGAATTAAATTAATGTAGATATGATCTTCATACATGATAATTAATATTATTTGATGAATCCAAATATATTAAAAAAATATAATTTATTTTGTTTTGATTTTTATAAGTTTGGTACATTATACTTATTTTTGATATGCGGTAGTTCATGAACCAAAAGCCGCACAAAAAATCCTAAAAACAACAAAATGCTGCTTCTTTTATGATTGTTAGTTGCAAACCTCATCTTGTTAACTATTGAGGTACAGCTTGGATGATTTTGTTAGTTAGCTCAATCTCCTCGAGAAAAAATAACAAGAAAATTGTGATTTTTATAACAATTTTTGGTGAAAACTAAGTAATTAGTGAATACAATTCAAGTTCAAAATCTAAAATTAAAAATATATTGATATTTATGGTTTATAAAAATTAACTTATATAGCAGCTTCACAAATACAAATGATAAATCAAAATCGGTGTTCAAGCCAATTCTGTCTCCTAAAATTTGGTATTATATATAGGTGGCTTGTGATAGCCTTAATATGGTAGTTTTATTCGATGATATTACACCATTATTGAATTAGTAGTTTTGAATGTGCTCAAAAATATCATTAAAAGTGACCACAGAATAATCAAATCTTGAAAGTAACACTGAGCATAACAACAATATGAGGATTAATTGGTGGCCATAGCAAAATAAGTTGAAGCAATGATATAAAATTAAAAAAACACCTTGAAGTAATGCAAAAAAGCCAAGAGCCACTTGTTCAATAGCATTAATCATTGTTATATCAAATTAGTCTAATAAGTTATGATATCCAAGAAGTATTCTTGGGGATCAAAATACATTTTTTCTCATATGCTTTGTAATTCTGGAAAAAAACTCAACATTGTCGATCCTAAGACTGCATGTAATGAAACCAATGAATATACTTCAACATACTCTGGTACCACTTGTTTTGAATTCATTAAATTGCTACTCTTTGAAAAAATAATCTCTCATTATAATATCTTCGGTTTGGATTAACAAGCATAAGTACCAACAATTCAAATGTGTCTACTTCCATAACTTTAAATTTTATGTGACTTCTCCAAAAATGTGTTCAAGTATTCAAAACAAATAAAGCCATTAACTCATTGAATTTACACAAAATAAAAAAATTAAAAAAAGGAAAATAAAATAGATAATGGCAATTAATAATGAGATAAATTGATTGAATAGTTGTTGTGAATAATTTAAATTGACAAAAAATGAAGTTTATTTTGTAGTAAAAGCATTTGTGGTTGTGCTTGTTGATAAAATTATGTACCAAGGTTTAAAAAGATTAAATAAATTGAGGTAAGTTTGCAGATTAATAGCGAACTATATTTACCCAGTAGAACTGATTCGGGGTTTTAATACCAAGTCTGTACTTATTGAAATTAGAAGCTCCAATTGAATTAGAATCATCATTATGACCAGTTTTGTTTATTGCTTTACGCTAAACTTCTGAAATATTTTCAATGAAAAATAAAAACATCAATTGAACAGATAGTGGAAGTTATGATTCACTTGTCAAATATCTTCAAACCAAAATATACATAATTAATTTGTAACTATTGAAGTTGTTGATAATTGAACATATCATATGGAAATGAAATGACCCCTCGAGTTATTGCTATTCAATGAACAAAACGTAATGCCTAGTAATTAAGAAATTCCAGAAACGATTATTAACTGAATATGCTTTAATCAATTTCTAGTTAGTACTTTAATTGATTCATGTTGATAATTTTGATAAATTGTATTAATTTGAATGTTATGGGTTTGACAAAAATGCAAAAAAAATTGTTAATTGCTACATATAAATGTACACATTCAAATCGGGAATTTTTACCTATAATAATTTCTATTCTTTGTATTTCACGACACAATAAAATTACGACTTTCAAAATGTATTTTCCCTGAAGTGGCCAACTGGTCAGAACCTAAAAATAATCCTTGGTTCGATCCCACCAGGGGCGTCGTAAGCCTAGGAATGGAAACTTCGCCTGATCACTTCTAAGAGGGGGAGACCATGGCTGTCTGAAGAAATAGTCAAAATTAGAAAAAAAAAAAAAAAAAGACAAATAGAGATACGTGGTTTTTAGGTCGAGTAACGTTGCTGAAATGAGTCCGATGCAGGATCAACAATTGGTCGCTGAACATAAAGTTATTTTCCACGTGAAGTGCTTTCGTCTCCATGAGCTTAGGAGGCCTACATATAATCTTAGTTATAGTATATAATTAATTTGAATATATGTTGATTTTAGGAAAAAAAAAAAAATGTATTTTCATGTTCAGGATTATTAGAACTATGGCAACAGACAGAAATAGAATCCAGAAGTGTGATAACTATAATCTGTGATGAATCATTAACTAAAGAAAAGTATATTAAGATCAATAAGTTCATAGAGATAGCATTTACTAAAGTGCTTAAAAAACGACGACGACACAATCAAATGATGGAAAATAACCAAAACCCTATTCATTTGTTGCTGTCTCATGAACAGAATAATATAATTAACACTGAGAATTGAAGATCAAAATAATAATTAAAGATTGAAAAAAAAAAAAAAAGCAAAAAGCTCCAAGTGAGGGCCACAATACACTGGTTTTTACTAGCTAATGGGATGAAGTTTTTATCATTATTAGCAAGTTTTTGTACCATTTATATTACCTTTCGATACCATTAGGTTAGGTATCCTACATTTCTCTATGTATAATTTTATATCTAGAATAAATGTTGATTTCAGGAAAAAAAAAAAATGTATAATTGATTTTAAATTTAGAATAAATGTTGATTTTAGGAAAAAAAAAAAAATTATTTTATAAGAAAATATTAATTTAATTCAACTTTTGATTTCTCGTTGTAGTTCTCGCTCAGTATATTTTTTCTTATCCGGCAATCGCATTATTTTCAACCCAACGTTGCGACCCATTTTAATTCATTAGCGAGAAAAACAAAAATTAAATTTTAATATATGATTTTATTTTAGTTTAATTTCTTAATAATATTTAAATTTCCACTTCTTCATAAAATAGTTTAAATTTGAGAAGATACGGCATCAAATTACAATAATATATAAAAATTCTTACAACCTATTGTTTCAACTAAGCCAAGATTTTGAAGTTCCGGCCAAATTAAGAAAGAAGAATTGATGTTGATGGGAATTGTATGAATCGAAAATATTCTAAAGGCATAAAATTCTATTGTCCATGTCAAATTCACAATTTGGTTTACATTTTAATTGAATATGCTATCCACTAAATAATTTAAGGGCTTGTGGCACAAATCTGTATTATATACAAATAAGATATAGAGATACGGCATTAAATTAAAGTCATTATTCTCAATCAATTTAAAAATATATTAAAGTACATATTAAAATTTTGATCAAGAAAAGAATGGTATATTATTTTTATAAATCACCAAGTTCTTATACCTCAATTTTTGAATAACTTTTAATAGGATGAAAGTTACAGATTTGATAATTTTATTATTCATTAGCATTGTTTCAGCATCAAAATTAACTGATAAATTATTTAAAGAAAAGAATCATATTGTTAATGGTGAGAGGAATGCTTATGTTTGTACCGCTGGTGTTGGAATGATGGCTGCTGGAGTAATTGCTTATGTTCTTGATAATAGAGATTTTACATTTGAATCATTTAGCAAAATAAGTAATGTTTAAATCAATCAGAAAAAAATCATGATAAATTGAATAACATAGATTCTGGTGAAAATTCATCTTTTCAAATTGGAAAAGAAGACGCTATGATTTCAAAAGATCATCTGAATGGTAAATTACCCGGTATTTCTGCTGCTGGAGGAATTGTTTCATTTGGTGCATGCATTTGCAAGAGTTTTTGCTAAGAAGTGAAGTTTGAGAATTTACTAAGTTGCCTTTAATTTTTATATTTTGTAAAAGAGGTTTGATAAAATAGATCTTCTTAGTACATACTTTGATTTAATTTCAATTCACATATAATTATTTTCTTCACTAAACTCTTTACTTTCTAATTTACCGTTTAATAAACCTTTCACTAGTTTTTCATCACAATTCTTAGTGATAAAATCTTTAGGTTGTCATTTGTAAAAATTAGATATAATTGATTTTACATGATAATGTATTCGAATTAATAAAGATATTGTTTCAACATAATGCGTTTTCTAAATTACTCTACATTTTAAAACCAATTTTCCTGAATTATTTATTTCCAATTCTTAAAATGATTATTAAAGATAATTATTAGAGAAATACTAAGTAAGAAATTATAATTTGATCTGTACAGACTTTGACTCATGAACCTTCGATAGCTTAATCCACAGGTTTTTTTGGATTTCAAGCAGGAATAAAGAGTGAGTTATGTAATAAATTAAAAACTAGATTCAAATATGATGAAAATTAATATTTTGAAATTAAGCCAATTTTTTTCATTTAGATTCTGCAGAAGTACGATAGGTGCTAGTTTTAGATGAACAGATTCAGTGTAGATTAAAAACAAAACCTTCCTTCAGAATTTCAGATCAAGCTATTGCTATGCAATATTAAAATATAAGTTTCTAAACAAATTTAAATCGCAGATCAAATATACTTTTTCATTATTTACTTGATTCGGTCATAATCTCATTAAAAAAAGAAAGTTTTGAATTCGCCTTTGAAGTTAATATATTGCCGGAATTTTCAATTAATACTAAAAAAATCTACAAACTAACTGTTATTTCCTTACTAACAAATGTTAAGTAAATTTAATTCATAAAAGATTGCACGGATCGTACTTTGTAAAGCCTAAATTTGTGGCATAAAAGAAGCAATGAATTATTTCACCAATATTATGTAAATTTAAAAATTCTATTATCTTGTTAAATTTATAGTTATTCATCAAAATACAAACATTTCTACCAGCAAAACCAAGGTACCCTCAAAAATTAACTTACTGAACATTAATATTTGATAATTCTGATATCATTAAATTTAAAATATGAAGATGATTTAAATTTTCATTTTCAGGTTTAATTAATGAAGAATATTGAATACTTTGAATAGCTCCAAAACATTCAATTATTGTACAAATAATTTTAGGATTTTTAATCATATATTTTAATTCATTTTCGTTTAATAGTTTAAAATTAGGTCCAGTATTTTCTAAATTCAATAATTTATAATCTCTTTTATTTAAAAATGGACCAATAAATGTAATATAAAATGATTGTAATAAAAATTCATCAAACTTTGGCAAATTGGAATCACTTTGAAAAGTATCTTCTTCATTATGATTGTTTAAATAAAACTCTAATGGTGTTAATATTTGAAGTAATTGGAATCTAATTTTTGTATTATAATAAATCCATGATTTTGACAATAAATTCCACTCATGTTGTAGTTCTTCAGTTTCACTCACAATTTGTTTTTTATTTTTATTAAGTATTTCTAATTTAATTAATTTTGACATATCTGATTTTAAATATTGCATACCTTGATTAAGCATTGACAGCAATTCATAAATAACCTCTTCAGTTTTTAATATTGTGAAGTTTTCTTCTTCAATTTCATTCTGTTCTTTCATTTGTTGGTTTTGCTTGTGATGTTTCACACTAAGCTTATTATTTTTAGATTTAGATTTGATTGATTTAGGATTCATTTCTTTTACAAGTTCTTTTCCAGTTGTTAAATTTTTAAAATGATCTCTTATCACTAATCCAAACTCTTCTAAAGAAAAACCAGTACTTGGATATTGTAAACCATAATCAAATAGACCTTGAGTTGATGGTGTAAATATATGTTTAAATAAAAGCATAAATTGCCTATGGGCTCTATCAACTTCTTTATCTGTAATTTTATTGTCCAGATCTGTTACAATACCTAAACCTAATTCTGGTTGATTATGTTTATTTAATTTATTTTGAATATACAGATCAGCTGGGGTTGACATTTTTTTATGAATATCCAAAAAAGATTTATGATCTGTTATTCCATCATATTCATCATTGGTATAATTAGGATTTGTAAATTTAAAAAGCTTTGCCAGTTGAGGATTAGTTATAGTTGAATTTGAATTATTTGAGGATAAACATAAACCAGTTCTCAGTTGACCAGAATATAATTGATCATCAATATTTTTCCCATCTAATTTATTGGAACTGGATGATTTATGAAATAAATTCAGAATACTAGTAACTGGAGAATTAATTGAATTTTTTCTAGATTTGACACTACCCAGCAAAGAAGGACTTTTGTCTGAAGTTTCTGGTTTCAATATAGTTTCAGTAGTTGATTGTTGTTTCTTCTTAATTAATCTTAATGATGAATGTTTTCTTTGAGTTGTAGTTGAGGAATCAATTGCACGATCTGAACTTAGTGAATCTACATCAATATAATTTGCTCCTGAAAAAGGTTTATCAGCTATATTAGTTAAAGATCTTTTTCTTGAAAACAATTTAGATAAACCTTTTGATTTAGTTGTTGAAGCACTAATATTTGAAAGTTGTGAAGTACTTGTGTTAATGTTATTTAGATTACTAAAATCAACATCATTAATTGGATTTGTTTGTATTGTAGTATTTGGAGCAGTTGTAAGTGCATTTTCTATTAATTTTGAATCATTGTCATTTAAAGGTAATGATGAAGTACTATTAATTGTACGATTTTCATTTTGGTTGTGATTGTTGAAGTAAATACTTTCGTTCATTCAAAATTGAATTAAACTTGATTATTATTATTATTTTGTATTTATTATAATTAATATCATAAGCTTGTTACTGATTTATTTAATAATCTAGATGTATTGAATAATAAGTAATATTGTATTATAAGGGAATTGTTAACAGCTGTTGTTTTTTCTGTCGTATGAATTTAATCAAATCAAATATTAATATATTGAATGTAATATGTAAAATATTGTACTACCAAGAGTTGAATATTGAATTGGTGGAAACTCGATTAATCTAGGTTTTTGTGTAATCACCATACCATTATATACAGTACGATTGTAAAACAAGGTTTTAACATTTTTGAAACAAAAAAGATGAAGATTTGTATAATTTAACTTTAATTAATTTTATGAAATATGATTATGAAATATTTAATGATATATTAAAATAAGAAAAGTAACAATTACAAAATAAAAATCCAATTTATTTTGAAATGAAAAATTTCCAGAAAGTAAAAGGAATCTTGAGTGGTTTCTTAATTGACTTTTAATTTTGAAACCAAATTTCTTATATCTCATAATTGATGTTGATTAAAAGAGTTGAAAAAAAGTAAGGTTGTCTTTGATATACATGAATGAAAATTTGCACTATTATCGATCCTGCTGCAGTCGTCTTTCAATTTGTCTTTAATAGATCGAAAATGAAGTTTTATTTGGACAATTGTTGCTAATACTTAATTTATGTTTTGCAACCGAATGTGTATATATTAAAGTTTTTTGTCAATCTAAATTAAAGCACACTATTTATTTAAACCCAAATATTTCTTATAATTATTAAAGTATTCATGCTGTTTAATTTATTATTTTTAAGTCTGAAGTGATCTGGGAAAAATTTATAATACCCAATAATTCTTTTCTGATCAAACGAAGAAAATTTAATATGGATAGCATACTATTTTGGAGCATTTACATTTTACTTCTGCATCCTGCCTAAAGTATAAAATATCTATATCACTAAACTATTTCTTACAAAATACTGTCATTCACTTTAAATACGCTTTCTACGGAGATATCAATCAATATATATACATACATTTCAATCCGGTTTGTTATAAGTAAATATGTGAAATATATTTTACAATATGGTAAGGTGCAAATACACATACATTGAATTACTTTTAAGAATAATCCAGTAAGCAAATGCACAATTTCAATTGTTGATAATACTCACTACAGAAAAATAAATTTGAAAATGAATGTGCAAAATATTCATGACAAAATTTAAGTGATAATTGAAAAAAAAATTAAAAGAATATTTCTTTATATTTAGATTAGATGGACACTTAATAAACATATAAAGTATTGAAAAAAAAAAAAAAGAATATAACAGACTAGTATCATATAATTTATGCTCAAAAATCTTTTGATAATGTAATAAGTACTCGCTACCAGTTTGGATCAATAAAATCATTATTGGCAATTAACATCTGTACTACAATAATAATTCATAATAATAATAATTAATAATAATAAATAATAATTTATAAAAAATACAAAAATTAAAAAAATGGATGGCAAAAATTAAAATAATAATAAATTTAATATTTTGATACATGTTCATCTTCCAAATTTGATGATTTAGCTTTTACCTTGCTTCATGAGTTTGAATTTCTACTAGTTGACCAACTTTAAAACTACCAACTTTAAAACTTGCATCTACCATATTAAGTGCTTCGTCTTATTGTTAATCAATAATACTGGATTCATTTTGTTTTATCAAACTAGATTATTTAGTTTGATAATTATGATTTGTTTTTATGTGTTTGTATTTACAATTAATACAATAATTAATGATTTACATAATGAAATTGATTAATACATAATACAATATGAAATAATATTAAATTGAACTACTTACACTTAGAAAATTTACCTAGAAGGACAAGTTACCCAAAATGACAACTATATAGACTGTAATATATGTAACATGTATATTGTATTTAAATTTGTAGTTTTTAATCTCTTTAAAATTCGGTTGTTGGTTATTCATTGGATCAAAACTGAAAAGTCTTCAAAATTAGTTTAATTCATCGCTTTCTCAAATCAATACTAAAATATTAAAGATTTAAAGAGGGGGCATTTAAAAGGCACAGCTATTCAAGAAATTGTGCCTGAAGTAATATATCTTTGTGGATCAAACACTTTTGCTGGTTAATTGATTTCAACTACTTCGTTAAAAATGCAAAAAAATAATGCAAAATTCAAAACATCTAAAATTTTCACTCATTTTGCAGCTATTATTAAAACCGATTCGCTAACAACACTTCAAAGCAAGGGGTTAATATATCCCAGTGTTTAATACTTGTTATTATCTCGACCACTAACATTTATGTGTAAGAGTTGCAAATTATAAATGGTCTTCTATTTAATCGTCAATTTGTGGTAAATTGAGTAAATTTTTCTCCCTAAATTAGCGAGAAGTTCGACGTAGGACTCCGATTTTTGTTTACTCTTTGATCGCATAATCTCCAAAATTTTTATTGTATCATCAAATTTATAAACATTCGTTGATTCTAACCTCCTAAATTCTGAAACTTTCTAGTTATTAATTGTAAATTAATAGTTTTAATAAACAGTATAATTCATTTAAACGATCACAACTAGTCATTATTGGTCATAGAGATTAAAGATCAATTATCCCAAACGGATTTCCACCGATGTAGTTTCGATAATTTCAAGTAGAGCGTACTTATAATGCAATTTTACGGAGCTGGTTTTATTTAAATAATGTGGTCACAGGAAAATATGTATTCTAAATTTGAATTATAAAACGTCCAACGAATTTAATACTAAAACAGAAAAACAAAACAATGAGTCTACATCAATATAGTTTGCTCCTAAATAACTTTTATCAGATATATTAGTTAAAGATCTTTTTCTTGAAAATAATTTAGACAAACCTTTTGATTTAGTTGTTGAAGCTCTAATATTTGAAAGTTGTGAAGTATTTGTATTAATTTTATTTAAATTACTGAAACCAATATCATTAATTGGATTTGTTTGTATTGTAGTATTAAAAACAGTTGTATTTGCATTTTCTATTAAGTTTGAATTATTGTCATTTAAAGACAAGGATGAAGTACTATGATTTATTTGATGATGAATAGCATTTAAAATTTGTTCTAAAGGTATTTCATCCCCAGCTTCTCTTACTTTTTGACTTAAAGCTGAATTTTCTAATTCTCCCTTCTGAACTCTGGTGTTGATAAGATACCAAAACTGTTCAATTGAATTAAGCTCTGGGGCATAGGGTGGTAAATATAAACATTTGTAACCTCTAGATTAAATTATTCTTGAAGTACCATCATTTTTGTGGATGGGAGCATTATCCATAACTAAATATGCACCAGATAATTCAAAAAATTCATCAAGAACATCCATCACCTTCCATAAAAACCTTTTAGAATGACCAGTAATGTACATTTTGAATTATCAGCAGATTCAATTTTTTGAACGACGAGTCCATTTACTACATTTTTTGACAAAATTTAAGTATACATTGATAATACAAACTTATGACATTTATTTAAATACAAAACAATCTTATAAATTACTTTTTATTTTTATTCATCATCTATATCTTCATATTTTTCTATCCTTTCTTCAGCTTTTGCTTCATCTTTAATTTTAATACCACCGCTTACAGAGAACTGACCACCAGCACCAATCATTTCAATATCTTCATTTTTTGTTGCTGTATTAACAATTCTTGTGGGTACTTCAACATCATCATCTAAATTACCTAAACCTGGTGCATAAGTTTCTGAAAATCCCCAAGCATATACAAAACCATCATTTGTAACAGCAAATGAATGGTGTGAACCAACTCCTATGTCTTTAATTAAAACTTCCCCAGTTTTACCAAACTTTAATTTTGTTGGAATTGGCACTGATCTTGGTTTACCATGTTGATCTTTAAATGTTGATTTTGGTAATTGATCTTCTGGTATACCAACCTCTTTCATATCATATCTACCCCATGCAAGTACTTCACCTGATCCAGTTAATGCTAATGTATGATGCTCTCCAGCTGCTATCTTTGTAATACCTAAATTACATAATTCTGGAATTAATGTTGGCTTTGTTAATATAGATCCATCTTCTAATTCACCATTTGAACCTGTAACTGCACATTGTCCAAATTGATTAAGACCCCAAGCATACACTTTATCATTATGATCGATGGCAAAACAATGAAAATCCCCACTAGCTACATATTTTATATTATATAAACCAAATTGTTGAGGTTCTAAAGATCTGAAACGATGTCTTTCCAATATTCTTCTACCTAATTGAAATTGTTGTCCATTACCCCAAGCAAATACTATACCTTTTGAATCCAATGCTAGTATATGATCTTTACCTGATGCTAATTGTACAATATTTTTCAATTCTGGTATTTTCATAGGAGTTTTTTGTATTTGAATTTCACTTCTCAAAAATCCTAATAAACCTTCATTACAACGGAAACATCCCCATGCATAAACATCACCATTTGATAACAATACAGCACTTAAATTATCAGTTGCTGCCAATTGTATAATTTTTTCTTCTTTAATATTTAAATTTTCAACCAATTTGGGAGTTGACTCAGCTTCATTTAAATCACCATCTTCATCATCACTATCACTTGCATCCATATCTTTTAGTACAACTTTTGAATCCGAAGTATCTCTACCTAAAACTCCACTATCATTTGTACCCCAAGACCATATTCTATTTTTACCATCTAATGCTAAAGTATGCATACCACCAACTGCAAAATCAACTATTTTGGTGCCACCTAATTTCTCTTCAGTTAAATATGGATTTAATCTTGGTCTTTTAACTTCTTTAGTACTTGCTGATGGACCTAACCCTAATTCACACATTGAACCCGAACCCCATACAAATATATCAAGACCTATATTCTTGGGTTTTGGAGTTTCATTAATATTAGGTAATTTTGAATATGAATGTAGTATAAATGATGATGTTACTAATGATGATTTTAATTTTTTATGTTTACCATTTGATAATGAATCTTCCGATTTTCTCTTTCTTTCTAATGCAACCATAATATTCAAAAAAGCTCAATTGTTAATGCAATAAGACTTTGAAAGTAAATGTGGTAGTATAGTGCAATGTATATTGTAATCAAGAGAATATTAAAGATGATTTATTTGATTTGATCTCGCAACTAGTAAAAATACTTTATTATTTATTCTAAGTTTTCTTGAAATACTAAGAAATCGCGTTTGTCGTGAATAGCTTTGATGACATATTTCAATAAACGACACTTTCGGAGTTTTATGATTAATTTCGAACAATAAATATTTCGATCTTAAGTTTATTGTTTATTTGTTTCAGTGTACCTATAGAAACAATCCTTGGTCTGGTATCACTTTTAATAGAGCAGAAATAATTTTAAACAGATTGTAAATGAGTATAATGATTAATGTTCTTGCTGTATTATATATATGATGATTGATAATACAGGAAAAAGTATTAACCGTACCGCAGTTCGACCCAGATTTGTAAAATATATTTTTGTTCATATAGATCATACCTAATATATTTATAATTATTTTTTGAGTTGTTTAGAACAAGATTTATCTTCTGCTACTTGTTCTAAGCTCATAGCTACTCATGTGAGTGACTTAGACGCATTACTAAATATCTCAACAACCAAAGGAGATTATTAAGAACTAGTGCATAAAGAGTAGAATAATCGTGTTCAATACTAACATCGAGAACATTGCAGTCATTTGAATTTTTATATTAGGTTTTCTATATCTAGTCTATTTAAATATAATCATTATCCTATAGTAAATAAAGGGTATCAATCAGTTAAAGTTTAATTGTATATTTCAATTAATTCATTATATTATGAGACGGTACAGTATATCCTTGTCTTTTACTGACCCATTTACTTTTCACTTCCACAATACTTCTTGCATAATTTTGAATTAAATATCCCAAAGATCCCAAAGCTCTGAACAAAGATAGTATTGCAACAGTCCATAATATAAATGCCAAATAAATATTTTTTGCTGTATCTCCTGGTTTATATACTTGTACCATAGTCATTATAAAGACTAAATTTGCAATTAGCCAGGATAAAACTACTCTTGTACGTACATCTTTGGCATAATCATCACCATCTAGTACAGCTCTTGGCTTTTTTGTTGGTTTCATCTTTTTACCAGATCTTTTAGCACGAATATTATAAAGTGACTCAAGATAAACTTCATCAATATTTACATCCATTACAATTGCTTCATATTCACCTTCATCATTTTGTTCAATAATATACTGATTTGACTTATCTTCTTGTGGATTATTATCACCTTTTGTACCCCAAGAAACATCATGAGTATTACAAAATGCAAATATTTGTAATGTACAAGTATATGAAGGAATCATTAAAAAATACTGTAACAGACAAGTAAACATATGCCAAGGATCCAAGTATAAGAAAGACATTAGGGTGTATAATCCATAAGTTGAAAGCAAAGATACCACAATACTGATTAATACATATGTTGAAGTACCACCATCAACTCCAAATTGTTGGATTGTTGTGATGACAAATACAAGACCAACAATTAAAGCATATAATGCACAAATAGTTAATAAAATAATTAAAGCTTTGAAAATATTCTTAGATGCATGTGGTCTATTACCAATTGAAACAATAAATAATGATGTTAAAACACAAATACATAAGTAGTTGAATAATGTAAAAATCCAAAATCCTCCATTATGACCAATGTTTTTATAATGAACAAGTGAACCAGTTAAAAAATAAAATGTTAAATAAAAATTACTTAATGAAAAGAATGAAAAAACCAAGGTAATTGTTTGATATATAAATTCAACTTGAAGCCAAAATTTTCTTGCATAAGAGTGATCAGTATACCAAATTTTATTTGAGTGATATAACGAATACAAAGCAGCAAAAAATGCACCATTTATCCAACGTCTTCTTTGTGCTAAAAATTCTGAAATTGTTTCTGGTACATCAGTTTCTCCAGTTGCCAGCTTAACAAATTTTAAAACCCAATTATCATTTTTTTTAGAAACTAATTCCCAACATAATATACGATCTTCCGCTAAATACATATTTGCTTCAAAAAAATTGGTTTTAGTATTTTCTTTGTCTTTTTCATGAGATTTTAATAGATCTTCACCTTTAAAATATGATGCTAATGGACCAGTTCCATCTTCATGATTTTTTAATGCAATATAACGATAAGCTGATAAAGCACCTGGTAAAACTGAAATATAACCAAATAATGATTCTAATGGTTTATCCAATATATTTGATAATTTATATTCAAAATTTTGAGAAGCAACTAATGGATTTGTTAAGTTTATCCAACCTTTACCTTTAATAGCTTTAATTTCTCCTGCTGCTCCAGCAACATTTGAATCTTTATCAAAAGCCTTCCATAAATTATAAATTGCATGATTATCTGGTTTGGTACCTACATCTAATAAGATTATCACATTTGGATCTAAAACTGGACAAAATGCATTAAATAACCATCTGTGTGAATTTATTTTTTTTTGATTTTGTTCTTTTAAACAAAATAATACTTGCACTGGAGCTAAATTTTTTTCATCACCTTTAAATTTTAAATTTTCATCAATTGATATTTGTGTAGTATATTCAAAAAGATGAGCATTAACTTTATTATTATTTACATAAGGACGTGATAAATTATCTTGATAACAACCAGTTGCCGTTAATAGTTCTAATACAGAATCATTAACTTTATTTCTACCATCAGCAACTATTATAACTTGAATTTTCTTCCAACTATCTTTTCCCCAAACTTTTGATTTATGTCTTGAACACAAATGAGCAACATTTTTCATAACCCCATGCATTGTTCTTGCAAATGCAAATTCATCTTCATTATACATCGTAATACAAATAACAATCTCAGTTTCTCTACCATATTTTGCAGCTCTTAATGTGAACCCATCTTCAACAAAATTATCTGGATTTGAAGTACATGCAGTATATGTCATATTTGTAAATTCTCCAAATGGTGATTCAGTTCTTGTTAAAACTTTTCTTAGTTCATTAGGTATAGGATTTTCCAATACTAAATTTCCAGTTTTACCACCAACTATCCGAACTTTTCTTTTTGTTAAAAATTTGTTTCTATTTGGTACATAACCTTCCTCTATATTATGCTCTACATTTTGCATTATATTTCCATCTATGGATTGTCCAAAATATTGTGATTCATCAGTTGGATTAGATAGGTAAGAACTACCACTATATGCTGTTGATTCTGAATATAATGATTTTGATTCAGCGTGTCCATATAGTTTTTCATCCAATTCTTGGTTGTTTATATAATGTTCATTTAATGTATTTTGATCATCGTTATTATTAGATTTTTCAAATGTTTCTGGTGAAAAAATTGGTTTTGGTGGATCTAAATATCTTTGACTACTAATTGTACTTTCTTGTAATGAATTTCTTATTGGTGACCCATTAAGAGTTGATTCGTATTCTTGATGATCTTCATTTAAGTTGTTAATTGATACTTCAGTATTTCTTATTCTTTTGGGTGATTCTTTTGATGCATACTGAGCTCTCGGCGTTGAATCTAAATTGTTATTATGATTGTTTAATCCATTAAATTCCAAAATTGGAGTAGTTCCTATAAAGGGTGAATTTTTATAATTGTTTGCTTTAGATGTACTTTTTGAGAAAATATTTGGAGACAGTTTATTACTATTATGATTTTGATATCCAATTTCTGACGTAGGAAATCCTACAAATTCTTCATTTTGTTTAGTTTTGTTGTTGTGTTTGTATACTTGATTAAATTCTTCATCATCACTATCATCTAATGGCTCATACCTTTTTGATTTTTTATAATTATTTGTATATGCTGAAAATGGTACTTTTGGAATTGAAAAATTAGATTGATTTGATTGATGACCATTTTCATCATCTTCAAAGGGGTTATTCATTTTGCTTGAAAGCTAGTGTGATTTTGAAATAAAGCAAACAGTTTATCAAATATTAGTTGCCAGATATTTTAGTTGTGGTTGTAATAAAGTGGACTAAGATGATGTAATTGACGTTAAGGTAATAATTGAAAAAGTCAATTATACTTTGACTTGGTGTATAATAAAGTATTAGCCTTTATTTTAAAAATCAAACTTTAACTTTAAAGTATGATATAAGATAAATTCAATTAATTAATTATAATAATAACTGGTTTTTTGAACAAGAAAGAACAATTTCTTATAGACCTCTCATTTAATAATGAAAATTACAAATATAAACAAAAATTGAAATAAAAATCAAATTAGGATAAAATCATAACATTACACAAAATTATTACTGTTGATAAAAATTATTTGAAACATTCACACAAAAACAATCATTTGGACCAAATACATTTTCTGAATTGCAAGAATGTTAGAGAAAACGAAGTGAAACATAAAGTCAATCTAATCATTTCTTGGACGTTTATTTAGAGTAGTAGAGATATTTATAGTATCACTGTGGTAGTCAAATAACCATATTATGTATAAATTTATTTATAATTTTGTTTAGAATTTGATATTAAATATTGATCAGCACAAGCTTTTAAACCTAAATTAAGATAACAATCATCTTTAGTTAATTTTTGTCTAGTTAATGGATCATATTCATTATTACTAAGATGTTGAAATAGCCATGATCTTTCAAATGATTGTCCCGAAGGTGTTATAACTGGATCATGAAATATATTAAATGAAATTGGATCACATAAATAATCTGGAGGTTCTTCATCATTTAAGTCTTCTTCTTCTTCTTCAATTAAGCTACCTTCAGATTGTGTACTAGAATGATCTTTTGAATGATACATTTCAAACATTTCTATTAATTCTTTAATTTCTGTATTGTATTGAATTGCATGCTCAGTTATGGCATGATCTAATACTGATTTATCAACATCTTTTGATAGTATTTCTTTTAATTTTTTTTCATAATCAACTTGTAAAAGATAAACTATTTTATTAAAAAATTTATTAGTTTCATTGAATCCTCGCAGTTGAGTTTTGGTATCATTATTAATATTATTATTATTATTATATTGAATAGTTTTTAATTTTAAAATTTCTTGATATATTTCTTGTGGTAACAGATACAGTTTATAACTTTTTGCCTTTGATAATGACTTGATATATGTTTCATTTAATAATTTTAAACCTTTTTCTTTTCTTTTATAACAAAAAGCTTGAGTTAATGCATTATAAAAACTTGCATCATAATTATCTTTATCTAGTTCTAATGCAGTTGTACAATCATCAATAATTTTTTTCCATTGAATTTGACTTGGATTTTCAACATTCTTTAAGTTTAAGTAATATGCTTTTGCTCTACTTGAAAATAATTTTGAATTATATGAATCATTCTTTATAGCTAATGTATAATAATTTATAGCTGATGGATAGTTTCCTTCTAACATCAGTTCTAATCCCTTTTCTTTATACAGCATTATGATTTAAAAAAATTTTGATTGATAAGTAAGACTTGATAAGGCGTTGATGGAGATGATGGTATGTAGTAAATCAAATGACAATGATAATAACTATATTCAAATCCATTCATGTATAATGTTAATGACTGTTTCAAATGATTAATTAAATTCAATTCTAATAAATAAATTTCGATTTCATAAAATAAAATGAGAGAAAAAACTACAGTAACAACCATTAACTTATAATACAATATTACTATCATTCAATACATCAATTATATAAATTATTAAATAAATCAGTTACAAGCTTATGATTTTAATTATAATAAATACATAATAATAATCATAATAATCAAGTTTAATTCAATTTTGAATGAACGAAAGTATTTATTCCAACAATCACAACCAAAATGATAATCATATAATTAATAGTACTTCATCTTTGTCTTTAAATGACAATAATTCAAAATTAATAGAAAATGCAAATACAACTGCTCCAAATACTACAATACAAATAAATCCAATTAATGATATTGATTTTAGTAATTTAAATAAAATTAATACAAGTACTTCACAACTTTCAAATATTAGTGCTTCAACAACTAAGTCAAAAGGTTTATCTAAATTATTTTAAAGGAAAGGATCTTTAACTAATATAGTTGATAAAACTTATTTAGGAGCAAATTGTATTGAGGTAGATTCATTATTTTGTTTTTCTGTTTTAGTATTAAATTCGTTGGACGTTTTTTAACTCAAATTTAGATTACATATTTTCCTGTGACCACCTTATTCTAAATGAACTAGCTCCGCAATATAAGTACGCTCTACTTAAATTTATCGAAACTACATCGGTGGAAATTCATCTGAGATGATTGATCTTCAATCTCTATGAACCAATTATGACTAGTTGTTATCGTCAAAATGAATTACACTGTTTATTACAAAAGTATTAACTTGCACTTAGTAATTAAGAATCTAAGAAGTAACGTAAAATAAACGAATGTTTAAAATTTGATGATACAATAAAAACTTTGGAGATTATGCGATCAAAGAGTAAACGAAAATCAGAATTCTACGTCGAACTTCTCGCTAATTTAGGGAGAAAAATTTACTCAATTTACCCCAAATTGACGATTAAATAGAAGACCATTTATAATTTACAACTCTTACACATAAAACTGTTAGTGATCGAGATAATAAAAAGTAGTAAAAATTGGGATACATCAACCCCTTAATTTAAAACCAGTATTACCAGTGAATCAGTTTTAATAATAACTGCAAAAAGAGTGAAAAATTTAGATTTTTTAAATTTTGCATTGAGTTTGCATCATTGTTAACGATGTAGTTGAAATCAATTGACCAAAAAAAGTGTTTGATAAACAAAGATTTATTACTTCAGGCACAATTTCTTCAAAAGCTGTGCCTTTGATGACCCCCTCTTTAGATCTTTAATGTTTTAGTATTGATTTGAGAAAGCGATGAATTAAACTAATTTCGAAGACTTTTCAATTTTGATCAAATGAATAACCAACAACTAAATTTAAAGAGATTAAAAACTACAAATTTGAAAATATCATAAATTTTACATATATTATAACCTATATAAACACCAACAAACAAAAACAAGTTTTAGTGCAGGATTAAAGCATTCAACAAAAAATAATTCTAATGATAGTTTAATCATTAAATATTGTATTAATTATAAATACAAACACATAAAAACAAATCATAATCATCAAATTAAAAAATTTGATAACTACAACATGAATCCAATTAACAACGTGACATACCAATTAGAAAAGTTGAAGCAAATCCGAATACTACTGCAGCTGTCAAAATAAAAGCTAAACTACATCAAAATTGGAAGATGACCATGTATCAAAATATTAAAATTATTATTTTAGTTTTTGCCATCCATTTTTTTTATTTTTTTCATTTTTATAAATTTTATTTATTATTTGTTATTATTATTAATTATTATTGTAGTACAGATGTTAGTTTCCAATATCAGTTTTAATAATCTAAATTGGTAGCTAGTACCCTTACTGTTTTTTTCTTAAATCAACATACATTTAAATTATATAAACTATTATATAATATAGTGTGTATGCTGCCCCTCTAGGTAGAAGACGATCACCTCCGATTGACTTTGGACAAAACTGTTATAGCCATTGAATAGTAACAATGAGATGAGATTGTTTTACTCTATATAATGATATAATATTACACAAAAACCAAAATTAATTGAATTTTCACCAGTTCAATTCTTAGCTCTTGGTAGTACAGTATTTACATACATTCAATATATTAATATTTGATTTGATTAAATTTATATGAAAGAATAAACAACAGGTATTAACAATTCACTTATAATACAATATTATTTATTATTCAATAGATCAATTGTATAAATTGTTAAATAAATCAGCTACAAGCTTATGATATTAATTATAATAAACACATAATAATAATAATCAAGTTTAATTCAATTTTGAATGAACGAAAGTATTTATTCCAACAATCACAACCAAAATGATAATCATATAATTAATAGTACTTCATCTTTGTCTTTAAATGACAATAATTCAAAATTAATAGAAAATGCAAATACAACTGCTCCAAATACTACAATACAAATAAATCCAATTAATGATATTGATTTTAGTAATTTAAATAAAATTAATACAAGTACTTCACAACTTTCAAATATTAGTGCTTCAACAACTACATCAAAAGGTTTATCCAAATTATTTTCAAGAAAAAGATCTTTAACTAATATAGCTGATAAAACTTATTTAGGAGCAAATTATATTGATGTAGATTCATTAAGTTCAGATCGTGCAATTGATTCCTCCACTACAAGTCAAAGAAAACATTCATCATTAAGATTAATTAAAAAGAAACAACAATCAACTACTGAAACTATATTGAAACCAGAAACTTTAGACAAAAGTCCTTCTTTACTGGGTAGTGTCAAATCTAGAAAAAATTCAATTAATTCTCCGGTTACTAGTATTCTGAATTTATTTCATAAATCATCCAGTTCCAATAAATTAGATGGGAAAAACATTGATGATCAATTATATTCTGGTCAACTGAGAACTGGAGGCAAAGCTATCTAAATTTACAAATCCTAATTTTACCAACGATGAAAATCATGGAATAACAGATCACAAATCTTTTTTGGAAATTCATAAAAAAATAACAACACCAGCTGATCTGTACATGCAAATTAAATCAAATGAACATAATCAACCAGAACTAGGTTTGGGTATTGTTACAGATCTGGACAATAAAGTTACAGATAAAGAAGTTGATAGAGCCCATAGGCAGTTTATGCTATTATTTAAACATATCCTTACACCATCAACTCAAGGTCTATTTGATTATGGTTTACAATATCCAAATACTGGTTTTCTTTAGAAGAGTTTGGATTAATGATGAGAGATCATTTTAAAAAAATTAACAACTGGAAAAGAGCTTGTGAAAGAAATAAATCCTAAATCAATCAAATCTAAATCTAAATATTACAAGTTTAGTGTGAAACATCACAAGGAATACCAACAAATGAAAGAACAAAATGATATGGAAGAAGAAAATTTTACAATATTAAAAACTGAAGATGTTATTTATGAATTGCTGTCAATGCTTAATCAAGGTTTGCAATATTTAAAATCAGATATGTCAAAATTAATTAAATCAGAACTACTTCATAAAAATAAAAAACAAATTATGAGTGAAACTGAAGACTACAACATGAGTGGAATTTATTGTCAAAATCATGGATTTATTATAATACAAAAATTAGATTTCAATTACTTCAAATATTAACACCATTAGAGTTTTATTTAAACAATCATAGTGAAGAAGATACTTTTCAAAGTGAATCTAATTTGCCAAAATTTGATGAATTTTTATTACAATCATTTTATATTTTATTTATTGGTCCATTTTTGAACAAGAGAGATTATAAATATTTGCAAATAGAATCTCAAGATTTGCTTTTTATTGGAAAAGATGAATTAGTTAAAAGAATGGAAGTGATTGAATTAAATATTGAGTGTCATAAACTTTTTGTTGGTACAGAATGTCATCCTGAATATTTATCAAAAGTTTTAGATCCTTCAAGACCAATTTTAGGTTTAATTGATGCCTTTGCTGTATATTAGATGAGATTTTAAAAAGTGATGATTGAATTATAAAGGTGAGTTTTAAAATTGTAACAACTACTGAATTTGCTTTTATACTAATTTCAATAGATTATAAAAATATAAGGTATTTTTTGTCATAATAACTAATGAGGAGTGTTTGAGTCATAAGTTTGTTTAGCGTCCTTATTAAATCTTATTTTCTATTTGTTGTTGTATTAAATTCGTTGGACGTTTTACAATTCAAATTTAGATTACATATTTTCCTGTGACCACCTTATTTTGATTAAAACCAGCTCCGTAAAATTGCATAATAAGTACGCTCTACTTGAAATTATTGAAACCACATCGGTAGAAATTCATTTGAGATGATTGATTGTTAATCTCTATAAACCAATTATGACTTGTTGTGATCGTTTAAATAAATTACACTGTTTATTACAAAACTATTAATTTACAATCAATAACTAGAAAGTTTCAGAATTTAGGAGGTTAAAATCAACGAATGTTTATAGATTTGATGATGCAATAAAAACTTTGGAGATAATGCGATCAAAGAGTCAATAAAAATCAGAATTATACGTCGAGCTTACCGCTAATTTAGGGAGAAAAATTTACTCAATTAACCACAAATTGACGATTAAATAGAGGACCATTTATAATTTACAACTCTTACAATCAAAAATGTTAGTGATCGAGATAATAAAAAGTAGTAAAAACTGGGATATATCAACCTCTTGCTTTGAAACCAGTGTTATTAGTGAATTTCAATAATGACTGCAGAAAGAATGAAAAATTTAGATCTTTTAGATTTTGCATTATTTTTTGCATCGTTAACGATATAGTTGAAATCAATTGACCAAAAAAAGTGTTTGATCAACAAAAAATTACCACTTCAAGCACAATTTCTTCAAAAGTTGTGCCTTTTTGATGACCCCCCTTTTTGAATCTTTATTTTTTTAGTATTGATTTGAGAAAGCGATGAGTTAAACTAATTTCGAAGACTTTTCAGTTTTGGTCAAATGAAGGACCAACAACTAAATTTAAAGAGATTAAAAACTACAAATTTAAAAAAGATTAAATACAAAATACATTATTTATTACATAACATTGGATCCACACAATAGGGACAACCTCGAAGAAAATATAAAACAATTGTGGACAACCTAGAAACGCGGAACTGGTTTGATAGTTGAATCATTAATTATTGTATTATGTAGAAATACAAACACTTAAAAACAAATCATGTTCATCAAATTAACTAATCTAGTTTGATAAATACGAATTGAATCCAGACTAGATGAATATCAACGAGATACAAACCTAATTTGCCGGTATGACAAATGAAACCAATATTGATGTTTATCAACGTGATAGTTAAACCAAATATTAAGTCAAATTAAAATAAAAAGGTGACCTGAAAATATCGTTCGAGTTGAATGTGATCTGAAAATATCGTTCGGATTATGCATCTGAAGTAATTAAAAACAGAAAGTTAAAAAAAACATGTATTAAATTTATTATTTTAAATTTTGCCATCCATTATTTTATTTTTATATTTTATTTATAAATTTTATTATTTATTTTTGTATTATAATTATTATTATTATTATTATTATTGTAGTACAGATGTTAATTTCCAATAATAATTTTAATAGTCTAAATTGGTAGCGAGTATTTACAAAAACCTTTACATTATCAAAAAAAGAAATAGGTAATAGAATACAAGTTTCAATTACACTTATATACTAACACAACCTCATCAGTTAAATTAATAATAAATTATCAATGACGAGTCCTCTAAAGTCAGAATCTCCAATGTTAGGAGAGATAAATACAGGATCAACCCCATTTGAATTGCAACAACAACCGGATACTTCAAATATAAATATAAATAATAATGAGAATAACGGTACCAACAATGATGATGAACAATTAAGTCAACTAAATCTAGAACAAGTTCAGCAATCGGAGTTTAATAGTATACTACCTCAAGATATAATTGGTGGAAATGATTCTGGCTCAATACAATATCTAGATAGTGGAACTACTGTACCAAATTATGAGAATAATACATTTGAGATAAATAGTGATTTAATGGATATAGATCAATTACCTACTGATTTACCACCAACTCAACAAGATCAAGAGGATCCTTCAACATCAGCACTTAAACAAGAAACAACTGAAGACCAATCACAACCACAAGAAACAGAAGAAGATCCAATTTCCAAAATTAAAAAGATAGAATTATTACCAAACTTATATACAATATTATTTGATATTACAAAAGGTACTAAATCACCAAAAGATTTTAATAATTTATCAAGTGGGATTAGATTAAAAATAAATAATCTTAAGAACCATATAAAAGAAATTGATGAAATTCAAATCCCACCTAATTTAATGTTAGAAAAAATTAATTTAATTAATGAAAATAACATTAAAAAACAAAAATTAATTAATGATTTAAGATTAAAGATTAATGAACAATTTTAATAGATTGTATATTTAATGAAGTTAATGAATAATGATGATCTCTAATCTAAATATTGTTATAAATTTCTTCGACACTTGACAAAATAGATTGAAGTATTTCATATTGAATTATCTTTTAATTAAATTTAGACTAAAAAAAATCATTTCTAGAAACTATTAAAATCAAAACAATTAATTTTACAACCAATTTATAGTCCAAGAGGTTTAGTATCCAACAACATATATCTATCCTATCAGCTGAGGTTTCAAATATTTTAAATAAGCTCTATAAATCACTACATCAAGCATTGAATAAGATTGCTTCTTCAAAAACAATTTCAACTACACTTTCAACAACTACAAATTATTAAAAAAAATGGAGGGATCAACACCATCACTATTACCATTTCCAACATCATCAATGACTTCTTCATTTCATCAATTCCCACCAACATATGAAACATTGAAAAAAACACCAGCATTAACAGCAGGATTAACTATTTTTACATTAATTTTATGTATATTAAAAAATTCATATGATATTCCAATGGATTCACTAATATTATATCCAAAATCTCCATTAGATTTTAATTTAAATGCTATATCACTTTATTGTTTAATTCATGTTAATTATTTACATTGGTTTTTAAATATTTTAGCTTTATTTACTCCATTAGCAATATTTGAAAAAAGACATGGTACAATACATACAGGGATTACATTAAATTTATTAACTGTTATAGCTGCTATACAATATTGTGTTGTTGGATTATGGCTTTATCCAGAAACTGGTGTTTTAGGATTATCAGGAATTGTATTTTCATTTTTAGCATTTATGGCTTATCAAGAACATCAATATAAACCAATTTTAACAAATTTCCAATTAGGTGGATATGATATTAAAATATATACTTTATTAAGTCCTTTTTTATTTGCTGCTTTATTTTTCATTATTTTCCCATCAAGTTCATTACCTGGTCATATATTTGGTATTACAACTGGTTATTTATTAGCTTATGGTTATATTAATAAATTATATCCACCTTCAAATATTTTATTAAAAATTGAAAAATTTTTAGCAAAAGGAATCTCAAAATTAGAACCTTTAGTTACTTATTATAAAGAAGATGAAGCTATTAATATTAGAGGTGTTAAATATACTCCTATTTTGGTGGAAGAAGATATTGAATCAGGAACTAGCAATAATGGTAGAACAAGAGGTACAAGTACCAGTATTGGTGCAAACACTCAACCACCTCAAGCAACAAGATCTGCTTCATATGTAAGAGAATCAAGAGTATTGGGAGAAGCATAATATATTCAGAATTTCATTTATTAAAATATGGAGGGAAAATTATTTTATTTTATAGATGTTTATAGATGTTGAAAAAATTTCAGGATTAATTTGGTAAAATTATATAAATACATATTATTCATGTACAAATGTTATCTGGGACACCGATATAAATACATATTAATAGCTAAAATATACATAATTGTATATATGTATCATTAAAGCAAGTGTAGCCCCTTATCATTCAGGTGTTAATGATGAGACTCTGTATCAATTTGTTTCTTTTAATAAAACCCTTTTATTATCCTCAACGGTTATATTAGTTGGTGCTAATATATTAATACAGTACATACATTAAATTATAAAATATGGAGAAAAAAATAAACAAAGAGAAAAAAAATTAAATTTTCAATTCTAAGTAAATTAATTATCAACCCATAGAGTTAATCTCAATTTATTAATTGAAAAAGATATTGAAAGGTTATATGTAAACTCGTTTAAATAATTAAATTAATACTCCCAACCAATAATTGTTAAGAACATAAGTCTCATAATTAATTTTCTATTTAGCTATGCTAAATTCTCAAAATACAAATGGGGAAATAAATAGTCAGAATAATAATAATAATAATTATAATAATGGTTATAATGAAGAATCAACCAAACTTACTAACGAAAATCAAAATAAACCTACAACATCAAACACAATGAATTCAACGACCAATGAAGAACAAAAAAGCAAGAAAAAGAGAGGTAAATTTAAAAATAAACTGTATAAAAGATCCCACAAATTACATCAACAAATAAATCAACCCCAGATTAATAATAATACTACTTCCTCAAAAGCACTACCTACACAAGAACAACAAATTGAAAGTAATAAAACTGAGCAATCTGTACAGATTGATCCTATAATCAGTCAACAAGCTACAACCACAACAGAATCACCTCATTCTCCTAATGTTTCAACTCAAACTCAAACTCAATCACAATCCAAAAAACCAACCATAACTCCTCAATTGGAACAACCTCCAATATTTCGTGAATCATCCAATGATAATAATCATCAAATTTATAAATCACCAAGAAAAGAAGCATTAATGAGACATAAACAAAATAATGGTCATAATGATACAAAATTAAATCATTCAAATCTAAGAGATAATTTAAAATCTAAAAAAGATTCACAACAATCACCAAATACTCGCGCAACAAGTACAACTACAAATGAAATTAATCAAGATCAACAACCTATAAATTTACAATTGGATGAAAAAGTAACATTATTCAAATATAAATCATCCAAAATTTTACAATTAAATCATAAAAATGACGTCAATGGTTCTTTATTAGCTCATGGGGAATTTGAAATTTTTCAATTACATAATGGAGATATTACTTATTTATCATGTGGTGGTAAACTGTTTATATATCCATTATTACCTAAAATTAAAATACTAAGAATTGCATTTAATACATTTTTAATACAGCTCATCAACCCAAAAAGGTATTGGAAAATTTTTATAAATAGTGATGAAAAAAATGTTATTGAAATATTACAGGGAACTTTGGAAAGAAATGTAAAATATGAAAATGAATATAAATTTGAAAATACTTTAATTAATGGAAATAGTAGTGGTAATGATTTAATTGATGATGAAGCAATTCAAACCTACGTCAGAGATGAACATAAACAAATAGAAGAAGAAGAAGAGGAAGAGGAGGAAGAACAGCTGATTTTTAAACAATTAGATATGAAACCAAAAGAATTAATGGAAGATAGTCCAAAAACTTTGAATTTTATATCATCATCATCGGCAAATAATATTATTGATAATATTATACCAGAATCACCACCTTCTGCACCAATCTCACCAACTCAAGATGTCATAAAAAATTTCGAATTAAACACACCAGTTAAAATTCACCAACAACAACAACAACAACAACAGCAACAAAATCATAATCTTCATCCTTATTATGCTCCAACATCTTTTAGTCAACCAGCCTCGAATAAAGTTAAAAAACAGTCGTCACTACAATCATTGAACACAAACATCGCATGTTTTGATATGAGTCCTAAAAAGATTAAACAACCAGTTCCCAAAAAATCAGCACAAGTTCATCATCTACAAAATCCATATCAAGGACGTAATATTATAAATTCAAATCAATATAATCACAACGGTCATCACAATCACAATCATCATCATCTTAATAACAATTTTATACCAATTGATGAAAAATCAGAAAGTTCAATGGATTCATTACTAGATGAATTTGAAAAAACTTTGACAAAATCAGTAAAACAAAATAAATTAGGTGGTGCGACATCAACAATTTATTCAAAACCTCGATCAATTCAACATTCAATTACATCTCATCATAATCCAATACCATTATATTCAAGAGGTAAATATTTTGATGCCAATATAGAAAAAGATGAAGAATTTGATCCACAAATTAATTCTTTAAAAGAAAATGATGAATTAGGTGAATTTCCAACTTTAAATAATGAATTTAATAAATCACATACTTATCAATATCATCAAAATGATGGATTACATTCAATAAGAAGTAGAAGATCATCAAGAAGTGACTTATATACTAATGAAAGTGGATGGATGGAACCAAATATAAAATCAAATTTAATTTTAAATAATTCTATAAATGGTAATCAACAACAACATCAACAACAACAAACTTCAATAAATGGTAGTGGTAGTATCAACAATATTAAATCAAAATTACCAAAATCAAGATCAAATCAATCAATAAGTAGTTCAATTTCAAATTCTCAATATTATAATTTAAGTAATATTTATAAATCTGTAATTGGTCAAAAATTACATAATAATAATTACCTAAATAATAATAATAATAATAATATTAATATTATGGATCATCATTCAGTTTCATCAGTTAGATCAATGTCAAGATTACCACCAAGAACTACATCCAAACAACCAATAGATTTAAGAAGACAAAGTTCATATTTAAATTCAAATCTAAATTCCACTAAAACTCCCAAGAATCATAATGTTAGCGGCAAACAATCGCTAAATTCTACAAAACCAAATAATAATAATCAAAATTTAAATTCAAAAGAAATTTATCAATTATTAAGTTCTTCATCAACTAAAGATTTGAAATCTCAACAAACTAATAATCAATCATATCAAAAACAACAAAAATCAATACCTAGAAGTACAAGTTTTACATCAAGATTATTTGGTTGGTAAAACAACTAAAAACACTATTACTACAAAATTCCTATTTATTAAAATTTTTAATTCTCACTTTTTATGAAATATCTCATATTTTACTTAATGAATTCAAAAAAGATTTGCCTTTTTCAACCTATTTATTATTTATTAAATTATATATTATTTACATGTATATTGTTTTATTTATTTATGTTTGTCTAATGAATTTGAAAGTCTCATATATACAAAATGCTCATACCAATCTTGTAAATTGCGTTGTAATTTACCCCAGATATTAAAAAATCAATTTAGTAATAAAGTAATATTGTGTATAAATTTGATAATTCAAAGCTAAGAAGAATAAAATGTAAATTTATATATGTTTAAATCCGATTGGGACTTATAGGATTTAAGGTACATTTAATAACTATTTTACTTTATATACAGTACTAATATATTAGTATTATAATAAAAATCATATGCAATAGAACTTACTTAGTTTAATATTTAATAAAAGAATATAAATAATTTTACCCCACCAAATATTTTAATTTTGATTTCTACATTAATAATAATTTTTATCTATTTTTATTTTTATCCAACACAGAATTTATCACAGTTTTCTCCATTTGTTATTGATCTACTATCTCATTTCAATAATTATCCATTAGGCATTTAATTAGTTAAGATTATAAACTTTAAAGAAAATAGTTGTTATTACTAATTTCAAAACCCTTAAAATATTATATTTCCTCCATTCTTCAAATCATATTCAATTGAATTATTTGTTTCTTGTTGAGTTGTACAATTTATAAATTAAGTACAAAACAACCAATTAAATCATTCAATCAATCAATTCCTATCTAAAAATGAGCAATTCAAATCATAATAAATCTAGATCAAAAACTATAGGTATTAATGGTAAAAAATCAACTTCAACCACTACTCAATCAAATGGTAATAACAATAATAACCTTACACCATCATCATCAACATCAACAGTTAATTCACAAAAAATACAAACACCTCAATTAGAACAAGTTGAATCATCATTTAGTTCACCAAGTGCTCCAAGTTCACCAATTGAAGAACCAGCTTTAAATCATAGAGTTTCAATCAAGAGAAGTTCAAATGCTTCAAGTTTAATTGATATTGCTGAAGGTAAAAACCAAAACCAGAAACAACAACAACAACAGCAACCAAATGATTTATCAAATCAAACAAGAAGTAAAGATGAAGTAAAATCAATTTTATCACAAAAAACTGCTACTACTACTAATGATACAGCTTCATTAAATACTTTAGTTAACAAAAGTTCAAATTATGATGAATATAAATATACAGATTTAAAAGATATATCAATTGGAGTTGAAAAAGTAACAAAAGGTTTCCAACTGGGTAAAACTCATTCATTACAATTTAGATTAAATCAAATTAGAAATTTATATTTTGCAATAAAAGATAATCAATTAAAAATTATACAAGCTTTAGAAAAAGATTTTAATAGAGTTTCATCAGAAACTAAAAATTATGAAATTGCTACTGGATTAAATGAAATGATTTTTATAATGTCTCAATTACATAAATGGGCAAAACCTGAACCTGTTACTGATTTACCTTTAAATCTATTAACAAATCCAGTTTATATTGAAAGAATCCCATTAGGAGTAGTTTTAGTTATTGGTGCTTTTAATTATCCATTTTTTGTTACTATATCACCAATTGTTGGTGCATTAGCTGCTGGTAATACTATTGTTTTAAAACCTTCAGAAATGACTCCAAGATTTTCAAAATTATTTAATGAAATTTGTACAAAAGCATTAGATCCTGATGTATTTTTTGCAGTAAATGGTGGTATACCAGAAACTACTGAATTATTAAATCAAAAAGTAGATAAAATTATTTATACTGGTTCAGGTTTAGTTGGTAAAATTATTGCTAAAAAGGCAGCTGAAAGTTTAACACCAGTTATATTAGAATTAGGAGGTAAATCTCCTGCATTTATATTAGATGATGTTAAAGATAAAGATTTACCAATTATAGCAAGAAGAATAGTTTGGGGTAGATTTGCAAATGCTGGACAAACTTGTATTGGAGTTGATTATGTTTATATTGCAGAATCAAAACATGATAAATTTATAATTGAATTAAAAAAAATTATTGAAGAAGAATTTTATCCAAATATTAATAAGGATGATAAAAATTTTACTCATTTAATTCATGATAGAGCTTTTCAAAAAATGTCTAAAATTTTATCAACTACAAAAGGTGAAATTATAATTGGTGGTGAACAAGACTCCAAATCGAAATATGTTGCACCAACTGTTATTGATAATGTTGATTGGAATGATTCATCAATGCAAGATGAAATTTTTGGTCCAATTTTACCAATATTAACTTATAAAAATTTAAATGAAGCTTGTCATAATGTTGTCAGAAATTATGATACTCCATTAGCTTTATATATTTTCACAAGTGGATCAACTTCACCATTTAAAAATGATCAAATTAAAACCATAACCACCACAATCAGGTCAGGTGGATTGGTTATTAATGATGTATTAATGCATATAGCATTACATAATGCTCCATTTGGAGGTGTTGGAACATCAGGTTATGGATCATATCATGGTAAATTTTCATATAGAGCTTTTACACATGAAAGAACAGTTATTGAACAAAAATTTTGGAATGATTGGGTATTAAATGTAAGATATCCACCTTACTCCCAAGCAAAAGATAAATTAGTTAAATCTTCACAAGAATTATATGGTGGTAGAGTTTGGTTTGGTAGAAATGGAAATGTTGCTGTTGATGGACCTACTACTTTTTTCAGTGGTTGGACTAATGCTTTGGGTATGATTAATCTTGTTAGAGATTTCATCGGTGCATCACTTTCTTCTTAATTTTTAGGTTTAGTATATTAATGATAGATTGGCTATTTAGTTTAATTTAAATAAGAGACAATGTTCTTTAAGCGTCATGAATTTACTGATCCCTTGTTTACATAAATATAGTATCGTATTATTGCACAAAATTACAGCTTCAAACTCATTACAGTAGGTTCTCACCGATAAAAACATTCTCACATTACAATTTTATATAGTTTAATAGATTAATCATATTATGTTTTAACGTGTATTTATTATTCTTCTACTTTAGATGAGATAGATATTTTTTACATGAAGCATTTATTTTGCAACAAGAAACGAGTAAGTTATATCAACAAATGTAAATTCAACTACATCAACAATTACTACAACTTCACTTTAATTTTTTTTCTTCTAGAAAATAGTAAACCTATTTATAAATTAAAAAAAGTCATTATCTCTATATACAATAATAATTATGATTTTAAATAATACTTTTAACAGTACTCTTAATTTAAACTTTATTTATTTAACAATTTATAATTCTCATCTCTCTCTCTCTTTATATTACTTCAATTTATTTATAATCTTCAAACTTTTTTTTAATTATACAACAGTAACACCTTGGATTGGATTACCATTAGCATCAACTAAACCTTGTTGCATCATCATTAATTGTTCATTACCAGCAGCTTCAAATTGTAAACCTAAGCCTAATCTTGAAGTATTTTTAAATTGATCAATCTCTCCACTAAATAATACAGAAACAGTTGGTAAAATTCTTTTTTCTAAAAATGCACTTACTTTTCCTTTGGAATCTAATTGACCTCTAAATACTGCAGTTCTATATTCATATTTTGCTCCAATTGTGGTTGTACCTTCAATAACTGGTTCAAACCCAACTCCCATTAATGGATCTGCAACTTGTTTCATAGTAGCAGCAATTTGAGTTTCTAAACCAGCTTCAACTTTATCACTAACTTTTCTCCAAAATGAAGCAATTAATGCCCCTTGAGCTTGAACTTGAGCAGAAGCAATCCATTTCCCATCATTATTATATCTTGCAACGTATGAAACAGCAGTATCTGGTGGAGCTAATGGTTGTTTTGAATACATTGCTTCTAATCCTAAAGCAAATTTTGAAGTTAAACTTTGTAATAATGAAGCAACAGCAACTCCTGAAAAACCATCATAAATAAAATTTGGATTTAAAGTTTTTAAATTTATTGAAAAATCATTACCTTGATAATCTTGTTCTAATTGAACCATTGAAGGTTGAGATTGAGCTAATTGTAAAGTAATTTTAGAAATATTAAATTTATCCCAACCATAATTAATTCTACCACTAAAACTAAAATCATTATCAATATTACCTTGTAAAAAAAAATCTTCAGCAGCAAATAATGCACTAAAAGCATATGGTGGTAAAACTTGTGATCCCATACTTAAAGTATGAGAAGTTTGAAAAGCAGGATTTATTGAAAATGCTTTATTTAAATCAGCTCTTAAACCAGTAAAAAAATATTGATTTAAAAATACATCTCTACTAACTTCTTTATTTAAATTTTCTATTGTACCTGGATTAGTTAATCCTAAATTTTTTCTATGTTCACTTATTGTTAAATATACATCATTTAAATATGAAAAAACTGGATTTGATGACCATAATGAATTTTGTTTTGGTGGTTGTGGAGTTACACTTGGTAATGTTGGAATTGATAATTTAGTTAAATCTTGAATTGGAACTGGTGTTGTTGATGGTTGTTGAATAGACATCTTCTTTTCACGGTGGTTGATTTAATGAGTTATTGTCTATTTTCAATTAATAATATTTGACTTGAAGAAGTTTCAATTTTTTTTCCAAATATAAAAATCAATAATGAATTGGTAGTTACTAATTAATTATTGTAATAATTAATTAATTATGTTGAAAAATTTTAATATGTAATTTGTACTGTAGACTAGTATAATTTCTTGTATAAATCTACACTACTTGGAAATCTCTACACACATAATATAATAATATATTTATTTTGCAGCCAATATTTTAATATATAAACTTAAGTTACAGAGACAAAATCAATTCAAAATATTACTATCATTGGTAAGATTCGCATCCCTGGAATGTTCAAAAATTAATTGAGGCTCATTAAGGAATTTTAAAAACACTGTTTTTTTGAAAAAGTTTGCATCAAAACAATGTCAAATCTTGATTTAAAAATTCAAAATGCTTGTAACGAAATTCAAAATTGAAACTCAGTCTCTAATGAGCAATCATATCTACTTAATCATGGCCATATTAATTTATCTGTTTTCATCTTTATTAATCGATGCTTGCTCAAAATTTGCATGCTGCCTTATTCATCTTATGACCTTCTTCATCCAAAAAGCATAAATTTAAGGTTGGTTGCAACAGCCTTCAAGTTCAACCTCAATGTTTCTTAAAAAGGCATATCTGCCTATTCAATACAAGAACCATCGTTTCGTACTCAATACAAGAACCATCGTTTCGTACGTATTGTAAATACTCGATTCATGAGTCAAAATTCTTGTCCCTATGTGACGTAATGTTCTTTTTTTGGTGCTCATACAAGAACCAGAAATGAATAGTTTACTACAATGATTTATAGACACTGATTGAATTGAAACTACTTTCATTTCAAAGACATAGATCATCGTTCATCTCTACAAGATTTCAGATCTATATATTCCTTCAACACATGAACTAATTATTCTATAGAAATATTATAATTTCGCAACTCAATCAACCGAAAAAAAAATCAAGTTACAATACATTTTTCTTAAATATATTGCTAAAACTAATTATCCGATTTTTAACAAAAACTTATATAATTCACTCAATCAAGTCACTTTTGACATCAATTGAGATACCAACGACTAATTTGAATAATTATCAATGTCATCACTTGTAAATGGTACTTCAACTATTTATTTAGTTGCAGGTTCACAACAATTATTAAATGAAGCAATATCATTTTATACAAATATACTTAATTTAATAGAACATTCACAAAATAATAATACAACATATTTAACAAATGATGATAATAAAATAATAATAGAAATTAAATTAGATTCTAAAATTGGATTTAGTTCAAAAGAAATTGATGAAAGAAGAAAAGAAATTATATCAAAATTAAATATTATAGATTGGAGATCATTAGATACAACATATGTTATGAAAGTTGCAAATTTAGTTGATTTAATTGAAATATTAAACGAATCAAATTTTAAAATTCAAATTACTCCAAATGAATTATATCCTAATGAAGCATACATAGTTGATCCATTAGGTTATATAATGGGGTTTACAGCATGTAATGAACCATTAACAGTTGTTCCACCAATTCAAAAAGCTCATCCAAAACATGGATCACTTGAAACACAATTTGGTTCATTAAATCATTCCAAAAAAAATGAAAAAGAAGAATTATTAAGTTATTTTAAAGGTAGAAGAAATATTGGTATAATGACATCAGGAGGTGATGCTCCAGGTATGAATGCATGTGTTAGAGCAGTAGTTAGAGCTGCCATTTTCAGAGGTTCAAAGGCATTCGCAATATTGGAAGGTTATTCAGGATTAGTTAAAGGTGGTGAAGAATCTATAAAAGAAATGAAATGGCAAGATGTCAGAGGTTATTTAACTGATGGTGGTACAAATATTGGTACTGCAAGATGTATGGAATTTAAAGAAAGATGGGGTAGATTAAAAGGTTGTAAAAATTTAATTGATGCAGGAATTGATGGATTAATAGTTTGTGGTGGTGATGGTTCATTAACTGGTGCAGATTTATTTAGAAGTGAATGGCCATCATTAATATCAGAACTTAGAAAAAAAGGAGAGATAACTGAAGAACAATATGAAAGACATAAAAATTTATATATATGTGGTACAGTTGGATCAATTGATAATGATATGGCAACTACTGATTCAACTATTGGATGTTATTCAGCATTAGATAGAATATGTCGAGCTATAGATTATATTGATGCTACTGCTAATTCTCATTCAAGAGCTTTTGTAGTAGAAGTTATGGGTAGACATTGTGGTTGGTTAGCTTTAATGGCTGGTATAGCAACTAGTGCTGATTATATTTTCATACCTGAAAAACCAAGTTCAAGTCAAGATTGGCAAGATCAAATGAGTAGAATAGTTAAAAAACATAGAACTGCTGGAAAAAGGAAAACTATAGTTATAGTTGCTGAAGGTGCAATAACATCAGATTTAAAACCAATAAGTGCAAAAGATGTAAAAGATGTTTTGGCGAATAGATTAGGATTAGATACAAGAATTACAACTTTGGGACATGTTCAAAGAGGTGGTACAGCAGTTGCTTTTGATAGAATATTGGCAACTTTACAAGGTATAGAAGCAGTAAAAGCTGTATTAGAATTAGATCCAAATACTCCATCACCATTAATTGCAATAGAAGAAAATCAAATTGTTAGAAAACCATTAGTTGAAGCTGTTGAAATTACAAAATCAGTTGCTGATGCAATTGCAGAAAAAAATTTCGATAAAGCTATGAGTTTAAGAGATTCAGAATTTAAAGAACATTTATCAAATTTTATTGCAATGAATAGTGCAAATCATGAAGAACCTTCATTACCTATAGAAAAGAGAAAAAAATTTGCAATAATAAATATAGGTGCACCAGCAGGTGGTATGAATTCAGCAGTTTATGCATTTGCAACTTATTGTATGTCAAGAGGTCATACTCCATATGCTATACATAATGGATTTTCAGGATTATCAAGACATGAATCTATAAAATCAATAGAATGGTTAGATATAGAAGGTTGGAATAGTATAGGTGGTTCAAATATTGGTACAAATAGACAAACTCCTGAAGAAACTGATATTGGAATGATTGCTCATTATTTTGAAAAATATCAATTTGATGGTTTGGTAATTGTTGGAGGATTTGAAGCATTTGTTTCATTATATCAATTAGAAAATGCAAGATCAATGTATCCAGCTTTTAGAATTCCAATGGTTTTAGTACCAGCTACAATATCAAATAATGTACCTGGTACAGAATATTCTTTAGGTTCAGATACTTGTCTTAATTCATTAATGGAATATTGTGATATTATTAAACAATCAGCATCAGCAACAAGAGGAAGAGCATTTGTAATAGAAGTACAAGGTGGTAATAGTGGATATATAGCAACATTTGCATCATTAGTAAGTGGAGCTCAAGCATCTTATGTACCAGAAGAAGGTATACATTTACAACAATTAGAAATGGATATTAATTCCCTAAGAGAATCATTTGCAGTTGAAAAAAATTTAACAAAAGCTGGAAAATTAATTATAAAATCTTCAAATGCTTCTAAAGTATTAACACCAAAAGTATTAGCAGATATAATAAATACTGAATGTAATGGAGAATTTGATACTAAAACAGCAATACCAGGTCATGTACAACAAGGTGGATTACCATCACCAATAGATAGAACAAGAGCAGATAGATTTGCAATAAAAGCAGTACAATTTATTGAAGATAATACAAATAAAATGGAAAAATATAGATATGAATTAGATTATCCTGCTGATTCAAAAGATTTAATTTCAACAGCATCAGTTTTAGGAGTTAAATCATCACATTTAAAATTTACAAGTATTAAAAGATTATATGATTTTGAAACTGAATTAGGTACAAGAATGCCTAAAAATGTATTTTGGTCAAAAATTAGAGTTATGGCTGATGATTTAGTTGGTAGAACATTATATAATGGTAAAGATTAATTGATTTAAAGAAAAAAGTATATAGATTATTATTATTAGTTTTATAATATAATTTAGAAATTTTTTTTTAGTTTTTAATTGTATTGATATCTATATGTCAGATTAAAAATTACTATTATGCACAACAACAATACGAATGTAAAAAAAAAAAAAATTATTTAGCCGTTTCGTAAAAAATTTAATCTCTTAACAAAAAAAAATTAAATGTAAACAAAAAAAGACCCTTTTATGAATAAAAACGCTACCACTTAATTTCTGGTATTTTTGTCTTTGTGGTTAGTATTGTTTTAATTGGTAGCAATTATAGAATTTCATTTATACAATACTTGAAATTACAGCTGGTTGAATTTTACAATTCACAACTATACATCTTAATATATGTAAATAACAAGCTATCATCAGATTTGATATAAATTGTCAAAAAAAGAGGTACCTTAGATCGTTTATCTTTTGTTACTCTGTAGCAATATCTAAAGATAAAACACGTCTTCAAATTTAATATATTCAAAATTAAATTTAATTTTAAAACATTCCATACATTAAATTTGACAATAACAATTAATATTCACACGACTAATTTAATTTCTATTATCAAAAAAATAAAGAAAGTAAAAATAAATAAATCCAAAAAAAATAAAAATATAAAACAGTTATAATTGACAACCAAAATAAATAAATTAAACATCAACTACAAACAACTATACATTTAAAAGGAAGGGGACTAATATTGACTCAAATAAAATTTAAGGACATTTTTACTAATACATATATATGTTTTGAGTTTCCAAAGACAATAAATTAAACCACAATAAATTATAGAAACATTTATCAAACCATACTTTTAGAGAAATTTAAACTTCTTAAAGTTTCATAAAATCTACATATAAATAATAAGATTAAATCAAAGCTATAATAAAAAAAGCTTATCAAAGAGTTATCAAATAAAATAATAGAACAATGTATACAATAGAGCATCAACCACCACAATCACGATACAATTATATTTCAAATAAACTGCCAAAATTAACTTCAAATTCAATACATACTTTTAATATGTCACCAAGATCATCACCAAGGGATATTGATTATGAAGAATATAGTAGTCCAAGAAATGCAATCAACAGTACTTTTACAAATCTGTTTGATAATTTATCATTAAATATACAAGAGCAACAATCAACAAATATAATTTCTCAACAACAACAACAATTACTATATCAATATCAATCTATAATATCACAATTGAATAAATTAATAAATTTAAAAGATCCTTCACTTATATTGGAGAATAATAAAGATTACGAATTCTTTGAAAAATTTAGAAATGAAAATAATGAACATCAAAATGAATTTTTCTCAAATCTAATAGTACCCAAAAACATATGGTTAAAAGATGATATAATTATAAAAGACATTAAAGTAAAAGTAACAATGCTAAATGAAATAAATGGAATGATGGAATCAGAATTAAAAAATATACAAAATCAATCTACTTTTGAAGAAATTACATTAAATTATTATTCAAAATTATTAATGGCATATAAATTTTATGAATTACCAGTAAAACCCAAATCAAACAACAACAACTACCGAAACACAAATAGTAATTATTTCACAACATTACAAGAAAATGATGAAGAAGATGAAGAATTTAATACATTTGATAAACCAATGTATCGTACAATATCAAATAAATCAAATTATTCGAATAGTTCAAATAATAAAAATAGAAGAGCAAGTAATGGAAGTTCAATATCGAAAAGAAGATTTTCATCATTTTTAAGTAACCACAACAATAATAACAACAACGGGAAACAAAGTACTCTAAATTCTCCAGATCATGAAGAAAATGGGAATAGAAATCCAATAACACCTCCACAAATGTCAAATTCAAGATTTCCATCAAATCAAGATAACATAAGTCCAACTCCACATTCACAACAAGATAATTCATCTTTATCATCATCAATGACAACTTTAAATTCAATATTATCAAAACTGAAATTATATAATAAAATGAAGAAAAATAATAATAGAGAATCAACATCATCAATAAATTCAAATATATCAAATCATAGTCCATTAAGTAATAGAAGTAGTATAAGTACAACCAACACAGGAACTACATCAATAGGATCACGTAGAAAAAGTATGAGATTAAAAAACAATAATAACAGCACTAACTCCAGCAATCAAAATAATATAACTCCTTTATCATCATCAACGAATTTAAGTGGTAGTTATAATAATTCGAGTGTTTCTTCATTTGTTTCTGCAAATACTATAATAGTACCAACTCCAATATTAAGTTCTGAAGAGGAAGTACAGAAGAAAGAAAAATTAAAAGATAAGAATGATTATTATTTACAAATTGTGAAATTAAATAATATTATTTCTAATATATTGAATTATTTGAAGAATGGTAACAACAGTATGAAGTTATTCAAATTCTTGGACTTTATAAAGAAATACTTGATCAAATTTATAATAATTGATCTATATTCCATGATATTACAATACATTGAATCATGAAAGAGACAGATCTTACAATCAAACACTTTATAGAAACCCCAAGTAAATACACTTTTAATGACACTTAATAATTAATAATTACATTCACCCTTACCTTATGCTCTATTTACAAGTGCTTAACATTTGCAGTATAACACTTAACAATTGATCATTTTCACAAGCAGCAGCAACACGTTCTTTATCATTTAATTGTTTATTCACTTGATTCTCAGATTGATGAGTTCCTTCCTTTATAAATATTTTAATCCTAAATCTTGAAGGTAAACTTCTATCTAATCTTACTCTTATTCCTAATCCAATTAAAGTAGCTAATGAACAATGAGTTATAGTTGGAGTTATTTTTATAATAATTTCAGATATTTCATTATGTGGTTTTCTTTTTATATTTATATCATTTAAATTTACAACTGCTAATTGAGCTAATGTTAAAGGATGTTCAGGATCTGATATAGTTGAAATTAAATCAAATATTTCTTGTTCATCTATTTCTTCTATTGGTTCTTGTGTATCTACTGATGATAATTCAGAAAGCGATTCTTCTAATGATGATATATATTCATCTTGTTGTGGATATAAAGATAATGACGTTACTTGTGATATTAATTTTTTGTTTTTTTCATATAAATTTTCTTCTTGTGATGTGTTGAGATCTAGTAATCTTGTTGGTAAATTATTTATATCTATTATTGTTGGGTTTGCATTTATTGGATCACTCATTTCCGATATTTGTACTTTGATCTTAAGTGTATTGGTAATGATTATTCAAGATGATTTAAAAAGAAACTAATTCATTTTATTGTGATAAGAGATCGAATGTCATAAAAACTCTTATTGTCTCAACTAAGGTTTTGAGACATTGATTTTGGAAATTATTATCTTTGATTTACATGTACTTACAACCAATTTAATTTATACAATCATAACGTTTCATAGCTTTACTATTTCGATCTAAAACCTGATCGCATTTCTTTGAATGTACAATGGATAATTACAATCAATTGCTACTACAACAATTAAATCCATATCTACGAATCCACATACAATCAAACTTAAAAAACAATGAAATAATAGACAAACTAATATCACAATTCAATATAAATAACGTGAAAACCAAAAAATGGGACAATTGTATAATAAGGAATAGATTATCAACTCCAAAATACATACTTGATATTGATTTTGATGAAAATTTAAAACTACCTAAAAAAGAAAAAATACCTGATCAACATGATTTATTATCACCTTTTAATACTCAATCTGATATTTTCCCCAATGGAATATTGACTTATAAATGGTTTGAGAAATATATCACAAGATTCCCATTTGCAGTATGTTATATTTGTGAAGTATCAAATGAAGGAGATGAGGAAGAAGTATTACAAAAGGACGACGAATTGATACTTAATTTCAAGAAATTAAAAATTGAATTAGAAGAAATTGATTCCAAGTTGGTCTTGCTATTGATATCAGACAATAAAGCAATTGATGAAAATAGAATCACAAGGATACGAACAGAATTAAATTTCCCCAAAACAGGACATTTATACAATCTAATCAACACAAAGGAAACAATAGATAGAGATATTGAAGTATTAATAAATTCAATGTTTTCCAATCTAACCAAATTATCACATGATTTTTATGCAAATATAGAATACAAGATAAAACAAAGATACAAGAAATATTATTCATGTCCATCAACTGATGAAGTAGATACTTCAATAGAATTAACTCCAAAATTTCTCGAAATAAGAAATTTGATCAAGCAAGCCATTATCTTAGAAATTGTAAATATAAACAACTTAGAACCAAGTATCAAATTATTAGAAGTTGCTTATCAAGATTTAATTTCCTTATTAGATAGCATTTATGCAGTGAATTTACTGGATCATGATAATAAAGTGATAGCACAAATGCAAACATTATTAGATACTATTGCCTTCCACATAGTAAGAGGTTATTTTGCAATAGAAGAACCTATAAAAGCTTTAAAAAAACATAAAACTCACATTATCAATGTTGTACAAATTATTAAAGAAGATCATAAATGGATATCAATACAATATGAATGGTTAGCTGAATTAATGAATTTAATACCATATTCAATAATAACTTACCTTAATACATCAGCAGTTTTGAAAAGTAAAAATAATAACGGATCAAACCTAGTAAGTTTTTCAGGAGGTATACATACACCAGAATTTGACCTTATAACAAATCCAGGATTAATTTACCTAAAGTCATTTGAATTAAATACAGATTCACTGAAAAGAATTGAATTATTACAAAAATCAATGGAATCATTAGAATCTATACAACTGCAAGCACTTAATAAATCCCTGGTTTCTGGTAATGATGAATCTGGTTCATTAATTTCATATATAAATTGGTTATTAGGTGAAGAATTTTTTCAAATTGGTGATTATAAGAAAGCATCTGATTTTTTAGAAATGTCTTATAGTTCAATGGGTATTGGGAAATGGTTAAGTATAAGTGAAGTTATTTTATTAAAATTACTTAGATGTTATTCAAAATTGGGTAACAAGAAATTAGAATTAAATACAGTTTTGAAATTAAGTACTTTCCCTCAACATTTTAAATTTAATGATGAAATTTCAAATTTATGTGAAAATATTTTTCAATTTGATGATGATATAGTGGAATTAGATTTATTAAATTCCAAATTACATGAATTATTTGATGTCAATGTGTTGCTACTAAATAAAAATGTACTTAATGACAAAAAAGACGAAAGCTCTACTTCAACTTCAGTTGGTGATGAAATAATTTTACAAATTGATTTAAAATCAAAAATAAATTTACTGGTACTAAAAACTTTACTACCACCAGAAACAGATATCTGCATCTCAATTAAACAAATAGACGCACCATTTACAAGAACAGACAAGTTGTCTAAAAAGAGAGGTTTAAAATACATATCAATAAGTCATGATTCGTCCAAGACAAAACCAACAACAAACGTAATAAAATTGAAAGGACAAGAATTAGATCAAACATTTGTAGATTCAACAAATTTAGAAATTAATGATATCCCAAAGACTTTACAACATGAACAAATTATAACTTCTGCGGGAAATTATCAAATTGAAGTTATAAAATTACAAATTATGATTGAAATTAAACATCAGAATATATTAATAAGGTTGAATAAAATTGAATTACATCAATCTTCATCATTAGGTCATTATAAAAACAATATTGGATATTTAAAATTAGATAATACAACAATTCCCAAAATGATTAGATTGAATGAATCCAATAGATCAATTAATGTTATTCCAAAAATTCCCATAATTGAAATCAACCCACTAAATGAAATTGATTATTATATAATTGGTGAAAAATTATCAATTCCAACAAATATTGAATTTGATTCAAAAGATTTAAAACAATTAAAAAAAGCCGAATTAGTTGTTGAAATTAAAAGTAAAAATTCCATTGAAAATATAGGTGGAGATGAAATTTCATTATTTTGGGATAATTTAAAAGATGATGAACCATTAAATTTATTAACGTTGGGTGAAAATGAAAATATCATAAGTTTGAATGTATTTAGTAGACAGTTTAAAGCTGAATTAATGAATCTACAATTTTTATTGATTATTAGTGATGAAGATGAAGATGAAGGTGACGAAGAGGATAATGAAAATGAAAAAGATACAAAGAGGGAATTTAATACTCATATTCATAAAATTCAAGATCTTGAAATTCCAATACTATCAAAACCTTTCAAATGTCAATATTTTATAATACCAAATTATAATGAAGATTTAAAATTTCCACCTTATATAGAAGGACAACAACAACCACCAATATTAAAAAGAGAATGGCAATTATTATTAAAGACATCAGATTTATTAAATCAATTGAACTCACTAAACCAATTTTTAGAAATTGAAGATGTTGAATTTAATATCATGTCTAAAAATCCAGAAATTTCAATCAATTTATTAGAAGATATTGAAAATGATAATCAAAATAATAAAAGAAATCAATTATTTTTAACAGAATGTAAAAATGGATTTAGTCATAGAAATGTTGAAATAATAGTATCAGGAACAATAAAATGGAAAAGATCGACCACCACTACCACCTCCACCACCACCAACACCACTACCAATCAAAAAGTAAATGAATATATAATACCAGAATGGACAACAATATTATCATTATGTTCACCAAGAGTATTATTAAACATTACAGAAATTTATTCAAAAACAACATTTAAATTTAAATATATTTTAGAAAATCCAACACCACAATTATTAAATTTTACATCACAATTAATAGATTTAAAAGAATGGAAAATTTCAAAATATAATAAAGATGATGATATAAATCCAAAACAACAATTTCAATTTACTGTTAAACCAGTTACAAATTATATAATTGAATTTCATTTAGATTTAGAAATATCATCATTATCATCATTATCATCATCACTATCAGCAGCAAAAGAAAAAGAAATTAAATTAATTAAATTACCAAAATTACAAATTTTTGATATTAATTATAAAATTGATTTACATGTTTTATCTACTCAAACTAATGTTATTTATAAAGATGGTTCATTATACTATGTTCTACAATAGACAGGGAGGTACTAACAATTATAGTTTTAGAAGAGTAAAAATAGTAATAATAATTTTGAAAAAAAAATTTAACATGTAACTTCTAACTAACTATATTTGTATAAAAAAACTCTCTCATATAAAACCAATTTAATTAATTTTTTCTAATTACCATTAACATTTAATAATTCAACTTCAAAAACTAAAGTAGAATTAGCAGGAATTAATCCAGGAAATCCTCGATTACCATAACCTAATTCAGGTGGGATAGTTAATAATGCTTTTGTTCCCTTTGAAATTTTAGGTAAATCCGGAGATCCATTAGTTAATGAAATATCCCAACCTTTAATAACTTGTCCAACTCCAATAGTACATGTAAAAGGTTTACCTCTTTTTTTTGATGAATCAAATTCTTTACCATTTGTTAATTTACCATCATAATGAATTGAAATTGTATCACCTGGTTTTGCAAATGTTTTACCATCTCCTTCTTGTAAAATTTCTACTTTTGGTAATTGAGTTGACATATTGTTTGAATCAATTGATTAGTTAAAGTTGTTTTAAATTGAATTGATTGAATTGAGATTTGAAATTATAAAGTAATATAACGTATTAATTTTAATATTAATATTTTTAGTGGGGTGTGTGTATCTTTTGTTGATGCTTTGCTAATGCTACCAAATTATGTCAAATTTCTATTTTCATAGCCTTTTCTCTTTAATAAGGAATTTAGTTAAAGCCATTAGCAATGAAGTATTAATTGAAATAATTTTATTACATAAGCGGTTATATGATCAATAAATAAAAAATCTATATTTGCATAAAGCTTATTTAACTGAAAAGATACTTAGTTTAAAGAGTAAAAGCTATACTGAACTTGTATTATTGTATTTATAACATATATTGAATGATAGTGTTACTTACCGGATTTAAATTTATTATTATTTCTATTTATAATCAATCAATATTAAATTGTGAATTCAAATAAAAAAAAAAGGGTTTTCTTATTTTTAGTTTTTGTATAGACTTACATTATTGTCACTTTTCATATTACTACTTAATTCTCATAACTAATCAATAATTTATTATATTCATCTATTTATATATTTTTATTTACATTTACATTTATATTTACATTTAATACAAAATCATTTCCTTTTTTTTGGGTTTAAAAACAAGAAATCATTAGTGCACTTATTTCATCCATTCTATCATATATCATTTTAATTCAATATCAACTACTATAGATTTTCATTAAAGAAGTTCTAATTATTAAACTGCACTAATTTATTTCATATTTTTATTTCCACATTTTATATCCAATAACTTCCGTAAATTAAGAGACATAGTAAATATATAATTTTTGCAACACAAATATTACAGCCGTATTGGATTACCTTATCATAATTTACCTTATTTCATTTCATTATATCAATCACTAATAAATTCCAAATTATCACTACCTACATTCAAGAAAACCTAAATTATGTCAGATGTTAAAATAGAAATAGATCGTACGACAACAGATGGAACATTTACAAATCATGATATTATAAAAGGTAAAATAACATTAGTTGTAACAAAAGCAATTACATTAAATTGGATTCAAGTTAAATTAGAAGGTATATCATCTACACAATTATCAATACCTAAACAACTAAGTAATAAAAGAGATAAAGATAAAAAAGAAAAATTAATAAAAGATGATCATAAAGTATTATATGATACTCAAATTGTTTTCCCACCTGATAATATAAGACAAGTTTCACAAGCAAAAGAATTTACATTAGCACCAGGGAATTATTCATATAATTTTGAATTTAAAATTCCACTAAATAATTCATGTGTTAAAATGAGTGGGATTTCAAATAAAGTTTCATTAAATTTAAAAACATTTGATGTAATGATAAATAATGGGAATTTTAATTCAACATTTGTTAAAAATAAAGCAAATCAATTTATAAATGAATATTCAAATGGTAATGGATCAAATTCAAAAAATTCAATAAGACCTCCACTGCCTCAACAACAACATTATCATATAACATCACAATTACCTCCTTCATTATCAGGTATTGGAGATTTTGCAAAAATTAAATATTTTATAAAAGTTACATGTAAAAGATCATCATTTTTAAAAACTAATTTAAGAGCATATGATCCTTTTATTTTTCTACCTTTAGATTTAGATATGCAAAATAGACCACTTTTAGGAAATCAAGAATTTGAAATTGATTATAAAGAAGCATTTGTTAGAAAAGAATTAATTTTTAGAAATAGAATTCCTGAAATTGTTGGTATAAAATTCCCATCATCAAATTCTCAAAAACGTACATCTTCTTATCTGGAAAAAAAAGCATTACCTTCAATCCCCAATATTCAACCAAAAAAGCAAGGTTTAATGCTGAGATTATTTGGGAATGAAACTAATTTATCCATTCCATCACCTCAAACTTCAAATGTTTATCAAAATCCACCACAACAAATATCACAACCGCCAAATCCTACTAAAAAATTTATACCAGAAATAAAATCAAAAGATGTTTCATTCTCATTTGAAATTAGATTTAGATATCCTGCATTTTTAATACCTACAAAACCACCATCTTTTAAATTATTTTTAATATCAAATTTGAATCCAGCAAGATATACATTAGCAGAATATGGAAAACCAGATGATTCAAATGGGTTAGGGATAATATATTTACAAAAATTAAATATAACTTTAACTTCAACCACATTAGTATCAGTAGTTGAAAATGATGGAGCATCAAATGAATATCATATGGGACAACATGAAGAAAAATTAAACGTTTGTAATAATACTTATCAAAATTTAAAATTTGATTTAATGCATAGTCAATTAAATAGAAATGCATCAAATTCAGTTACGTCAAATATTAATTCAACAAATTCCGTATATGAAATAGAAATACCCAAAAAATATTTTGATAATTGTATATTACCAGATCATTTATCCCCAAGTTTTAAAACATGTAATATAACAAGAAAATATAATCTTAATATAACAGCAGGTTTTTCATGTGAAATAATAAAAGATTTTAGGGATAAACAAGAAATGTCTAAAAAGATAAAATACGTAGATTTACAATGTTTAAATATAAAAGTATTAAGTGGTTTAAATATGACAAGTACTTTACAATCAAATGCATCAAGATCTTCAATTCCTACATTATCACAAAATTCAACACCTCAATTACCAACCCCACCTCCAATATTACCTTCAAAAGCTACTGAACGTCAATATTCACATTCTTCAATAAATCCAGTATTAAATTTTAATAATAATTCAAATCATGATGAAAATGGTACTAGTAATAATGGTCATAGTCATGTTGCGACTAATGAAACAATTGATGAATCTATTGCTATGTTACCTACTTATGAAGATGTTGTTTTGGAAAGTTCTTATCAAGATAATAGTGAACATCAAAGAGCTAGAAGAAGGTATCAACAACATGAACAATATTATTATAATTTAGAATAGATGAAGATTTTTCTTATTTTATTAGAATTGAAGGTTGAATCTTATTTATATATAGATGTTTATACATGTAGATAAATCTTAAATAAATAATTAGTTACAAACAAACCCGAGATTTGTAAAATTGAAAAAAAATAAAAATCCGTAACTTGTGGCAAATGTAGGAGAACACAAAAAATTCAGCTATCTATGCACGTGAGGGGAGCTATATATATACGGATTTGTATCATTGAAAATAGCATACACAAAAGTGCTTTATTTGATATGCTGAAATAGTTTATTTGTTATGCTGATTTAGTTTATTTGTTATGCTAAAATGGTTTATTTGATATGCTGATTTAGTTTATTTGTTATGCTAAAATAGTTTATTTGTTATGCTGATTTAGTTTATTTGTTATGCTGATTTAGTTTATTTGATATGCTAAAATGGTTTATTTGTTATGCTAAAGTTATTTGTTATGCTAAAGTAATTAATTTGCTATGCGATTTATTTGTTATGCTAAAGTACTTTATTTGTTATGCTGATTTAGTTTATTTGTTATGCTAAAATACTTTATTTGTTATGCTATTTTAGTTTATTTGTTATGCTAAAGTGGTTTATTTGTTACGCTAAAGTAATAAATTTGTTATGCTAAAGTAATAAATTTGTTATGCTAAAGTACTTTATTTGATATGCTAAAGTGCTTTATTTGATATGCTTAAATGCTTTATTTGATATGCTAAGGTGATAAGTTTGTTATGTAGAATTGATTTATTTGTGCTATACAAAAACTACCAATTTTTAGCTGCAAAATAAGTAGAAATAGTGTAGAAGAATACTGGAGTAAGTACTACTCTTCCAACCAAAACGCTCATACAAATTACACTCACTTTTTCCTTAAGTATCCTCTTTTATAGCTCTCATGGTTCTTAAAAAAATTCTGAAAAGTTGCATTTTTCAAGTGGACCAGTAGTTGAAGAAGTGAAAATTTTTTATACCTTCCCAATTTCTTTTTTATTCAAGTTATTAGATTTTATACTCAAAATAAAGCTACAAAGATTTTGAATGTTATTTGTATGGACACTCTCCTCGATATCTAAAAGATGAACAAGTTATTTGAAGTTGAAATCAAAATTTTAGTCATTCTTGAAATTTTAAACTACACTAAAAATCAATGCGGCAACGAAAAAAAGTTATCTACGCTTTTTCCAGACCGAGTTTGAAACAATTCAAATTCAACATCAAATGAACCTGAATTTACTCGATCAAGAGATTTATGCAAAGTAGTCTCATATTACATACGCATATCTTAGTAGATTTTTCTCATGTAAAATTGAACTTGACTCAAAAAATTTAGAATAAATTGATATATCATATTTTTGAAAATACTAGAATCCTGCTCCAAAGCTCGTTTTTTGGATTTTTGGATTTTACTTTCAAATTTTTATAAAATTACCATTTTACAATAAAATTAGCATCAAACCAAAGCTAGAAAAATTTCCAATGTCATTTGTATGAGCATTTTCTTCGTCGCGTCGAGGTTAGAAGAATTATACAAGAATCAATCAAAAAAATCCGTTCGATTCAAACATCAAAATCATGTTAGCAATTGGTGCGGCAACGGGGAAAAATTATCTATGATATCTTTAGACTGATTTTGATACTATTGACTTTAGCACGAAAACTCATAACTAGGCTTATATTATAGCGATGCAATTAATATATATATATAACTTACTCCAAACTTTGCTCATACTTGACTTCGAATGTTAAGTAGTAGTTTTAAAAAAAGAAATTGAATGATAATTATCGATGAGACTAAAAATTAAATCAGCCCAGTCACTCAACAACCTCGAGTAAATTGACACGAGACTTTAATTCGTGCTCGCAAGAGATTATGGCAGCAGTTCCGAAGATCCAATTTATTACAAAATTTTGAATTGCTCTAAGTTAGTGTATAAGTCAACAAGAAGATTAAGGAAATCCGATTGTTCATTCTTGATTTACATCTTCAAGGATATCCTATCAATCCTCTAATCTAAACTTCAGAAGGTCATAGTGATGATATTATATTTATAGAATATGTATAGAACATTACTACACTACCAATTAAAAATTTAAAAAAAAAAAAAAAATATTTGAAAAATTTAATAATTGCCATTTCTATATAATAATTGAGATTAAATAGCACTTAATTAATTGATAAATCAATTTATATATATAATTATCATTTCATTATGTCAGATAATTTTTTTATTAAGAATAAAACAGCTATTATAGTGACTGCATTAGCTGTTACTTCAGCTTTTGGTGCTTATTATTATTACAATCAACAACAACAAGAATCATCATCTAAAACAAAAGATCCAAAATCAACTTCAGACGAGAAATCAATTGGAGGTTCAGGATCATCTTCATCATCATCTAAAAAGAATAAGAAAAAGAAGAAATCTAAAACATCATCAAGTCCAGAGCCAAATGACAATGCTACTGAATCAACAACTGCATTCACCAAAACAACTAAATATCCAGTCAATTCAAAAGGATTACCAGCATTAACTTCAGAAATTATATCTAGTTTACCAGAATCGGAAAAGGAAGAATGGGCAATGCAATTAAAAGAAGATGGTAATACAGAATTCAAAAATAAGAAATACGAAAAGGCAATTGAATTCTATTCAGCTGCTTTAGAATTGAAAAAAGATCCAATTTATTATTCAAATAGATCTGCATGTTATGCTGCTTTAGATGATCATGAGAATGTAATCAAAGATACAACTGAAGCCATTAAATTAAAACCAGATTATACTAAATGTATTTTAAGAAGAGCTACTTCATACGAAGTATTAGAACAATATGAAGATGCAATGTTTGATTTAACTGCTTTGACTATATATGGAGGATTCTCAAATAAATCAGTTGAACAAGTTTTAGAAAGAGTATTAAGAAAACATTCAATTAAAATAGTTGATCAAAAAGAGAAAAAATTCGCTTTACCATCAGCAGCAACAATTGGATCATTCTTTGGTGCATTCGATGATGAAAAAATATTAAATGACTTGAATGAATCAGGTGAAGGTGGTGAGAAATTCTTATATGATGCATTAATTAAAATTCAAAATAATACAAGAGATGGATATGAAGAAGCTGATACTTTAATCAATCAAGCTGTCAATGCATTAAAAGATGACGATACTAAAGTAAACGTTTATGCAGTTGCATTAGAATATTTATCAGCTTTCCAATTTTTGAAAAATGATCCAGCTACAGCAGCAGATTCAATCAATAAAGCTATTGAATTAAAACCAAGACCAAGAGCTTATGTATTCAGAGCTTTAATTAATGCAGATAAATCATCATATGAAGAAGCATTAAAAGATTTTAAAGCAGCTGAAGATTTAGATCCAAAATCACCAGATATTTTCTACCATTTAGGTCAATTATTCTATTTAACTGGAGATTTATTAAATGCAGAAATTAACTTCAATAAAGCCAGATCATTACATCCAGATAACGTATATGCATACATTCAATTAGCTTGTATCACTTATAAAAATGGTAATCCAGAATTAGCTTATGAAAAATTCACAGAAGCAAAATTAAAATTCCCAACATCACCAGAAATTCCAAATTATTATGGTGAAATATTAGCAGATAAAGGAGATATTGAAAATGCGTTAAAACAATTTGATATATCATCAAGATTACAAGAAAAATTGGATAGATTTAGTGTAGGAGCATTACCATTAATAAACCAAGCAACAGTTATATCAAGAGAAAGTTTAGAAAGAATTGGAGAAGCAGAAACTTTATTGATTAAAGCATGTGAATTAGATCCAAAATCTGAATTAGCAAGAATTTCATTAGCACAAATTAAATTACAAAAAGATGAAGTTGATGATGCTATAATATTATTTGAAGAAAGTTGTGATTTAGCAAGATCAATTGAAGAAAAAATTCAAGCTATTTCATTTGCTGAAGCTACAAAGATGCAAAAAAGAATTAAAAATGATCCTATTTTAACTAGAAAAATTGCTGAATTAATGAGACAAAGTGGGGCTTTATAATGAAGAAGAAAAGAAAGATTGGTGGTTATGAAAAATTAGACTTTTGAAGTAGAAGATTTAGGTGAGTTGAAGACTGGAGGGTTTTTAAAAAGATTGTATATATTATCAAATGATTTTTATCAAAATATTTTGTATATTTTTATAAATAAACAACAGAGATTTAAAGGTTTAATTTTTTTTTTCAGTTTTGAAATGAATTAAGTTGATGTTTCAAATGTCACAAGACTGTAATTGGTAGCTATATCGGCATTTGATATTTGTTTACAAAATTAGCTCTAACTTTTGGCAACCAATTTCATACTAAAAGCATCTATAAAAATAATCATCACAACAAGTTTAATTTGATCCGAATTTGAATTGAAGATGAAAGATTGAGTAATAACTAAAAGTCAATCATATTTAAATTCAAAAAAATCTTTAATGAAAATAATAAAATCGTTAATTAGATCACTAGTAGCATCACCAAAAAATTTACATTACGACAAACAACTAAACCTACAGCTAGACTTATCATACATTACACCCAATTTAATAGTAAGTTCAGCTCCCACAACTTCATATTTAGAATCATGGTATAGGTATCCTTTAAAAGATTTGATTTTATTTTTAAATTTAAGACATGGAATTGATAATTGGTTTTTATTTAATTTTAGAGGTGAAGATCCTGGATATTCAAACGAACAAGTTAAAGATAAAGTTGCTCATTTCCCATTCCCTGACCATTATCCACCTATTTTGAAAATAATGATGGAATCCACTGTTGCAATTAATGACTTTTTATCATTAGATCAAAAAAATATTGCAGTTTTGCATTGTAAAGCAGGTAAAGGTAGATCAGGTACTATATGTTGTGCTTTTTTGATGTATGATTCAATAATTAATAAAGGTCAAGATATAGATATTGACCAAGTTATTTCTTATTACACTAGTAAAAGAATGAGATTTTTTGGTGGTGATGGAGTTAGTATTTTAAGTCAACGTAGGTATTTGAAGTATTGGCATATGTATTTAACCAATGAAGAACTTGAATTGAGATATCAAAATTGGGTGACTGAAAGGAAGACTAAGAAGATATCAAAAATTATTTTACGTGATTGTATGAAAAAAGAGGTCTTATTAAGTTTATCAGAATATGAAATAGTGAGACAAGAAGTAAATAGAGAGAATACCATAGTTAAGATATTGATTCCTTTGTTGAATTCCGAAAATTGTAACATAACCAAAAGTGGAAATGACATGTGCTATGAATTACGACAACCAATTGAAGTAGATGAAGATGTAATGATTGGGATTGGTAACTTTTGTTATATTTGGTTTAACATGTTCTTTGAAAATGAACTTAGGTCGAAGAAATCACTACAGCAAAATCAGGAAATGGTTGATCATGGAAATAACGATAATTTCCAATTCACATTTAAGTGGGAAGAAGTTGACGGGGTTAGAGGTACTAAACTACAAGGTTTCAAATTATTCAGTAAAATTGAAATTCTTTTGAGGGATATAGTAATTTGATGTTTAAAAGGCTTGAAGTAGATCAGCTAGAATAGAAAATTTGTACAATACTGTAATAAAAAAAAAATTCAGTTCATTAACAAATGTATAATTATATGAATATATATTAAATAAGAAAAATATAGAATGTTATATAAAACTTATGTTAACCACCTTTTTTTTCATTATCAATATCTAACCAAAATTGTTTCAAGATTTTTTGAAATGGTATTAAATGTTTTGAACTTTTATTAAGGATTAAAATATTTTTAGAAGTGTTTGTAAAAGGTTTTGTTATTTTGATATCTTTGAAGATGGTAATTTCAGTTTGTTTAGGATTAATTTTTACATTTTTATCTCCAAATTTTTCTTTAAATTTTTTATTTAATTTTAATGCTATTGTTTGATTATTTGATTGTGGATGTGGAGAAGATGATTTCGCAGTTTTGGTATTAGTTGTTGTTGTAATATTATGTTGAGTATTTGTTTTGCTTGGATCAGTTGTGGCAGTTGTTGTAGTGTTATCATTATGTTGTGGATGCTTTTGTGGTGATGAAATAGATTGTGATGATTTTTGTTGTACAGATGATGGAGAAGAATTTTCTTGGTGAGTTGATGTAGGTTTGTAATTTTTGATTTGATGTTTCAAAATTTGTTTTAGATCATCTATATTAATAGGTTGTAAATTGACTTTATCCTTTTCATGTTTTTGGTTACTTTTTTTATTGTTATTGATTTTGTTCGGAAATGGTGGTAATACTTGTATACTTTTTATAAATGATGTATTAATTATTCTATAAGTATGTATTTTGTTTGAATCTTCTTGATTTTGGTCTTTTTGGTCTTTCTGGTCTTTTTGATCATTTCTATTTATTCTTAAAACTAAAATTTCATTAGATGATGAGTATGTATATATTGAACCTGTTATCACTTGATCCAATAATGTTGTTACTTTTAAATTTATTGATATTGATTGATCAAATGATTGAAGTGACATAATTAGATATAAAATTATAATAAGTAAAAGAAATGAAAAAAAATAATGCTATTGACTTTTTTATAAATGCTAATTAAATGAGTGTTTCAATGAAGATGGTATGTTATTAATGTTTTTGTGAATGATGGTAATGAATGATTAATTATATAATGATTTGTTATTAATGATCTTTAAAGTTGATATTTAATATTCAATTCAATCTTGAAAAATTTAAATTTTTGTAATAATTTTTGCAATACATAATAATTATTATTAAGAAAATGTACAAAGTGAGTGAGGAGAACTACCAAATGATTTATTTATCTCGGAAAAAACAAATATTTGTCATGACAACTTATTTCCGGACATCAGATGATAAAGTGACATTGACTTATTTATTTACGTCTAGATCAATCAATTGATAATTGTAATTGATAATTATACAATCATATAAATTAATGAAACAAATGTTGAATATATATTTTATATAATGAATCAAAATGAAGAAGAATTACAATCAATTCAAATAGATCAATTAGAAGATCAATTAATAGATCATCCAGATGAAATAACCAAGAAACAATTACATGATACTTCATTAGATGAAACTTTTCAAAAAAAATTAAGTGCAAAAGCTAAACAATTTGATTTAAATAATAATAAAAATTTTATAAATCATATAAATAATTTAGATTTAAATGATTCAAGCGATTTCAATGGAAGAGATAATAATTTTAATAATTTAAATAATGGAGTTAGTAGTAATAATGGATCTTCATTAAATTATCAATTTTTGATTACAAAACTGCATTTAGATTTTACTAAAAAGGAATTTGGTGATTTGGAACAAGAGATATCTGAATGGTTTTCTTTTAGTGATTTGAAAGTTCTCGGAGGATTAGATAGATTAATTGAAAATTATGAAAATTGCAAAAATATTCAAAAAATTTCAGAAGAATTAAAAAACGATACTATTCATGATAATTTAGTAGGTTTGAAAAGTATTTTATATTATAGTTTTGGGGAATATGCCGATAAATCTAATGTACAAGACCAATTGAGTTTTATAACTACAAATAATCTAAAATTAATAGCATATGAAATTTATAAACCGCTAACTACAATATTGAAGAATTTTTTAAAGGAGAGAATAGACAAGGATAATAATTCACTATTAGAGAACAAAATGTCGAAGAAAGTTGAGGATTCATATTTTAGAATTTTAACATTAATATATTTCATGACATTAATAGCATTATATAAAAAGAATGACGGAGTAGTCAGGAATTTTAAGCATTTTTTACTGGATATTGGACTTTTGGAAACTATTGTACAATTTATAGAACATTGGAAATGGCACAAGAACAATAATTACAGAATCAGATATCTTATACTACTACTAAATAAATTATTAATTTTAGAATTTGGTGATTGGGATCAACTAAAAAATTGTGATTCATTTCTTAATGAGCTACACAACATCAAGACTAGTAAAGATAAGGAAGAAGATGGTAAAACAAGATTAACCTTATCACCACTAGATTATTTTTCATTTAGAGAAGATTTGCTAGACAAATACCCATTATTTGATTATACGAAAGAAGAATTACAAAAGAATTTAGACCACAGTACCCATGATTCAAAATCAATAGAGGAAAGATATCAATACTTCATGGCAGTAAACAATTACTCCACTTCATTATCAAATATTATAGAACAACCAAAGACAAATAAATCACATACCGTTTTAAGTCAACTACCTGCTCAACAAGTACATATTGCAACGCCTTTACCATCACCTAAATTAATTTCATCTGAATATATGTCTGGCGGAGAGAAAATAAGGAAATCATATCAAATCAACCAATCCATGCCATTTATTTATCCAAATGATGAAAAAACCAATTCAACCGTTCCGTATGCATTGGTCGAGGCTGATGAAATCTTAAAAAACTCAATCAATGAAAGTTATTCTTCAAAAAGACTTTGGAGTGAGAGAGAAAAATTTATGAAACAAGAAAGAGGATTCGAAAGTTCATATAAAGACAAAGATGAATTTGACTACGATTTTGTAGAATTAAAAAAACAATTTCCTAACAAATCATCAGAAATAGGATCACTACTTAGAGTCGAAACATTTTATACAAAAACATTTTTCAGACTATCATCCTTAATTGAAGTGTTTATGGAAATTTTGAAAAACAATAGAATTGAAAACAATTTAAATTTTTATGAACTAGAATTGAATCCATCAACTTCTTTCATTGTCAACTCACCATTAGCTCAAGATAATGAAAAATCCAAATCTAGAATTGAAAATGTTTTGTTATCACAATTGGAAGTGATGAATATAAAAGAAATTTTGACAAAATCAGTCACAAACATAGTTTTAGCATTAATTAAATGGTTTAAAATCAGTCATGTTTTAAAATATTATTATTTATCTTCAATTTTATTTGATCAACAGTTTTTCATAATAGCATTAGATTTCATAAGTACAAATTTCAATAACATGAACAATCAATCAATACCACAACTGCCGAACGATAAAAAGGATGAACTAATAGAGTACGAAATCTTAATTAATCAAAATAGATTAATGAATCCACAGATCCACCTACCAAAACTAAATTTTTTCAACAATTGTTTGAAGAAAAATGATGAAAATTATATTTATAAATTCATAAATAACGAGTTCATATCAGAGTTACCTAAAGAATTAGATTCAAATAATGTAAATAATGTGTATATAAAAAAATTCAACCCAAATTTTGCAACAATTTTATCAAACTTACTAAATATAACAAACAAGATCCTTATCAAAAATCAAATACAAAGAATTTTTATAATCAACGATCTAAAACCATCAGAACTTTTTAAAATGTTATTAATAAACTACGACAATGTTAATTTAACAAAACCAATTTTGAAAATTTTGAAAAAACTAGTACCATACCAAGGTAGAAAATGGAAAAGTAACAATATGGATCTAATAAGTTTAATTTACTTAAATTGCAAACTTAACTTAAAAGATAATTGGTTAAGTGGTAAGGATTTAGAGAATGATTTTAATATAAGTTTTGATCAAGAAATTGCATTAAGAGGATTATTACAGTTTTATCATTTGAAAAAATATAATAATCTGAAATTGGGTTATAAAATTAGTGACGAAGATGATGAAAAGACTGCTGATGATGTTAATGAACTAGGTAAGAGTATCCCGAAATTGAACTTGAATGAGTAATGAACAATCCAAAACTATTAGGTAATTACATATAGCACTATTTAATAAGTAATGTCATAATAACGCTAAAATTACATTTTCATGTTCATCTCTTCCAAATTCTTTATCGTTAAAACAAACTCTCTCGTTAAAACTTTTTTATGTATTGAACTATACATCCTTTTAGCCATGTAGTTTAATAATATGATCTTGACTAATTAAAAATCTTGACTATCTGTTTCAGGTTTTCGCACGGGTTTAATAATGCGGTATCGACAAAAGAATTTGTACGGTGCTAGGTGCAGATCGTTGTACAACAGCCCCAATTTAAACTCAATTTCTTCTCAAATTGACAGAATTAATTCATCATTAATAATAATCGTGGAATATATTCAAATTTAGGTAAGTCATTTTCGACTGACTTTTTGTGACTACTATCTTAATCATGATAATAAATCAAGAATCACTTCCAAAATTTGCCAAAATTATTTTGCATATTACTCCACACAAACATATGAACAGCTCGAGCAATTGGCTAAATAGATATGAGAAAAACCAGATCTCTTCAGAGATAAATCAAATTCAAAATTTAATTTTTGAGCCTTTTTAATTGCAAAAAAGGCCATTTAAATATTCGAATTTTCGCCAAAAAACCATTCCTCAAGTCAAATTAGCTATCAACTTATACTAAAACATTCAAATTTGAGCAAAATCGAAGACTTTTGTGTCTATTTATGATGTTTTAAAAATTGGCAAAATTGCTGCAAATTGGTAAAATTTTCCGTTTTTTGCGACTCACCCCTGTAAGAAGTTGCAGTTTTTAAAGTTTTCAACACAAAAAATTTAGTTTCGAAGCTGCAGTGCTGACTCTTTCAGAACTTATTCTGAATTAATAAAAAAATATGATCACACAAACTATTCCTGTCTATAGGCCAAACTAAACGAATTATTCTCCAAAGTTGTTTTTTAAATTATATGATCCTAAAGCTTCAATTGTACAGTTTCAGTCTTTTTTAAAAACTCATATAATACCCTTAAGCTCCAAAAATATGCTAAGATGTTTTTCAACATCAATTTATGACATTAATATTCATTAATTTGCCAAAAATGTGTTTTGATGCCAAATTTTCGTCTGAAATGGAGGTCAAAAATTTTAGGTAATTTTGGTAACGACACGAAAAATAACATTAAGTATTGTGGTTGAGATGTTTTAGTTTGGTGCGAGAACAGTACGGTGTCGCTTCAAACTGGCACTAAGAAATGATTTAATCAATTAATACAATATGCCGTCAATAGCAAAATATTTTTCAAAATTTCTCATTAATTGTTTAGATTTTATAAATTATACAAGATGAATACTCCTATAATATCTTATTTTGCAATTTTAAATCAACATTTCTAAAGGATTTTCAATAATTCTTTTCAATTCTTTAATCCATTCACCACCTAACGCACCATCAACAACTCTATGATCAAAAGTACCAGTAATAGTTAAAACATCATCAAATATAAAACCTTGTTCATTAACTTCACTTGGTACTGCTTTCTTTTCAGTAGTACCAATAGCAACAATAGCAGATTGTGGAGGATTTATAATTGATGTAAAAGCACTAACTGCATGATTCATACCTAAATTAGAAATACAAATAGTACCACCTTGATATTCTTCTGGATTCAATTTTCCAATTTTTGCTCTTTTACCTAAATCTTTAACTTCATTTGAAATTGCTGATAATCTTTTGTTATGAGCATCTTTAACAATTGGAGTAATTAATCCAGTTGGTGTTGCAACAGCTACTGATACATCAACATTATTATATTGTCTTATAATTCCTTGATCACCTAACCAAGCAGAATTAACTTGTGGAACTCTTATTGATGCAATTGCAATAGCTTTAATTAAAAGATCATTTACTGATAATTTATATCTTTCATCAGCTGATGAATTTAATGAAGCACGTAATTTTAATAATTTTGATACTGAAATTTGTGATTGAATAATATATGTTGGTGATTGTTGAGTTGATTGTAATAATCTTGTTGCAATTGTCTTTCTCATACTTGTGATTGGAATATCTTCGTAAGTAGCACCTGGGGCTGAGGTAGCAGCAGCAGCACTTGGGGTTGAAGCAGCACTTGGAGCAGCAGATTTGGATTCAAGACCTTCAAGATCTTTAGCTACAATTCTACCATGTGGACCTGAACCTTTAACTCCTTTTAAGGCAATACCTTTTTCTAATGCAATAGTTTTAGCTAATGGTGAAGCAAAAATTCTATCAGTTGGAGCAGCAGATTTTGATGGGGCGGTTGATGGTTTTGATTCTTTAGTTTCTTTTGCTTCTTCTTTTGGTTCTTCCTTTGGTTTTTCTTCTTTTGATTCTTCTTCTTTTGGTTGTTTTGGAGCTTCACCAGCGTCAGCAGCAGTAAAATTTTCAAAAGCTGGAACATCATCTGCTTCTTCTACATATACAGCAATTGGTTCTCCAACAGGAACATCTTTACTACCACTATCCTTAAGAATTTTGGCTAAATAACCTTCTTCTTGGAATTCAAAATCCATTGAAGCTTTATCAGTTTCAATTTCTGCTATAGCTTCACCAGGTTGTAATTCATCACCAACTTTTTTTGACCATTCTTGAATATTACCTTGTGTCATTGTTGGTGATAATGCTGGCATATTAATTACTGTATGCGGTGGAAATTTGCCTGATGAGTACATTCTAGCTAATGTTAAAAATGAAGTAGTATTAATCATTTGTGTTGATGATCTTGAAACTAAAGCACGAGCAGCCATTGCTGATCTTGATACAGCAAATAAAGCAGACATTTTTAAATGATATATGTTTGTGTTGGTCTATTTATGATTTAGTATTTAATAATACAGGTAGAATATGTAGTGATATGAGTTAATTGATGGATGAAAATTGGTTGGTTGTTCTTTTGTCTGAACTTTGATGTGTTTGGTTAATCTAAATTATAGAATAAATTTGAAATATTATTATTATTCTCTCTATTCTTTAACAAAATAAAAATATTTAAACTTTTAAAATCTCTTCTTCTTCTAAATTTTACGTCAGTTTGGTAGCGAATACTCCGAGACAAAAAGATGAAACAGATCTAATGACTTAGCGAATTATTTTAAATGCATTTTGAAATTTAAAATCACGACTTCTACGTGAGACAAAGGAGCTTAATAAAACAGTATAAGCTTGAACTTGCAGATCCACTGCTCGATTCCACTGATAAATTCATGTCAGGTTGAAAGTATACGTGAAATCGGTTCTTAATTCTATTTGGTAGCTTTAATATGCGCATCAATGTTTTCCGTACTTAATTATTGTTATCGGAGTTATATCTCCAGATGATTTCTTCTCAACATTTTCTTGTTTCAAAGTTTGGGGTTTCCAATGATCATAGTATTTATGGAACAAAGTGTAACGAGGAAAACCGTATGGAAGCCAATTATCATCAATGCCATCTATTTGAATTGTAATCTATAATAAGTCTATATCATCACTATTAAAATACTTCTTACTAATTTTTCCTTTACTCAAATGTTTATTCTCAAACATTTTATTAATATCCCCATAACTTTTATTCTTAACTAAATCATCTTGATATATCACATCTACCGCATTATTCTTAACCAAACTATCTTTAGCAGTCTGCCATGAAAATCTAATAAATCCAAAACACCACCCAAATATAGGATCAACATTATGATTCAACCAATAACTAGTATTTGGATCACTAGGATACCCAGATCCTAATTTTTCATTCTTAAGTATTTCAATATTGTTGTTTAAATAATTAATATTTAAATCTCTAGTTACTTTTGCAACTACTGATGCTGTTGATACAATTGGGTATATACTATCTGCTTTTTTCGTTACAACAATTTCTATATTTGGGAAAATATGTTTCAATTTATTTTGATAAGTTATTGGTGGTCCAACTGTATCTACGAAAATATGAGTTACTTTAACACCTTTTGCTAGTGTTTGCTTTATTAAATCAATGGTTGTATCATGAGCTTGTTCATTTAAATTGTATGCACCTGGTCCATTAACTGATCTTAACATCCCCAGTGAAATATCTTTTGCTGTCATTGTAGTAGTAGCCCAACCAACATTTTTAAATAGTTCACTTTCTGGTTCTTCAATTTTTTGAAATAAATTTGTTCTTACTATATCTGTTAATTGTTTTGAATCTGCGAAACCATATGTTTTGAGGGAGTTTTGATAAGATAATAATGAATATGATATACCATAAACCATGGGACCTAAGACTGGTCCTCTACCTGCTTCATCTACTCCTAAAACTATTGGTTCATTTGGATATTGTAGTATTTCTTGGGGTATATCTGAAAAATATGTTGATGATTTAAAATCCTTATAATTTTTTATTGATGTAACTGATGGTGGTAACCAGTAATTTGATGTCTTTAATTTTTTGGTATCATTTGATAGTATAACTTCTGATTCTATTGTAGTTGTTGATTTTATTTCATCTACCTCTATTTCTAACTTTCTCTTTAAGGCTTTTTCCACTATATCATTCTCTATTATTAAATCACTGGTTGTGGTTGAACAAATAACAGCAGCTGGCGACATTTAATCAAAATTTTCTCAAGATGACAATGAATCTAACACTCAAAAGACTTGATGTATTATTTTGATTTCACTATTTACATAATTACGAATTTAACTCCTAAGACGTGTTTTGTGTAATAAGTAACAAAACAATTGATTTTGTGTATTTTTGGTAGCTTTGGCAATTGTTTCTAAACAAGGTTGCAAAACCATAAAACATTCAATCAAGAGAAAAAAGTCTACATATTTCAAGGTTGTGGGTATTTAATAGATTAAGCTATAAATTACTTACCAATTAGTTTGATCCCATTTAACCAATTCCAAAGCTTGTTGATGAACATCTTTTTGCACTTTTTTTCTCATATAAAAAATTGGACAATCTTTATTAGAACATAGAACTTCTTGAAATAAAGAACCTTGACATCTTTGACATTCAGTCCATAATCTTGAAAATTTATTTTCTAAATAATTCATTTGAGATAATGCATTTGAATATAATTGTGGACCTTTATCTTCTCTGATACAATTTTCACATAATGCACCTTTATTGTTGTCTTTTAATGGAGTTTTACAATTAACACATAATTCTGATTTTTTGGCAAATCTCATTAATCCACCTGTTTTGGGAGCTGATACTTTTATTGTTCTTGTATGTGCACCTTCTATTAATTCTTTTGTTTTTGATTCTCCTAAAATAGGGACGAAAATTCTTTCTAAAGGTTTTGTTAATTGTTGTTCTAAATAGTATTTTACATCAATAGGTAATGAATTTTCCAATACATATAATGGATCTTCTGATTTTTCATAATTTTTATCACTTCCGGATTTTATGATCACATAAGCAACTCTATCCCCTAAAGTTGGAGCTGAACCAGGGTCTCTTTTTTTCATTCTTTCTGCTAGTTCAACATGCGCTTGTTTTGCAGAATAATCATGTTTTGAATAAGCTTTTGTAATAACTAATTGAGAAAGATCAACTCTATTTTGTAATAAATCTGCTATAGTTTGTTTGACAAATCTTTGAGCTTTTTCAACATTTCTTTCTTCCAATATAAATTCCAAAACTTTTGTAATAACATTTTGTACTAAACGACAATTATCTCTTCTAACTGTTTCAATTCCCTTTGTATCCATTTTATCAAATTTATTAGGATTTGTCCAATATAAACCTGCATATCTCTTTTTATTAATTAATAAATATGGGAAATAAACTTTTTCGAATTCCAACTTTATAGGCTTTTTAAATTTTTCCGAAACTAAATTTGCAGCTTCTTCCCCTAATTTCATACATGTTTCTAAATCTTGATAACCAAATCTTACCATTACTGAATCAGTATCACCATATATGACTTTTGCATCATGAGGATGACCATTTTTCTTGGAGTATTGTTCTTGAACTTCATTTTTGGTTTTTTCAATCATTTCACGACCAAAAGCAGTGACAGATGAAGAAATTGCCAAACAAGGTAATTTCCCAATTGTTGCTCCTGTGAAACCATATACTGAATTGGCTGAAATTTTTAAAGCTAATTGTCTACCATTAAGCACATCTTTTTTAAAAGGATCAGTTTCTTTTTTCAAATCATTTTTAGCTTTTTTTCTAGCAGTTAATAATTCATTAAGAATAGTTGGTAATATACCTTGTTTTTTGTTTGAATTAACAAAATAATCTCCGTTGGGGGTCTTCGTGTAATCTTCTTCACTTAAATTAAATGCATTTATGGAGTTTCGACTTAATAAAGTTGTATAACATAAGTTATGAGCCATCATAATTGAAGGATATAAAGAACTGAAATCTAATGTTGCAATTGGTACATCATAATAACCTCTTTCTGGTTCAATAACTGTAGCACCTTCATATTCTTCATTTGAACCTTCACTCTTCATGTTTGGAATAACAATATCTTCTTGTAGACATTTTCTGAATAATTGTGATATAACTTTAATTTGTTGACCTCTTGCTAATAAGTATGAGAAAGGAACACCAGTTACTCTTGCCATTTCTGTATAATTAACTAAACACATTAGCTTATCCAATAATCTTAGTGGTAAAAATGCATCTTTTAGACAATAAACAGCCAACCTTCTTCTTGTTTCTTTTGTACCATTCTGTAAATCAGTAATAATCGAATGTTGCACATCTTCTTTTTGTTCACCTAAAAAATGAGCCGATACTGAATTTAGTGTATATGATCTTAATTTATATTCTCTTTGAATAAATTGTAATAAATCCAATTGCATTCTTCCATCTATATTTACAACTTTATTTTCTCTTGTACCATAAGCTCTTGAACTAAAAACTGCATCTTTGATTTCTTGTTTTACATGTTTTAGTCTACCAAAATATGGGAAATTATTTAGCTTCAAAGCTTTTGCTCTATCAAGAATATAAGGTATATCAAAGTTTGTAGTATTATAACCAATTATAACATCAGGATCAACTTCATTTATAAAATCTTTCCAATGTAATAACATTTCTTCTTCTTTTTCATGTTCAAATATTTGTGAACCGATAATTGATGAACAAGTATTAACAGTAAATACATTTCTTACAAATGGTTTTGTCTCTCCCAACCTCAGTACAACATTTGCAATTTGGATAACAGGATCTTGATCAGCTTCTGGGAAAATACCTTTTCTACCAGCACATTCAATATCGAATGATAATATACGTAATGGGGCCATTTTTAACCAATCTCCTTCTGATTGATGAGTTATCAAATCTTTATAATTTATATTACATTCAATTTGACAAGTTGAAATCTCATTTGTAACCATTTTATATTTTGTTTTTGGTAATGTTATCCAAGACATACCAGTAATTTTACAATCAATCATTAATCTTAATAAATAATTTATATTATCATATACAACACTTTGTTGTAATGGAAATAAATCATCAAATCTTATTTCTGCTTTTTCAAAAGCAGTTCTTAATCTAGTTATATTCTTATTACAATTGACATATATTTTGAAAAATGGAGTTTTGATATTGTTGTTAAATCCCCATATGGATTCTTTTAATGTAATTTCAACATCTACTACTCCATCGTAGTTTGATTTTAAATAATTTGTAAATTTTCTTAAATGTTGATCTTTAATAAATCCCTTAGGTACTGGTGAATAAAAATAATGTACAAATCCTATTACATTACATAATACTGAATGCCCTTCTTGAGTTATTCCAAAAAACCTTGCATAAGTTGAATCATGATCACTATATTCTTCTGCATCTAATTGTTGGAAGGATACATCATTTAAATTAGGATTAAAACTCTTTGATAATTCAGGTCTAGCCCAATTTTGATCTTCTTCTGACCCCAAAGTTTGTGCAGCTTGAGTCATATCAAGTAATTCTTTTTCAAATTCAGAAGGTTCTTCAGATCCATTAGGTCTTTTAACTTTTTTTAATAATTTTTCTTGTGAAGGGGTTAATTCAAATGATGAAGTTGCTGATGCAATTTGTGATGCTACTGGTAACGAATGTGCTTGATCCTGATGAATCTCCTCAAACGGTCTCTTTCCAGACATCATTATGTAATTTTAATATATAAGTTGATTGATAATATGAAATGTAATAAATAAAAAAGGATTTTAAGGTAATAGTAATGATTTTAATGCAAATAAATAGTGATAAAATTTGTTTTAAAAAAAAAAAAAAAAAGATTTTAAAAAGTCAATTAATGTAATTGAGATGAGTTGAATTAAATTAAAACAATATGATTGAATCAATAATGTTAGTTGTATATGATTCAATTAATGACTATATGAATGTAGATGATCTACTTCCTTTAATAATAATATCATTAATATTAATAGTAAATAAAATATTAATCTTAGTCGCGTCTATTAAAAAACCAAATCCTGTATATAAACTTAGCCATTTATAAGACGTGTTAAAGTAAGTAAAAATTAGTAAGTAAAAATTATATATTGATGTACGGTAGTCCTTCAATTGTGATATTAATAAATAATTTGCAACTTAAAATCATACAAGAATTATTAAGATAGTGTAAATGTCATTGAAATATTGAGGAGAAAGTGGGCAACTAAGAAGAGTTTCTTACCCCCTAGTCGTGTTGTTTGACACCTGAATATGCCTTGATACAAATATTATTCGGATTTAATACAAATTTGCAGCAATTTGTTGCTAAATTTTATATCACTTCAAGATTTGCAAGAGATGATCGGCAATTTTAACTAGTTAAAGGTCTCATGCCAACATGTTTTTTCTTTTCATCTAAATAGCTTAGCTTCTGTTAAAAGAATTTGTTATTCAATGTTTCAAGCAATTCACTTTCTTATCGTGGTGTGAGAGATTGTATTGAATACGAAAAAATAATCCAAATTCCGAATAGTGAAAAATTCCAAGTTTTATCAACACTATCTAAATATTATACATTATTAAGGCAAATGATATAGCCTATTGAAAAAAAGAATGACCAAAAATGATACCAACAATATACTAAACCCATTGATTGTATGTTCATACTCCAATTAAGCTTTCAAAATTGATAATTTCAAAAAGAGAGCAAAAATTCAGTCGATTTAATTAGACTCATACTAACATTGTTTAAACTAGAGTGGTGCTTGTGCCGGTATAGCAACAGATTTAGCTTTTTTTCCTATAGATACAATTAAGACCCGACTTCAAGCAAAAGGTGGTTTTTTCCATAATGGAGGTTATAAAGGAATCTATAGAGGTTTAGGATCATGTATAATAGCATCAGCACCATCAGCTTCATTATTCTTTATTACATATGATAATTTAAAACAACAATTACAACCATATATTAATTCACCAGTTTATAGACATATTATTGCTGCATCATTTGGAGAAATTATGGCATGTACTGTACGAGTTCCTGCTGAAGTCATAAAACAACGTACTCAAGCTAAGTTTCATGGATTATCAACTAGTTTATCTAATTTAAAATATATTTTAAATAGTCAATCAACTTTTAAAAATTTATATCGTGGTTGGAATAGTACAATTATTAGGGAAATCCCATTTACTATGATACAATTCCCCTTATATGAATGGTTAAAATCACATACTTGGAAATTAAAAACTGGTGGTTCTACAAATGATCACATTGTGATATCAAGTGGTATAAAAGGAGCTATAAGTGGTATGATTGCAGGTGGGATAGCTGCGGCATTAACTACACCTTTAGATGTTTTAAAAACAAGAATAATGTTAAGTTCAGGTAAAGTTCAAGTGTTACCCTTATTAACACAACTAATAAAGGAAGAAGGTTGGGGAAGTTTATTTAAGGGAATTGTACCAAGAACTTGTTGGATTAGTTGTGGTGGTGCTATCTTTTTAGGTTGTTATGAATTGGTTCATAATGAATTGATAAATGTTGGTATTGAGTAATTACATTTGAAACAAATGGACCTTAATGACTTTATGAGGTGACATTTTTTGTACATAGAATAAAATTGGAGTTCTCATACTGTTTGATTAAGGAAATTCTTAATGTTGGAATGATAAAACAAGTCTTTACAAGTCTTTATAGATTATAGAATTAATATAAATAATACAAATCGGTCAATCAACAACGCTTTTCACTATTACTTCTAGTCTCTTTAGTGTCTACTGAAATGCTTATTTAAATGAATTTGACAAGTACATGGTTTCCAAAATAGGTAACAAAAGCGCCGCTCAAGTCAAATCAAAAAAAATTGAAATTGTATACTGCTGTAACTTCTTTACTATACAAAATAGACAAAACAAGATGAAATGAAACTACATAAACAAACAAGAGTATCATCAATAAAACTATTTTTTTTCATTTTTGTCATCAGAACCATTAATTCGTTATCAATTCAAACTTTTTTTCAAGCAGATGAATTTTACCAATCATTGGAACCAGCTCATTATTTCACATATGGATATGGATATTTAACATGGGAATGGGAATATAAATTACGTTCATCAATACAACCATTGATTTATGTTTTCGGTTATACATTAGCTGGTGAGAATAAAACATTGATTTATTATATACCAAAATTAATAAATGCTTTAGTTGCTTCATTATTTGACTTTTCATTATATGGATTTATTTTAAATTATTCTAAGAGTTATAATTTAGCATGGACTGGATTGATTTTATCAATTTTCAATGCATTTAATTGGTTTGTATTAACTCGATCATTTTCTAATAATCTTGAGGCTTGTTTTACTACATTAGCTTTGAAATATTGGCCATGGAATAAGAGAATTGGTAAAAGTTGGTATATTTGTTTAATTTTTATTACTTTGAGTTGTATTATTCGTCCTACTAATGCAATATTCTGGTTACCTTTTGGATTCTGGCTTCTTTATTTAGTTCCAATTGGTTTCAAATTTGTTTTATCATCTATAGCTGAAGTTGTTTTAGTATTGATTGCCAATTTAGGAGCAGATTATTATTTTTATAGAGAAATCACATTTCCATATTTTAATTTTATTGAATTCAATTATATAAAGAATTTAGCATCATTTTATGGAGTTGCACCTTGGCATTTTTACATACTGCAAGCATTACCACTAATGTTATTAACATATATACCAATCTTTTTATGTGGTCTTGAAAAAAGCATTTTATTAGTGACTTGTATAATTTATATTGTTGGATTTTCCACTATTAAACATAAGGAATTCAGGTTCTTAATGCCCTTGAGTCCAATATTTTTATACTTTGCTGCAAGAGGTTATAAGAAATGGAAATGGAAATATTTGTCAATTATTGGAATATTTATAAATGTGGTTGTCGCTTTGTTTTTGAGTAATATCAATGAGAGAGGAGCAATTGATGTTGTGAATTACTTAGGTAACAAGAATGCTGATTCAGTTTTTTTCATGACACCATGTCATTCATTCCCTTGGCAAAGCTCATTTCATAATAAGGAGATTCAAATCGAAAGCCTAACATGTCTACCACCTCTCGACATTAGCAATCCTTCTATCGAAGAGCTCAAAAATTACAGAGATGAATCAGATGTTTTTTATGATGACATTGACCAGGGTATACTTAATATAATGAATCAACAAAATCTACCTACTTACATTGTTATTTTTCAAGGTCTAGAGAATTTGATGGATCAGCAAGATAAGTATTATCAAAAAGAGAAAAGATTTTTCAATAGTTACTTTCATTGGGATGATAGAAGAAAAGGTGATGTAATACTATATAAAAAGATCAATAACAAGACCAGCAAATAGAATAGACTTAATAGATTAGGATACAACCAGTGTTTCTGCTTAATCAATTGAATAATAACCTAATATATCTTTGTCTTGTAGAAATAATTAATTCTGAATACCGGCTAATACAATAAATTGTTGCAATAAATTGTTGCAAAGAAATAGCTACCATATGAAATAACGCGCGCCTTGTTTTTCCCCACATTTTACTAACAATGTTTAATACAAAAACATACACTTAAAGCAAATAACTAATAAACATTAACCTATTCATAAAGGGGAATAATTAATTTAATTTTACGAGTTACCAAATGGTTTGTTATTGCAATGAGGCAAACAGTCTCAATTTATCATTTACCATTTTTAGAATTAAAAACGAAGGATTCCTATTTTTTAAAAAATTAGCAGTAGAAAATTCTACTAAAATTAAATAATTAAGCATGAATAAAGTGTGTAATTTCGTAATTTTTTTATGTGATTTTTTTGAGTTAATTAATTCATTAAATAACATATACTTGAAAATTATAAAATAAAGACTCTGCCTATTAATTAAAAATTCAAAAGATGAAGAAATTATGCCCTATAATTCAAAATTTTCAAATTTTGATAAATTAAAACCTTTATGTGTTTCAGAATTTAAGGAGTTAAATTTAAATATCGAGCTACCAAAAACACACCTAATTGCATCTTACAAATCTAAGAGTAAATTTAGATATTTGTAAAACTTATTTCCTTTAAAGTGTATGTAGATTTATTTTGTTAAGTTCATCAGAAACTTCGGCCAATAGTTCGAGTTTTTCGTCTTGCAACAATTTAGAGTATTACTCTTTTAAGACAACTTTTCTTCATAAAGTCAATACTTTCGATGATGATCCTCTTGTTCTTTTTTGTAAAATATTTTTTAATCCTTCATTTCTATTTTTGAAATTGATAATTGAGCTTTAATTTATATAAATTCTTATATCATTGATATTGAAAAAAGTAAATTTGGAAAAACAGTATGTTATGTAGCAGTAGCTGTTGATAGAATTTATATTATTGATAAACTGAAATACAGATTATTAATGATTGAGCAACAAATTTTGATCATAATTATTAAGTAAATCAGGAGTATTCAAGCACAGGAACTAAATTATTAGGTATTTCGTTCATTTTAAAAGTAACAGTAGTTGATAATGAAATACTAAATGATTTCATGTTTTAAAGGCGATGGAAAAGTAGTTTTAGTTTAAACAGCAGTAGTTAGTATTTCATCAACGATGATAGATGATCTACAACTTTACGATGATAACAGAATACTTATTAATCAAATTAATAAAACTAAGGATCATTAGCGTCTTTGAATGCCACACAATAGAAGTAAAAATATTGATGCTCTACCTATCTGAAATTCATATCGCAATAAGGAATTTTGAGATGTGATTAAATCTTTAGTAATTGCGATATTGATTTGAAAATCTAATTTTGGATAAAGGCGATCAATTTTTATAATTTAAGTCGAAAGACTAAAAATGGAATTATCTGTTTCATGTACGAAAGGATAAAATTTTAACCGAGACCCGAAATAGCGAGCCCTAGTAATAATTGCGTTATTCTACTAGTTGTTCTAAATAAAATAGTAGAAGCTAATGAACTCTAAGTGAAAAGACAATAAGATACTTTCTAGTTACGAGAGTTTGAAATAGTAGAAGTCTAGACAAATTAATATCAAATGAAAATAAAACCATCTTTTGACTTTATTTAATTATCCAAATTTTTAATTGTCAAACTAAATTGACTCTAACGTTTCATTTTTTTCTTGGACTAAATAATTTAAAGTTTTGCAGCCACAAAATATTAGGTACTGTGGTGGCATTGTTTCAAAAGAGTCCAGATCTCAAAAAGAAGGTGAAATATGCAATAAATTAATGAATGTATTGTTTGAATTAGCTAATATTGAATTTGAATCTCAATCACCGGCACAGTATGGAACAAAGAGATGATTCAAATTTAAGATCATTTAAATAGATGTAGTAATCTTCAGATCCTTGATAAATTTTCATATTTTTCATAATTATACCAAGCAATTTTCTAATTACGATTTGACATCCACCCCAAAAAAAGAAAAAAAGCTTTTATCTTGATAAGATGGTTTTCAATTTCGGAAATAAGAATAAAAAGAATTACAATGATGAAACAAATTCAATAGTTGATTCGTCATCCCTTCCATCATCAAATAATAGTACAACTCCATTAAATGACCACAGTAACCAGAATGAAAAATCAGATACTGTTTTCAGGGTTAAATCAGAGTCATCACAAGAATCAAATGAATTAGTTAAAAATCCATTTTTAGATCCAAAAGTTGAAGAATACTACAGAGATGTTTATACCAACTCAAAATATGAAAGTTATAAAGCTTTTGATCCACATTTCACATGGACTGAAGAAGAAGAAAAAAAAGTTATATGGAAATTAAATTTTAGAGTTGCTTTAGTTGCTTGTTTAATGTTTATGGGTTTACAAGTTGATAGAGGAAATTTAGCTCAAGCTGTTACTGATAATTTATTAGGTGATTTAGGATTAAATACAAATGATTATAATGTTGGTAATACAATTTTTTTGGTTTGCTTTTTAGCTGCTGAAGTGCCATCACAATTAATTTCAAAAGCTTTGGGTCCAGATATTTTTATTCCAGTACAAATTTGTGCATGGAGTATTGTTGCAATGTCTCAAGCTGCATTAAGTGGTAAAGCTTCATTTTATGTAACAAGAGCATTAATTGGTGCATTAGAAGGTGGATTTATCGCTGATTTAGTATTATGGTTATCTTACTTTTTCACATCAAAAGAATTACCAATCAGATTATCTTGGTTTTGGACAACTTTGTCATTAGTTCAAATATTCACATCATTATTAGCGTTTGGTATATTAAGAATTAATTCATTTGGTTGGGCAGGATGGAGATTCTTATTTTTAATTGAAGGTGGATTTACATTATCAATTGGTATAGCATCTTGGTTCCTCATGCGTCCTTCTGCTGTTCAAACCAAATCTAAATGGAACCCCAAAGGTTGGTTTACTGATCGTGAAGAAAAAATTGTTGTAAACAGAGTATTAAGAGATGATCCATCAAAAGGAACAATGCATAATAGACAAGCTATATCTCCTAGAATGTTATGGCATTGTTTAACCGATTATGATTTATGGCCGATATACATTATTGGTATACTTGCTTATATTGGACAAACTACTTTTACTTCATATTTTGGATTAATGAATAGACAATTAGGATTTAATGTTTTTGATACTAATTTATTAACTATACCAACTGCTGTTATTCATATTATTTTCTTGATAGCTATAACGTGGTTATCAGAACGTTTAAATCAAAGAGCATTAGTTGCTTTAATAGCTCCACTTTATGCAACACCGATTATGGGAGTTATTAGATGGTGGTCAGGTGCTGGAAAGGACATTTGGGCAACATGGACATTAAATACTTTATATTTAGGTCAACCATATATTCATGCCATTTGTGTTAGTTGGGTATCAAGAAACTCAAATAGTGTTAGAAGTAGGTCAGTATGTTCGGCAATTTATAATATGAGTGTTCAATTGGGAAACATTATCGGTAATTTTATATATAGAGCTGATGATAAACCATTATACAAGAGAGGTAACATGCAATTATTTTGGATTTCTTTTGCATTGATTCCAGTTTTATTGTTGGTCAAAGTTTACTATGTTTTCAGAAATAATCAAAAAGCAAAGAAATGGAATGAATTATCACCAGAACAACAAGAAGATTATAGAAAAAATACTACAGATGAAGGAACAAAAAGATTAGATTTTAGATTTGATCATTGAGTGTACATTACAACTTTCAATTAATTTTATTTACTTACAGAATTTTTATAGATGTTATAGATTAATATCGAATATATTCAATTTTATTTATCGTTGCAGTACTTAAATAAGCTTATGACACAGTATTGAAGCTCAGTTCGTAAATTGATAAAATTTTTGCTTTCAAAATAAATTACGAAGATGAAGTGAACTAAATTTTGTGTTTAGGACCTTCTTGATTTTCAAATTAACTTCCTGTCAGCTGATAGATCATACAAAGCTTATGTGAAGAAATGTTCTCTTATCCTGATTGTAAATATCCCTTTCTCGAGAAATATAATAAATTATTATATTAATTTACGAGTTAACTTGTAACATATTCTCATGTTATTTATTTCTTGTCAAGGTTTCAAAAATTTCTTGTTTCAGATGGTTGTATAATATTGGCATATGGCATAATGTTATCAAACTATAAATCAGCTAGAATAATACGTGGGCAGTAGCCACAGTAAGGGAGAATTTTTGCTGATTGATTGCAATTTTTGTCCTTATTATTGTTTGGTGTTTCAAATATGTATATATTTAAGCAAACTTGCATACTGCAATTGTTAGTGTAATTTTTTGCAATCAATTAACAAAACCAATTTGTTTAAGCCAGAATGCCTAAATCAGAAGATACTAAAAGTACTGCATCAGTTTATTCATCAGATAAAAAAATTAAAGTAGATGATAATGAAAACACCGAAGTAGTTGAAGCAAAATTTGAAAAATTAGAAAAACAAACTTCAAAAGATAATTCATTACTTGAAAAATTATCAATCACTCCATACGATTTAGAAGAAAGTTCAAATACTACAAATCCATTTTTAGACCCAAAAGTTGCTCAATATTATAAAGAATATTACGAAAAAACAAAATATGAATGTAGATCTCATTTTGATCCACATTTTACTTGGACTGAAGAAGAAGAAAAAAAAGTAGTCAGAATCTTAAATGTCAGAGTCGCTTTCGCTGCTTGTTTGATGTTTGTTGCTTTACAAGTAGATCGTGGTAATATTCAACAAGCTGTTACTGATAATATGTTAGGTGATTTAGGTTTAACAACTGATGACTATAATTTAGGTAATACTTTATTTTATGTATCATTTTTGGTTGCAGAAATACCTTCTCAAATGATTTCAAAAAGATTAGGTCCAGATATTTTTATACCAATTCAAATTTGCGCCTGGAGTATTGTTGCTATGTCTCAAGCTGCATTGAAAAATAAAGTTGGTTTTCTTATCACAAGATGTTTAATAGGTGCTATTGAAGGTGGATTTATTGCTGATTTAGTTTTATGGTTATCATATTTTTTCACTTCAAAAGAATTACCAATTAGGTTATCATGGTTCTGGACAACATTAACTGTTACACAAATTATTATTGCATTAATGGCTTTTGGTATTTTGAGATTAAGAGGAGTATTTGGATGGCCAGGTTGGGCACATTTGTTTTTATGGGAAGGATTAATTACATTCTTGATTGGTGTTGGTTCATTTTACATGATGGTCCCATCAGCTGTTCAAACTAGAAATAAATTTCATCCAAAAGGTTGGTTTACAGAAAGACAAGAAAAAATTGTAGTAAATAGAGTCTTAAGAGATGATCCAACTAAAGGTTCAATGCATAATAGACAAGCTATTTCATTTAAATCACTTTGGAGTTGTTTTATTGATTATGATTTATGGCCATTATATGCAATTGGTGCTATAGCATATATTGGACAATTTACTTTTGGATCATATTTTGCTTTAATGACAAGAGAATTAGGTTTCAACACATTTGATACTAACGTTTTAACTATTCCATCACTGGTTATTCATTGTTTATCATTAGTAGCAATTACTTGGTTATCTGAAAAAGTCAATGACAGATCTTATGTTGCATTAATCTCACCAATTTATTGTTCGATAATGTTAGCTGCAATTAGATTTTGGCCAGGTGCAGGTATTGAAGTTTGGCCATCTTACATTTTGAACACAATTTATACTGGTCATCCATTTTTACATGCTATAGTTGTTAGTTGGGTATCAAGAAACTCAAATAGTGTAAGAACTAGATCAATTTGTTCTGCTATCTATAACATGTTTGTTCAATTGGATGCTATTATTGCACAAAACATATTTAGAGAAGATGATAGACCATTATATAAAAGAGGATTGTTACAATTATGGTGTATTGCATTAGCTGTTATTCCAATTTTATTATTTACCAAATTTTATTATAAATGGAGAAATGCTAGTAAAGCCAAGATTTGGGATGCTATGAGTGATGAAAATAAGGATATTTACAGAAGAACTACTAAAGATAAAGGAAACAAAAGATTAGATTTTAGATTTACTCACTAGATAATTCTATATATACCATATTATGATTTTAATTAATTCAGACTTTAATTTAACTCAATTGCAAACTTGTAACTTCTTTGTCTTAAAACTAAATTAAACTTAACTAAGCTATTTTATACGAAGAACTTTATTTTATCCTACCCATTGTAATTTCGTATTCGAAAAAAAATTTTAAAGCTACAATTAAGGGTTACACATCAACAGATTTAGAGGGTCGAAAATTCTTTTCATTGTCTATATACATACTGAAAAAATTTGAATAATTCGGAAAATATGAAAAATATGAAAAATATGAAAAATATGAAAATTATGAAAATTATGAAAAATGTGAAAATTGTGAAAAAAATAATGGTTATCTTAAATTCGTAATTTAAGTATCACTTTCAATGAAAAAATATTTTCTTGATTATTTACTAAATTTGCAACCAAAAAAGCTTGGATTTAACATAATTTTGCAGCCACATTCGAAACTTAACTCTTAATTGGTTCGGTAAAGGTCAAGAGGTTATACTTCTTGGGGTCTTACGAGTTGGTATGGCTGTCTTACGCAATTAAGAACCATGATCTTAATCATTGTTTGATCGTTGAAAGAAGTATATAAATATGACTTGATTTTGTCAATTTGACTGATTATTCGTATCAAAAATCAACAATTTTCGAACACAAAACAAAATATGTCAATTTTTAAAAGATCAAACAAGGGAACAGAACAAGATCAAAATGAACTTGGTTTTGCTGATCAATACAGTACATACACTTTTGAACATAAACCAGATCAAAAGAAGAAGTTGGAAAAAGAACAAGTAGATTCAATAGACGATGATCAATCAATTACCTTATCAGAATTAGAAAAAAGCACTAATTCCAAAAATCCATTTGCAAATCCAAGAGTAGCTCAATATTACAAAGAATACTACGAGACTACCAAGTATGAATGTAGATCACATTTTGATCCTGAATTTGAATGGACTCAAGAAGAAGAAAAAAAAGTCCTAAGAATTTTAAATGTTAGAGTTGCGTTAGCTGCATGTTTGATGTTTGTTGCTTTACAAATCGACAGAGGAAATTTGGCTCAAGCAGTTACTGATAATTTTTTAGGTGACTTGGGTTTGAATACTAATGATTATAATACTGGTAATACTATATTTTATGTTTCATTTTTATTAGCTGAAATTCCATCACAAATGATTTCAAAAGCTTTGGGCCCTGATATTTTTATACCTATTCAAATTTGTGCTTGGAGTATTGTTGCTATGTCACAAGCTGCTATAAGTGGTAAAGCCTCTTTTTATATAACAAGAGGATTAATTGGAGCTATTGAGGGTGGATTTATTGCTGACTTGGTATTATGGTTATCTTACTTTTTCACTAGTTCAGAGTTACCTATTAAGTTATCATATTTCTGGACCACTTTAACATTAACTCAAATTGGTGTTGCTTTAGCTGCTTTTGGGATATTAAGATTGAGAGGCGTGTTTGGTTGGCCAGGTTGGGCTCATTTATTCTTATGGGAAGGTTTAGTTACTTTAATTATTGGATTAGCTTCATTTTATATGATGGTTCCATCAGCAGTTCAAACAAGAAATTGGTTACATCCAAAAGGTTGGTTTACAGAAAGACAAGAAAAAATTGTTGTAAACAGGGTGTTAAGAGATGATCCTACAAAGGGTTCAATGCATAATAGACAGCCAGTCACAATAACTGAATTATGGAGATGTTTTAATGATTTTGATTTATGGCCCATTTATGCTATTGGATTAACTGCATACATTGGACAATTAGCATTTGGTTCATATTTCACATTAATGACTAGAGAGTTGGGGTTTAATACTTTTGATACTAATTTATTAACCATTCCATATCATGTTTTTAATATCATTACCTTGTTGGGTATAACTTGGATGTCTGAAAAGCTTAATGATAGATCATATGTTTCATTGATTTCACCCATTTATGCAGCTATTGTATTGGGAGTTATTAGATTTTGGTCAGGTGCCGGAATTGAGGTATGGCCAACATATATCTTAAATGTTATTTATATGGGACACCCGTTCATTCATGCTATTTGTGTAAGTTGGGTATCTAGAAACTCAAATAGTGTTAGAATAAGATCTATTTGTTCAGCTATATATAACATGTTTGTACAATTAGATCAAATAATCGCTGCCAATATGCTTAGAGAAGATGATAAACCTTTGTATAACAGAGGATTTTTAGAATTATTTATTATTGCAATTGCTGTAATCCCAATCATTTTATTTGCTAAATTTTATTACAAGGGGAGAAATGGTAGTAGAGCTAAGATTTGGGATGCAATGAGTGAAGAAGAACAAGACAATTATAGAAGGACCACCAAAGACACTGGCAATAGAAGATTAGATTTTAGATTCGCTCATTAATTTCGTGCATTTATAGACTATATAAGTTCACGTCATTTTTTCATCAATATACATCTCCATTGCAATCTTATATAATTCTTCAATCAATTCCAAAACTTTTTGAGCTTGCTCTCGAACAAATATATCATTATCAGTCTCAGCAACGTACCTCAATATAGTAACAACTTTCTCTCTATATTCTTCAGGAAATGCAACTTTGTCAGTTTCAGAACTACCCAAAATTAAATCTTGAATTAAAGTAATTGCAGATCTTCTCATTATAGATTTTTCAGAACTTGTTTCTAAATTCAAGATCCCAATTGCACAATCTAAAGCATCTGTAAGATTTCCAATTAATCCCAAAGGATTCACTTTACAACACATACCTAGCAAAGACATTGCTGACATTCTAATTCTGTCATCATCAGAATCATGTCTTCTTATTACTGATAATGTTGACTCAACAATGAGATTAACTGATTCTCCATAAAACTTTTCATTGGATAATTGAATATACCTTAATATTACTTCACCAATTCTTAATCTTTCGTCCAAATCATTTTCCTTATTAACATAAATCTCCAATAATATTTTGAGAACAGGTACTTCATCCCACTCAATCAACGATTCCAATCCTTTGATGACATTCAAGTAAATGAAAGGCTCTGGATCTTTTAATTGCACCAAATGTAAATTTATTACAAAATCTAACGAAATAACTTCACTCTTCATTTCAATTAATTGTCGTAATAAATATAATCCATGAGCTCTTATTGGCACTAATGGATCATTTAAACTCGTGATTGCTCTACTCAACATTAATTTTTGTGCATCTATTTCATTCGTAACTGGTATATCTCCAGATAATAAATTCGTAATCCTTTGTTCTAATGATTCAATTGATTTCTTCAAATTCTCATTTACATTTTGTTTTAATAAATTATTCAATGAAATTTTGATTCTTTGTAATAACTCTGAACATTGCTTATCAATGACCACGTCATTTTCAGATAAAATAGCAGATAACAATTCCAACAATACTGGTAAAAACTCTTCATTCTCATCATTTTCTTCATCATCTGAATCATAATCTCCATCTTTCATTTCAATGTCATCATCACCATCGTCATTTTTAATCTCTTTGCTGAATTTAGAACTCAAAAAACTTTGTACAATGTTTAACATCTCAAATGGAGTTCTTGCTAAATTTTCTTTAAAATTATCACCAATACTCTCCAAGATCTTCAAGTCCACTAATTTTAAGAATGGATTCTCCTCGTCTATAATTTTTTCATTCCCTCGGTTCAACCATTGTTTCAAAATAAGTATAAATAAAGCTTGTACAGTCTCGTCATCGACATTCTCCAATAATTTAATAAAATTATTACAGCAAAAATCCAAACTTTCAATAAACTTATTAATTTTTAAATTCGAGCTCTCTGACTTAAAAATTGGTTTCTTTCTGACAATTTGAGTTAATCCGTTTGGTCCACTTTCAAATTCCCAATTTTCACCACATTCATATAATAAATTCTTAGCTATTAAGTCAAGACCTACTAAATTATTATTATCAAAATCTTTCATAATTGTAAAATAACTTATCATTATGTTCGCTATTACTTCAACTGATTTTCCATTCTTCCTTAAAAACAAGTAGTATGCCCATAGTGATAGTATTATTGACTCCATAACTTCTTGGTATAAATCTGGTACCAATCCTTTTCTTGACAAGGATATTAAAACATTGATTGCATTATTTAATTCTGCTTCAGTTATTAATACCTGATTTCCAATTTCTTCATTGACTGTAGGTTTGAAATTGTACCATAATTTTTTCAAAAAGAAGTCTTTGACAATTAGTTGATTTCTTTCCCACAATTTTTCAAGTACATATGTGACACAAGAAGTAACAACAGGTCTATTAATATTTACCAATAATCCATAACACTGGTTACCTATAGATGTAAAATACTTAGCCGTATTAATATTTTTTGGTTTCAGTAGCACCACACTCGAGACGTGGTCGAATTTTGAAATTTCTATATCTTCCTGATCTCTTAAACCTAATATGAATTCAATAAGTGATAATAAACCATCTCCCTTTGGTGCATCATAATGTAGTAGTTGTAAATGTTGAATTACAAATTGTTTGAAATATGATGGTGATGGAGTATTTATTAATAATGTATAAATTTGAAATAATTCAAATGTATCCGGAATTCTTTCAACTTCTTTGTATTGCTTTTGGTATACTTCATGATCAGTCTCAGGAATCGAATTTAGTGCAATTGCAATGGTTATAAAATCAGATAATCCTGTACCTTTACTTAACAATTCAGTAACATCAGATTGAACTTGAAATAATTTGAATAATTTATCATAAACTAATCTTAATACTGCAATAGATTCATTAGGATTCAGCAACTTCTCCACTCTAGTTGGTTTTTTATTATTCAAATCTCTCAATTTTCTTTTTTCGAAAGGTATACCAATCCCAAATGTATTTAATGCTGGGTAAATTCCTAGTATGATTATTGTATTAACTAATTTGCTAAAAGTTTTTATATCATGTAATGAGATTACAATTATGGATTTGTCTTCAAATTCATTTTCTAATGAGTAATTTTGTATATTGAGTAGTTGCTCCAATAAATAATCTATAATTTCATATCTTGATTCAGCTGCTAATGGTTTCTTGAGTATTTTTTGATTTAAGAGTTCAACATTAAGTTCCTCCAATGGTAAATCCAACAATTGCTCCACTTTTTCAAATAATTTATCTATTGGCTTGTCCCTTTTGAAATCTGGTTTATTCAATCCTTTCCTTTGAGGATATACTTCATTTGGTGATCTTTTGATAGTGGTTTTTTTAGTTGATGTTGCAAATGGATTTTTTACTGATTTTTTCTCCTTCTGGTGAGCAGCAATTGGCTTAATTAATTTTGGCTCCTGATCTATATCATAATCATCAGGTAATTCTTCAATTTTTGGACCCATATTATTCAAATTGGTTCTATTTATATGTATATTCTCTTACATTCTTTAAGTAATTGAAATGGTATTGTGATATCTGATAAATGTTTTTTTATATACAGGATATATCTGTAACTTATTAATTTTTTTTTCAGAGGGAAGATCATTACAATTCTTAATTTTATCAACTTACTTTCAAGAAACTATACACCCAATAGATACAAAGTATTAATTTAGCTTTAAGCTTTAATATAGATATTTGTCAAATTCCACAACGAAAGAGATCAAAAAAAAATTCACAATGTCATCATCAGATATAGTTGATAAATTAACACAAGAAGAGATGGATGTTATAATATATGATGCAAGAGTGGGAGACTTGGAGACATTACAAGAAATATTTGAAGAAATTCCGAAAGACTTGATACTAAATATAAAAGATGATATAACATTAAGTACACCAATTCACATGGCATCAGCTAATGGTCATATAGAAACAGTAAAATATCTTTTATCAATAATATCAAACAAGAAAGACGCTATAAATCTAGTAAAACAGAAAAATGAAACTGGAAATACTGCATTACATTGGGCTTCATATAATGGTCATTTACCAATTGTTCAATATTTGGTGGAAGAATATGAAGCAGATGCATTTGATAAAAATAACGTAGGTCATGATTCAATATATGAAGCAGAAAATAATAATCAAACTGAAGTTGAAAATTGGTTTTTAAAGAAATATACCCCCGAAGAAGATTTCAAGATCGAAGAAAATGATGATGGTACAAATACCAAAATTACTTATACACCTGGAAAAGAAAGTAAATTAGCTGATGATAACGCAAAAGAAGCTGTTTTCAAATCAAGTTTGAACAATAAAGAGAAAAAAGACGATGTTGAAGAAGCCAAAGAAAATGGGAAGTCATTAGAAGAAAAAACATCAGACTTATTGATATAAACAAATGACTCAAACTTATCGATATAGACAAATGACTCAAAAATTCATAGTAGCATAATTCCAAGCAAAGCTATCAATTGTTCTGCAAAGGTATTTAACTGAGTGAGGACTTTAAAATATTCAGATATATTTAGAGTTTTACAATACGGTGACCGTTATGTATTTCAGAAATCTCAATCGTGACGATTATTTATGCTAAAAAAAAGACGATTCACAATTTAATAACAAACGTTTTGAAAGTCTTGCAGTATTATATACATTGTATAGATAAATTAATATCACTTACCGCATTCGAATCATATAAATTCACCATAATTGCTTATTCAATTGTAGATCAATAGATACATTATTGACATCATTTTCATTAAAAATAGAACTAATAAAATCAATATTGAAAAAACAATCTTTAACATCATTAAAATTACTTATTGAATAATTTAATTTGATAGATATGTTTATATTTAGCGGCGCCTTTTGATCCTTGTATATTATTTCATTTATGATTGATTCGTTCTCTTTTAGTTTTTTCAATATGTCCTCAAATCTTATTATATTTAATATTATTTTATAAGTTTTAAACCTCTTTATGTGATTTATGGTTGTAGCCGTTGTTAATCCTTTATCATCAATTATGTTATAACCATTTTGTTCTATATTTTGTGAAATTTCCGAAGCACTATCGTTTGTATTATTGACACTGAGTATATTGTCATCATTCACTTGTAAACAATATTGACATTTATCATATATGTGATATTGAGCTACTAAATTCAATTTTGGAAATAGTAGAATTTGCTTTATCGTCAGTATTGGTACGTAATTAAAAATTTGAAGCAATATTTCATTTGGCAAATCATTGATTGTTATTTTGTTATCGTTTGATCCTAGGGTGGATAGTATTTCATTTGAACTCATTTTCAAACCTTGTTTGAGTGGGTTGTAAGTTATTCTAAATGATCTGAACTATTCTTTTTATTCCTTTATCGGCTTTGCTTATCTAATTAAACTTTATATCTTAAAAATAAATATTACGTCAAGTAAAAATTCTAGACACTAAAATGCTACCAAACCACTTTGATAGAAAAAAGAAAGAAAAAAAGATCAAAAGTTTACCACCAGCATTTTACAACAACTATTTATCAAAACAATCATTGCCTATAAACTCAACAATTTTATAATTGATATCAGTAAAGAATGGTATGTTTAAATACATGAATCCTTTAAGCGCTTTTGTCAACCACGATACTAACATTATTGTTCAAGCTTCCATTATATTTATTAACAGCAGCCAAGAATAAACCAATATTAATAGAATTGAAAACAGGAGAAACATATAATGGAAATTTAACAAATTGTGATTCATGGATGAATTTAACATTACATGATGTAATACAAACAAACCAACGAGGAGATGAATTTCAAAAATTATCTGAAATATATATAAAAGGAATGCATATAAAATACTTAAGAATACCTGATCAAGTAATGGATTTTGTAAAAGAACAACAATTACAATATCATCATAACCAACAACATCAACAACTGGGGGATGGTAGAAGGATGAAGAGGGGAAACTATCAAAGCGGTGGTGGTAATAATAGAAACTATAATAGAGATGGTGGTAGAGATAATAGACGTGGAGGAAGATATAACAACAGCAATAATAATAATAATAATGGGAATCGTCGAGGAAACCAACAAAATAACCAATAACTGAATTTTTAATTCAGGTTGATGATTTATGAATGGGCTTTTTTTTTAACTCATGGTTTTTTTTTTTTTTGAATTTTTTAATGAAAGTGGAATGAATTATCTAAAGCAATTTGAAAGTATATAGAATGTTGTATAATTTTATTGTTAATTGTTATAATGTATACTGTTAAAGGCTTAATCCTGCTGCTTATCAAAATTTGTAAGGTTGATATTTCAGTGTCTATAACAACTGCTTTTGTGATTTTTTTATGCTAGATTCGAGATCTAGATTCTTTGATATGATGAAACAAGCAATAACTCTTGTGAATTTGAAACAATTTGTATCATTAAATTTAAACATCTGTTGTCACATATAGCATCCAATCAATCAAGCTTAATACATTCCGTTTCAAAGCTCAAATTTCTAATTTATATAGAAGATATTGCAGTAACAAATTAGGGGGTTTATTACAATAAAGAATTCATCATGATAGAAAAACCAAAAAACCAACCCACTCATTCCAATGAATCACACCTAACCTTAAGTCAAAGATTGGATTATGTAGGTCAAAATGCTAATGCAGTATTATCATCAATAGACTCACTAGTAGCTCATGTTGACTCAATCGACTACAACAACAAAAGTTATAATATCAAGATAGATACATTTAAACCAAGCCAACAACAATATTCCAAAAAAAACATCACCAAAACAGAGTCGACTACTCAAACGAAGTTTAAAATTTTACCAACTAGAGTCATATCTTATGGAGTTTTTAAAGGACATAATGATACAAGGAGATTTCAATGTCTTGATCAAAAATGTAATGTTAATTTTAATGAATTTAGAAATTGTAAATATTGCAAATATTTACCTTATGTTCCATCACCTTTGAAAAATAATATTTTGAATCAAGATATTTTAGATAAAGAAAATAATCAAACCATTGTTGATAAAAATGTTTCCAATGAAGTTAATAATCAAAAACCTTTAAGGGGCAATGGAGGCGGTATTTTTATTAATCCAAGAAGAAGTCAATCCGCTCAATCAACAAACAACACTAATATTAACAACAGACATATTCCTGCAAAAGCTACTAAATTAATTGAGGAAGAAGCTTTAACAAAAGTACCGACTTACAAATACTCAAGATCAAGAAAAGATGAAACAACACCATTATTACCACAAATTTCAGAATTACCATCACAACAACAACCACCAATCAAGGAAAAATTAGCAATTCCAACTAAAAAGAAAAATTTTTACAATTCAAAATTTTATGAAAATTTAACTGAACATTTTAAAAAAAATTCTTCAATTTCTACTTATGGCGATACAAAACAAAAATCTAATGAATCAAAAAATGTTGGTGGTGCTGCTAGTAGCTATAAAAGAAAGTCAAAGAAATTATTATTATCTACGAAACATGGTGAAGCTAATTAAAATCTTACTTAATACAAATCTCTATACTGAATAAAAAACATTAAAAAATTCGATTCTATCTTCTCTCAATTACAAATTTTATTAAAATCTTCTTCGTTAATAGTCCAGCTTTTCAAATTTGGTCTATACCTAACTTCATTAATCAATCCATTAAGTTCTCTATAACTATCATCTTCAACCCCTTTATCATTTTCACTTCTTTTTTCATTGTAGTACTTCTTCAATTTTAAATTACAACCAAATGGATTTTCAGGATTATTGAAAATATCATCAATACATTGATTTGGTGAATAATCTAATAAGGGATACAATTCAGGGTCCCAATTACTTTCTAAAATTTTACAGTATAGTATACTAACAATTGGATCCATTAATATATGTTTATTATCTGAGTTGTTCTGATTCATCATTTGTAAATTAGGTATTTGGTTATTTGGTTGACCTTGCTGATTTGAACTAAAACCTGAACCAGCGTCTGATGATTGAGCCACTAATTTAATTAAATCTTGGTTATTTAAATTACCTATATCTGTTAATGATTTACCATCTTGCGAAGAAGCTGATGATGAATTTACTGAATTTGATTCATTGCTATTTAGTAATTGTCTATAGTTTTTAGGTGGAGATTTTGCACCATTGTGATGGTTATGATGATGATGATGTTGATCTTTATTTGATTCTTGTATTGCATTATCTCCCAAAACATTATTGATTCCCGTATATACATTCTTCTTCTCAAATTGAGGAACATTAAAATTGTTTTTCTTTTTATTATTATTTTGATTTAAATTCAAAGCAGATGTTGAAGATGAGGATAAATTTGAGCTATTATTATCTTGAATTTGTAATTGAGTATGGAAATCAAAATTTGATGGTAATTCATGTAATCCAATAGTTATATTTAATATGGAGTTCACTTTAGAATCTTCTAAAAGATATTTTGTATTAACTGGTTCATTAAAATTTAAATATTCTGCAAGATTTATTTCTAATCTACCCAAATCAATAATTGCATGATCAGAATTTGATGATGAATGATGTTTGTCTTCATGTATATAATAAATTTTGAAAATCAAATATTTATTTGAGATTAAATTTCCCTTCTTTTTTAAACCAAATTTCAAATTACATGATAATTTATAATTGAAAACACATCTAAAATTATGTAATCTTTTACGTGATGTTGTAGTAGATACATGACCAGATACTGAAGTATTTGAATTTGAACTCGATGAAGAATTTAAATTATGAGAATTGTTGCTGTTACTTTTACCATCATTAACACTACTTGATGATTTATTGAGACTTGTTGATTGTTTTATTTTTGAGCCAAGATCATCAAATTTATTGAAAAGTGACCTAGTGGTATTTGATCTTGAAGGTGATGTATTACTACTTGTGGATGATTTAGCTTTTGAAGAATCTGATGGGACTTTACCATTTGTATAATGAGTTCTTTTACTATCCTTAATTGCAATTTCTATATAACATGAACCATTTATTTGGGGTACATTTGTTAGTTCATTAATTGTTAAATCAAGGGCGAATTTTGGTTTGGATGAAGACGAAAACATAATTGACTCAAAATATGTATCTGAGTTGATGAGGTGATTAGTTTGAATGTCTTGGTTGATGTCGATAAAGTATAAATTCTATATGTATCCTCTTTTTAATATCTATATTATAATATAAATGTCATTTATCCGGTTGCTATTTATGGAAAACATGGGAAATGATTTGGTAGCATCTTTTTTTCTTTACTTTTCTAAGTTTTATTACCAGCATTAATAGTTTAATAATTTGATTTTTAACATTGATAGTTGCATTCCTTCAATCTGATTAATTTTGATAGATGGAAAAGATTGATGTTGATTGTATGTAAACCCCATATTTGAACCTCAAAATAAATCAATTGACTGACTTATAATAGCTATAAAAAATGAAATTTTAACATGTGAAACAACTAAACAATTAAATCAAATTCAATCACAATTTCAAAATCTAATTGGTTCTAAACTATCTCAAAAGGACCAACAAACAAATTTTGAGAAAAAGCAAGAAAATGATAGGATTCAGCAAATTTATAGGTTATTACAATCAAAACAAAATCAATTGAGTAGATCTACTTTTAAATTCATTGGTGATCCAATACCTCCAAAATCAACTAGTGATCAAAGAGAATTTGTGAATGTTTCACCAAAACAGTTTGAATCCGATGAAAAAAACAATAAAATTGAAATAATTAATGATAGGGTCAACTTGGATCAGAATTATGTTCATATTTCAAAATTGTCAAATAGTATATTAAAATTAAACATAAACTCAATCAACCTCAACAATGCCATCAACTCAGTTGGTTGTATCAACTCAGAAGGTCCGTTATTTATCCAAAATATGTCAAATTGTATATTCGTGGTGAAGTGCCATCAGGCAAGGTTGCACAATATTAAAAATTGTATACTAATTTTCAATCAACAAACAAAACCGGTCATAATCGAGAATTGTTCAAAATTAAAGTTTAATGAAATTGACGTTGACGATTTTAATCATCCTACTAAGATTATAAAGAGTCCAAATTATGAAATTTTAAAAGATGAAAAAGTAGTACAGATAGAAAATGAAATTAAAATTGTCGATATAAAGGCTCTAGATAAATTTTTAGAGAGATATATTTGTGAATAGACCAACATGATTAAGCTGTTCTCAAATACCAATCATTTAAGACATTCTTTTCTTTGCTTGTAGAAAACTCATGTCAAACCACTTGCAAAATTTGGACTGCATATTAGTACCTCTAGTAAATCAATTTCGTAAATTCATCAATAATATTAACATGAAACAATTCAATTATTCACAAAATCTACGATTAGAATACTCAATTCAACTAAAGAACTCCCTCAAATGAGTTTCTTGTTATCAATACTATCAACATGTCTACCATGTTTTCCATCACTATCAGGAACCTACCTTAAAATAAATAATATAAATTATAATATAATTCGACTATTAGGGGAAGGAGGTTTTTCATATGTTTATTTAGTTCATCTGAATTCATCAAATGAATCATCTCCCTATGCTTTAAAGCAAATAAAGTGTTTATTCGGAATGGAAGATGAAAGTTACAGAAACGCAACTAGAGAAATTAAAAATTATCATCGTTTTTTAAATTATAAAACTCCTTATATTATTCAATCTATTGAAGAAGAGATTAGTTTTAACGACGATGGGTCAATTCAAATTAATATATTATTGCCATATTTTAATACTTCATTACAGGAAATAATAAATGAACATGTTTTAAATAATACCAAAATGGATGAAAAAGAAATTCTAAAGTATTTCATTGGAATATGTAGAGGTTTAAAAATCATGCACACTTACAAAACTACAAGAAATACAGGTACTTTAGATAACGATGAAGAAATAAATGATGATATAGAAGAACAAGATACTTTATTACAACCACCAGAGGATGAATTTGATGTAGATTCATCAACAGGTGCAACAATTGGAGGTAACTCTACGGAATTACAAGAATTCATCCCATTTGCACATCATGATTTAAAACCAGCAAATGTAATGATATCAACGGAAGGATTACCAGTATTAATAGATTTAGGATCATGTTCAAAAGCTCGCTACAACATACGAACTAGACAACAAGCATTATCATTAACTGATTTTGCACAAGAACATTGTACATTACCTTATAGAGCTCCAGAATTATTAGATGTTGAAACTGGATCTCACATTACTGAATCAACCGATATATGGTCTTTGGGTTGTTTATTATATTGTTGTTGTTTTGGTTATTCCCCATTTGAAAAGTTAGAAATTGATCAAGGTGCAAATTTGAATTTAGCTATAGCTCAAGGTAAATATCAAATTCCAGAAGATCAAAATGGTTATAGTGATGAAATTATTGGAATTATAAAGAAATGTTTACAAGTTAAATATAAAAATCGACCTAAAATTGAAGAAGTTTTGGAAGAAGCTTTAAAAATAAGTAATTAATGATAAATACTAATTAATAATGAATTTCGATCTCAAAATTAGGTTGTTCAAGCGCTTTCAGATAGTCGCCTTATCTCTCGAAAGTCTGATGTAAATGTAACGTTTCAGTTGAAAAAATTGGTAGCAATGCTTGTTTGAATTTCTAAACACAGTAATTTCTAACTCAATTATCATATGCCTAAAGTTCTAATACATCGAATCTGGATATTCTCGAGTGTAAAAAGGTGTTATATAAAATCATACAATGACATTAACAAAATATCAAAGAGGCGAACCCATGGAAGGTTGGAATGATTGTCCAACACCAATGATGATAAGGTCCCAAAATAATTCACAAACTTCCATACCCACAAAATCATCAATATCAACAACAGAAATACGACAAAATGACACAGACAAGAAGCAAGTACTAGACAAATTGGAAAAGATATTCACATTGAAAATCAACTTACCAGAGAGAGAACTCAATCACTATAGTTTGAAATTACAAAATACAATAAGTACATTAAATCAAGATCATTTAAGCTTTGTAAATAAGGTCTTTGATGAAATTTTAGGTCACGACGTTAACTCGAATCAATTAAAATCCGAGATCGTTGAGTACATGATGCACAATGATGGCGTGAGTTCTTGGTGTTCACCTTTGAAAAAAGTAGTATCAAGTATTGAAAAGTGACATATTCCATAGACCATTATTAAAATAGAGACATATAGACAAACTTTACTTTATATATTTTAGAAATACAATGTATTATTCCATTTAACTATTTATACAAATATAAACCTAAACCACCAATACTTACAAAACTTTTTGAACCCCTTAAAATTTCTTTCTTTTCCCAATTTGAGCTTGGAAACCAGTTTTAATTGAAGATACAGATCTGGTAGATCCACAAGCTTTACAACTTAAGAAATGTAATCTATTTGCACTTTCTCTTTTTAATTCAGTATTCATACTTTTACAAGTTTTACAAGTAACATATTCAATAATATATCTTCTTAAAACTGATTCCATTTGTTTTGGTTGAAATTTACCTTTTAATACTAATCTTTTTTCACCATCTATTGAACCAGAAGTACCTAATTCTGCAAATAAAAATTGAATAAGATGTTCTGGATTTCTTTGTAATACTGTTGCGATTTCTTGTACATTTGCAAAAAGAGTCTTTTTGGATCCTTCTCTTTGACATACTGGTGGTGGGATTCTGAATTTTGGACCTGATCTATCTCCGGCTAATTCTGGATTATTTTGTTTTAAAATATCAAAAAATCTTGTTAATAAATCATCATATGACATACCACCAATTAATTCTTGTTGATTATTTAAATCATCTTGAGAATTATTATTTGATTCTTGATTTATTAAAGTTTCATCTATTCCTGCTTCTTCCAACTGTTGTTCAAATTCATTTAAATCTGTGTTTCTATTTGATGATGATTTTTTCTTTTTCTTCTTTAATGATAAATCTCCTAATGATGCAGTTAAATCTTCATCATTTAATTCTGATGTGCTTGATTCTGTTGGTTTGGTTGTTGATGATGATTTCTTCTTTTTCTTTAATCCTGAAAATAATTCATCTACTGAATCTGAAGTTGGTTGTGGAGTTGATTCTTTACTATCTGAGACTGATGATACACCATCTACTGGTTTTTTAGATTTCTTTTTCTTTTTTAATGTTGGATCAAACCCTAAATCTGACATGTTGTATTATATATATATGATTTAAAGGAACTAAAGTTGTTTGATTAAGATTGATTAATAATATTAAAGGCTAATAAATAATATAATAATAATTTGATTTACTTAATTAATTTTTTAGTCTGAAAAATTTTTATGACTGAATTTTTTTTTACACTAACAAAATACGAAAATGAATGACGCTACCAAGATGTTGTATATCTTTATACTTAGAGACTTACTATTAGTGAAGTATTAGTGAAACCTTAGAATGGTTCAGTGAGATTAGAGTTCAATATAGCTATCATTCTAAAGCTTTCGAATCCAATTTAATCCAGTGATTGTACTGTGGATTTGGAATAAATGCAGTATTATTATTTTCAATTTATTTGATGAGAAAAGCTATATGTGATATTAAGTGCTGCTAAAAGGCTGTTCAAACTTGAAATGTATAGCAGAAAGTAATTCCAAGGCCGTGTCTTACTTACGAGGAAAACTTCGGACTATATAAGTCTGATTTGCCGAAGCTTTTGCCGATCCTGATGAAAAAATATTCTCTTCCCATCAAAAAACGGAATTGTATATGCAGCAGTTTTCTTCTTTTATAACTTTCATTCCATAGTCATGATCATCTGGTTTTGGATTATACGGCCAATTTCTCCACACCATCAATTAAATCATCACCTTCAATATTACCAGCTAATCCTTTTTCAAAAATTTCTTTACCACTCATTTTTCCATTATGCATTTCATTAAATTTTTTTGAATCCATTTCTTCAAATTTCATTTCTTTTCTAAATTTCAATCTCCATTCTTCAAAGTTTTCCTCGGTGACTTTCGTACCTTGGAACTTCAATTGTTCAATCTTGTATCTTTCTTGTCTTTTAGCTTCGTGTTCTTTATTTGCTTTTTCTAACTTTGTTGTGAATAGATTTTCAGCTTCATCTTTTAAAAATGTGATTAATGTGAAAACTGAGGGTAATCCTAAATTTATGTCGGACTCTTCATTCAATTTTGAAACTAGCAAATTCAAATCATCTTTTGAAAATTCAATTGTTTCTGCCATATTTAATGCTAATTTAGTTTGTTTTGTTTCTTCATCGTCGTCATCTTCATCTTCTTCATCGTCGTCGTAATCATCTTCATCATCTTCATTTTCTGCTACTTCAATATGTAGTTCAGGTATTACTTCTGGATAAGTTGGTGGATATTTTACAATTAACAATAATGCATGTTTTCTCTCACTTGGTAAGTCTAAATTCACTCGTACTTGAAAATGGGTTTGTGAGTCATTTAGTATCTCCAATTCATCTGGATATATAGATTGTAATATTTCTAATTCTTGATCTTGCTCTTCTTTATAATCCATTATTGGGTTTAATTTTGTAAATGATCAACTGGAAATAAAAAATTAATTTTATGCTAGTATGTTATATGTATATGTGTAGCCTTCAGCTGAAGAAAGAAGTTTATTTAATGAGTGTTGTCAATGAAGGTCTTATAATCAAACTTGTTTTGCAATGGATCCATTTTTTCATATATTTTAATGTAAGAGATGTTTAGTACTGTAAAATTTAGTGTCAGATCTTTTTGATGTCACAAGAAACAGATTTTAGGCATTTTCATCTAAGGGGTGGCTCTCAATAAATTAAGAGGCTTTTTACTTATTATCACCCTAATGCTTTGTTCATCATTCGTAAGATCAAAATTCCAGACTGCTTAGAAGCTCACTTTATGGCAGGTTTTGTCGAAGCATTTTGTACTTCTAAAATCAATGCTTTTGTATTCTTCTTGCAGTTTGAATTCATTTATGCTTTTGGAGCTATCGATTAAAAATAGGTTGTTTACAATTTCTGATCAATAACGTTGCACTAGCAGTAGATAAATCAACTTTTCCTTTGTTTATGAAGCTTGAAGAGAGCCGGTACTATTGTTTCTGTGGTCGATGTTTTAAAGCTCTGAAAACAATTGCTTTAAAATGACGAGTCATTATGTTTCTAAAATTAGAAGCATCTTGGTAGAGAGCTATGAATTGAATCTTGAAAAATCGTTCAAGTATTGATTGATTGAAGTAGTTAACGCTATATACCACAAATTCAAATATTAGAGGTTATCATCTTATCTTCAGTCAAAGTTAATCAAAGTTCAAACTTTGCAATCAATGTAGCATTCTGTTAAGAAAATAAAAAAGAAATTGAAGTGTTTCACTTTATAACAAAAAAAAAAATAAATTTTATTTTTATCTTTTAGTCTAATCTTATTTTAAAATATAAACTAAACCATTGAATTAAAATAACACAACCCTTTCATATTATTATTTATAAATCATTACCAATTGTTAATCAAATCATAATTTAATTTACACATATCATCTCCTTAAATATAAATTAATTGACAAGTCAACTACAAATTGATCATAAAACAAGGCGGGGAATTGAATAGGTTGAAGAATTTCATTGTTAATAAAACTCAGATAAACTTTAAAATTGATCAACCCAGATAATAGACTCAATCATCATTTCAAGAACCTACAGTTTACATCAAGTTATTTTCATTGAGGTAAATTCTTAACTTAAGCATATGCTATTACTATAAAGTCAGATTTTCAAAAATTTAGCATCATATTCCATACTGATCAAAATTTTAATAATTGTCAAGCATTAGTATATAACAAATTATAAACATTGCATATATGAAATGAGTTCAAGGTATCCACCTAATACAAAAATAAAAGATTTTGCATATCCAGATTCAGATCCATTACATTTTGGAGTTTCAAATAATAAGAAAATCAAACGATCACGACAATCAAATCATAATAATGGTAATGAAGAAGAGGATCTAACTTCAAATGAAGAACAGTCATCTGGAGATGACACATCCACCAACTCATCATCTTCATGCACATCATCAACGTCATCTATATCGTCATTAAATCGTGGATCACGACATCATCATCATCATCATCATCATCAGCATCATCACGATACAATCAATAACAATAATAACGGTCAAGATAGTAACGGTTATGAGAATTATAAAGAACAAGGATCACAAGCAGAAGACGATGAAGAGGATGAAGAAGGAGAATATTTAAATGATGAAATTAATTGTAAAGCTCGTGCAATATTTGAATTTAAACCAGAAAATGATAATGAAATTGAATTAATAGAAGGACAAATTATTTGGATTAGTTATAGACATGGTCAAGGATGGTTAGTTGCAGAAGATCCTGAAACTGGTGAAAATGGATTAGTACCTGAGGAATATGTTGAATTTTTTTTTGATGAAGAAGATGATAGTAATGAATATAATGAAGAAGGAAATGAAGAGGATGAAGAATTAAAAGACACATCTGATGTTGGTAAAAGTAATAACAACTATGAAGAAAAAGCTAAAACGTTTTTGCCCAAGATTATAAATGATGTATAGCATTTTATAAAATACATGATATATACGTATTGATGATTAAAAATGGCTAACAAGAAGTAGCTTTACTTTAATTTAAAGTTGTTGTGTGCTTGTTTGGAATTTGACGTTGATCTGATTAAGTTAAAGGTTTCTCTCATTTTTAAAACAAACTATTTAATTTTTTATAACCAAAAAGTATAATATTTTTATATTACATAAATCAATAAATAAACTTAAAATTAATAGAAATCGTTTTAATAATCCTATAATCTATATCATTCAAATGTTCATATGACATCCAAAAAGACTTCACTAACAAGTTCAAATAGTGAAGGAAAGAATTTGAAAAATCTACCGTCATCATTATCATCATCACCATCTCCAAAGAAAAACCCTCTAGGTAAATCGAATACAAATGTACCAAATAATACGGGATCTTCCAAAAAGAGAAAATTAGATCATCATAATGACTCCAACAACAAAAAAAGTGACGATTTCCATTATAGTAAGAAGCAAAAATTGAATCAAACTACATCTCATTCCAAAAATAATGACAAACTAAATGCAAACTTCACAAACAAAAACCACAAGAAGAAGCATAATCCACATTTGAATTCTCAAGGTAGTCAAAACCATAATAGAAATGCAACTAAACCCAAAACACGTCATCAAGATCATCATCCAGCTTCAAATAAAATACGAGACAAAACTACAACAACACCCTCAAAAAATCTGAATAAAGCCGGAGTTACGACAGCAAATTCACCGTCATCAACTAACAACAGTATATTCAAGACCTCATCCAAATCACAAATTGATAGTATTGCCACTATAGAATCTCAAAAAGAGAAAAATAAATTGAGAAGACTACGGAGGAAAGAAAAGACTAAAGAAAAGAAGAAGTTAGATTTAATTAATACTCCAAATAACACTCAACAACTGCTATTGCAACAATCGCAAAAGTCGCCCTTAAAACCTCACAATCATGCACTGGATAAAGATCGAATATCAACAAATGTTCAACAAAACCAACCTACTAAATCCCAAGGTATAAAACTACAGCCTAAATCAAAGCAGTCCCTATCCAAAAATAAATCCTTAAGTGATTCAACCAAAGATCATCCAAAGATAATTCAACATCCATCACTGCCATCAACTCATCAACGTCATCATATACTAACTCAACTGCCTAAAAATCTGCCGAAGAAGCTGCCAAAGAAACCACAAAAACATCAACAGAATATTTCACATTCACCAAAGCAGCAGCAACAAAATAAAGGTGTCCATAAACCAAACCACTCATCAAACAACAAAAAGCAGAAGATAGTCAGCAAGAATAAAAGTCTTGGTATATTGACCCAATTGAATAATCAGCAGCAGCAAGATCAGCACAAAGCTAAGGAGAAAAAGAATGTCCAGAAATCTAAACCTCTAATTGAACATCAGGAAAACAATGGAAATCACCAAGAAGCGGAAATATCCGGTCAAATAGTTGAACAAGATCTTCCAATAGAACTACAAGCTGATGGAAACATGTATTCTGACAACTTGGGGAAAAGAAATGAACAACAACAAGAAGAGCACTGCCCCACCAGTAATGTACCAAATAATACGGAGAATAATCAGGATCAGATTGTCACTAAGTCAACTCAAGACCTCAGTATCCCTCATAAAGATATAACAATTTTGGAAAAAGCAATATTAAGTAATGAGGAGGCGGAAAGAACTAGAATGGATTTAAATTTAGATGATCAATCTCCACAAGCTACAGAACATGACGTGGAGAAACCAGGGGAATTTGAATTAAATGAATTGGATGAACCTGAGGAGAATTTAATAATCACCACCACTGAATCAACATCTAAACAAGCTGACTTCAAAAAAGACGCAGAAGCTCCCAATACTGAATCAAAAGGGCTAAACGACGTTAGTAAACTTGAAGTAGAACCGCCAGAACTAGATCAAACAGAGAAAATACAAAGTGTTGAGGAGCCATTCCAAGAAGCTCTTGAAAAACCCGTGACAGAGCTTAATCCAAAATTCAAAAAAAACAATAAGGATTTAAAGTCAAAAATTATTCAAAAGTTAATATTAGGTCTAAATATAGTAACACCATGTTTAACACCAAACAAAAATTACATCAATTTTTATAATGAGGAAATAAATGATTTTTTCAATTATTCAACTTTTGATTCTAAAAGTAAATTAAAACCATCAAAAATTTCATGTGATGGTTCATATTCATTTGATTCAACAAATCCAGGTGCACATTGGTCATCAAAAGATAAAAATTTATTTTTCAATCTATTATCGAGATATTCAATACATCGATTAGATTTAATTAGTGAAATTATGAATAAATCATCAATGGAAATTTTAGTATATTATAATTTATTGCAAACTGAATTAAAAAAATTGAAACAAAAGAACGATCCAAATTTGGTGTCGATTAATGAAATTCCCGTTGCTTACGAAATGCTGCAAAATTTTGTTAGGTTTGAAGATGAACAAAGTCAATTGATTGAAAGTTTTGGCGAGAATATAAAATCTAACAAGAAAGAAACAGTTTCTGAAGAAGTCAAGAACAAAGTGGAGATAACTAATGACAAGAATAAAGAGATGGTCACTGAAGAAATCCCTCTTAATAGTCTAGAGGAATCTGATCAGTTGATTAATAAAAATAAATTATCATTATTGACAAATTTGGATGTTGATGATGCAACATTTGAAGATTTTACTAAGTTAACAAAATTGATAACCAAGAAAATCATATTAAATTTATTAAATTTGAGTAATGTATCATTACAAGATTTTGGAGCAACTCAACAACTAAAACCAAATGAAAGTGAATCTCAACAAGACGATTTAGAATATTTTTGTCCTCCAATAACCAAACATGATGTGACAAATACCATAAGAGAGGTTTCAACTAATGCTGATTATTTCTTTAATATGAAAAATATTATGAGATCTATCAACCATGATAATGAGACGAGAATCATACCAAGTGCATGGTCAAACTTATTCGGTGAGAAATTCCAGACAAGACCCTTTTTCTATGATGTAAATTTAGTAACAAATTCAAGTAAAGAAGTTCCAGAATTACAACAATCTCAACAAAGATTGACTATAAATGGTTTAAGACTACCTGATAAACAACAAAGTTTAACGCGACCAAGAAGAGCTCAACAAATAAGTTCAAAATTAAATAAGATTTTTGAAGAAGAGACAAGTCAATTAAGTAAATTGGATTTACTCAAACTGCGAAAGTACGAGACTGACCTAATAAAGAATTTTTCACATAAAGATACTGTTGACAGTACTGGAAACCCCTTTAAGAAACCGAAATATACTAAAGATGAATTTAGATTAAATCAAATGTTGAACATAATCTCCAAAATCAGAGACTATGAAATTGATATGGAAAAATTAGATCAAAAAAAGGGTGAATTATTAAACAACGATAGATTTAAAGAAAAATTGAAAGAATTTAATCATGAATTTGCAAATTATTCACAAGATGAAGGAGAACTTGAGATGACCTCAGGTGAGGATGATTTAAGTGATTATGAAACAAGTGACAATGAGGTTGAATCAAATGATATTGGAATAGATCAACAAGAACTACAATCAAGAACTAATTTGGAAAATAAAGAGCAAGAGCAAGCAAACGCAATTGATGAATTAGATAATACCAGCTCAATGTCAAATCCTAATATCAATGATAAAGTAGTTGAAAAAGAGTTAGTCCCGAATATACATTTGAGAGATGAACAAAAAGAGAATGAAAATGAAATAAACATCTCAAAGAAGACCAAAAAGTACAAAAAAAGACGGCCATTAATTGTTGAAGAATGGTTAAACTCAGCAAAAGAAACTCCAAATGTAACTAAGCCCAACGATGACAAAGTCCCAGAAATTGATTTAATTGCAGAATTGAAATGGAAACAAATATCAGCAAATGATGAAAAAAATCAAAGTTCAAATTCAATAACAAATAGAATTGCGAGTCAAAACCTACTTGAAGCTCCTATGCTTAAAACCAAATCAATAAACTTAAATCAGGATCCAACTCAACAAATCAATCAAATTGTTCAAAATTCCAATATTGATACAGAATCAAAATCAGAATCCAAAAAAAAGATTAGATTTAGAGATGATGTTAAAAATAAAATAGAATTTTTACAATTTATAAAAGAAATAAAAAATCAACAAAATCTAAGTACAAAATTTGAAGACAGAAGTAAATTTTACAATGAGACAGTTGGAACTGAAATTAGAAGTGTTTCTCCTAATGATTCAGAAATGGAAGATTTTTTTATTAGAGATTATCCTACTGAAGTAAATGACGGTTACTGAAGTTAGACTTAATAGTTAGGTCATTTATTATAATGAAATAAATATACATAAAATTTAGATACATTTCAATTTGATAATAAATTCTTAATAAATTCATATTGAAACGTTCAATTCTAATATTATATTGTTAAACTTTCAAAAAATGATGTTTCAAGTTATTTATATAATAAATTATTATTTTAAATAAAAGCTTAAATGTAAATTTTCTTCGAGTACTTAAATGATTTTCTAAAAATTTAATCTGAAATTTTATCTTCACTTCACTATTGAAAACTATTAAAATTTGCTGCTATAGGTTTTAATATTATTTCCAAATTTTTATTATGTTTATTAAAAATATAGCCCAGAAAAAGGCAAAAAGGGTCGCCTCGTAAATATCATTCACACAACTTTAAAAATTTCGTAAAAATTACCGACTCAATAAACGTCGTACAAGAACTAACTCAATAAACATCGGACAATAAATAATAAGAGTTTGAACATTTGAGTGATCATGAGAGTGTTCTGAATATATCCTAAAGAGTATACATGTAAAATTGATTAAAGAATTTTTTATTTTATTCATTTTTTTTGTTGTTTTTTTACCACTTAGTACATTAAGGACTGCCTTAGTTTTGATTTTTTACCCCACGATCGTGGATTCACAATTAAGGTTAATAATCACGTAGAATAAATACATAATCTTTTTAAGAAGCTACTGGAGATCGTTATTATACATCTTTCAGTGTTAGGGTTTTAACAAAAATTTTTAATTAATGGTTATTTGTTAATACAAAATTGAGATTCTTATTTACTAACTTTGTACTATTATTTTTCAAATTATTTTGCAACAATTTTGTGTTTCAATTTCTGATGTAACAAATTGCCTTAATCAAATTTATGAAAAATTAAGCCTAGTTTTATTAATAGGTTTCATCAACGTTTAAAATTGATTAAAAGTGATTTCTAAAAATAGGTTTAAATTTCTAAAAATAGAGATCACACGATAGTTACAATATAAATTTATTTCAAGCCAACTTAATTATAGGCTTTATCAAAATTAATATAGTTTCTAATTATATAATATTCAAGTTTCTATAAATAGGTTTATATTAAATAAATCAAAACTTATCATTATAAAACAAGTAAGTATCATTAACCAATTTTTAATATTTGAGTAGTTAAACCAATTTCTTTTTTTAATTGAGTTTGGTGCTTCATAACAATCATCATAAAAAACATTTGTAATTTTTTCATAATCTTCTTCATCATCATTTGATTCACAATTTTTAATTTGATTTAATTCATAAATAATAAATTGATAAATTAAATAAAATTTAAATGAATAACTAGCCAATTTAAAAAAATAATCAATATCAACAATATTTCTTGGTGTAGGAAATTCAATTTCTTCTTCTTCCTTGAAGTTTATAAATAAAAATGAATTACTTATAAAAAATGGTAAAAAATTATTATTACATTCTTTAATACAATTTAATAAACTGCTATGATTAATGTAGTTGATTCCAAATATTAAAAAAGGTAAAAAAATTTGTAAAATTATAAAAAATTGAATTCTTTGGGAATATATAGTAATGAATTTATAAATTAAATAAATGCATGAACATAACTGTAAATTAAAAAATAATATTTCTAATCCTAAAGTTAAATTATATGATGATTTGGATGATAAATTTTTAAATTTTTTTATAAAATGAATTGGATTAAAATTTAATTGAAATCTTGTAATGAATACCAAGTTTATGAAATTAGATAATATATCAAAATAAAAATCATCTTTTGTTGATGTTTCACTAACTTCAAACTCTCTTGTTGTTTGGTAAGCTATAATTTGATCTATAAATTGATAATATACATATGATAAGATTATAACTGATGATATTATTGGATTATGAATTATATTACAAATATAATTTTGTATAAATTTTATTGATTTATCATATATTGTTATATTAATTGGGGATGATTTTTCTATCGACATTGTGATGAAGTATGTATATGACTTTGATGCAAGTACTTTGTATTAATGAGAACCTAAATTTTTAATGCTATAAAATTTGTAAATATATAAATAAATGAATGTGAGGTATAGTATATCAAGGAAATTATATAATCTAATGATAATATGCTATATATAATTTTTGTGGTATAATGATTTAAGATATAAAATCTAATGAGTGAAATTAAATTCAATGAAAATCTATAAGATGATAAAATAATGAAAAAAGAATGAGTTGTCAAATTTTTGAATATAAGATCTTAAAATTGTAGAAAATCTAAATCTATTTATATAAAATGAGCACACGAGTATACATTTTAATACTTATTTAAAACTAATTATAGATTTACTAACTATTAATTCAAACATGTGGGTTATAATAAAAATTATTGCAAAAAAAAAAAAAACACAATTAAAAAATATATTTAAGTAATTTAACTTAATAAGAAATTATACATTTACCCTTTTAGATTAATCATCACTCACTCAGTATTATGCATTGATAAATCTTTTAAGTATATAATTATGAGAATTGAGACTGAGGAGTCAGAATTTAGTGTTAACTCATCTTTTCCATGATATTTAATCTGAATAATATAGAAATTTCTGTTGTAACATTAGAACCCCTTATAATGTTTTGTAACAGGGAAAAGTTTTATAACTTAAAATTATTCAAGGGTAATAAATTTCTTTTTTTCTAACTATTTCTTTTTAAAAAGTTTGTTGTTGCAAAATTGAAGCAATTGTCAAAAACATTAAACTAAATTTTGATTTAAACTAATTGTATTTCAATTAGTGATTGTTTAAATATTATTTAAACACGATTGTCAAAAAAAGAAGACTAAATTTTATGATAGACTGAAAAAGTACCCAAATATTTGGTAGCACCAGTTTGAGAAACGTGGGTCACCTTGATTAAAAATTTTAGCCTAATTGTACAAAAGGATTTGTTTAGTAACTTCCTTAATTATTATTGTGTACTAAACTTTCTATTTATTAAAATTATTTGATTCTTAAACGCATAGTTCAAAACCAAATAGTTGAAACTAAATAGTTTTAAGGTTTTGATATTTAACACAGTATAAGTTTTAATTTTTAATTCTAAACTTGCAAATTTTATATAAAAAAGCAATAAACAGAATGCAATAATCGGTAATACTTGGGATTCAAGCTTATCATTATTTTATATATCAAAACTTTGAAGCAAGCTAACTCTGGGAACTTCATTAGGTTTGAGTTTTGCACCTCTTTAACAATGATACTATTATAGATCATAGCCAAGCCTTAACTTAGTCTTTTCAAGAAATTTGAAACGATTAAACATAGCTGAACAAGTCATAGTAAACGAACTTTCCTCATATTTTGTTGGAAGATTAACAACTGCTTGATATGCTTTTAATATTTGAAACCAAATTGGTAGCTCAATTTGCAACCTTTCCTCTCATAGACAAACTTAATATATTAATTTTCATACTATTAAAATAACAATCATATATTCTTGTTAATAAACAACTACACTACTAAATAAACATAATTTGTCAATTAAATTTATAAAGCACCTGATTTTTCAATAGTAATTTTTTTAGAAGTAGCACCAGAATTTGAACCAAAACTTTCAATTTTTTTAACAATATCAAATCCATCAGTAACTTCACCAAATACAACATGTTTACCATCTAACCATGAACATGGAACTGTAGTAATGAAAAATTGTGATCCATTAGTGTTTGGTCCTGCATTTGCCATTGATAATAAACCTGGTCTATCATGTTTTTTAGTGAAATTTTCATCAGCAAATTTAGTTCCGTAAATCTAAAAATCAATTGAGTTAGTATAACTTAAGTTTGTCTTTTAATGATTATTTTATGCAATTGGCAATTGAAACATACTGATTTACCACCGGTACCGTTAAAGTTAGTGAAATCACCACCTTGTAACATAAAATTTGGAATAACTCTATGGAAAATTGATCCTTGATAACCAAAACCTTTTTCACCAGTAGCTAAAGCTTTAAAATTTTCAGCAGTTTTTGGTACAACATCATCATATAATTTAAAAGTGATTTTTCCTAATGGTTGACCATCAGCGGCAACGTCGAAATAAACTTGTGACATTTTAAAAATAATTGATTTAATATGAATTGATTCAATTGAGTTGAAAAGCAAGAAGAAAAAGAAAATGAACGTGGTTTTTATATAAATTTTTCAGAACATTTTACGTTATTGTAATTTTTTTTTGTTGGACAAAAAGACTGAGATTTTTAATTTAAAATACATTTCGGACACTACTCTGCCCTGTTTTACAAGTACAAGATCAGACATTTTTTAACCCCATGATATTTTGTTAGCGAAGATTTTACACCCCTTCAATGTACAAGTCAATTTATTCATAAATCATTCCGGCTGAGTAGAATGGCCCGATATGTTTAGTTTATTAGTTATTGGCAACGAATTCAAGACAATTGAAGCAGAGTTGAAATCGGTGAAATAGAAATTAGAGGAGTTAACATAGAATAAAAAGTCTGTCGGAGTAAAATAAAAGTGAAACTTATGATGTAATTAGCGAATAGAATTTTATAGAAGAAAATGTATTACACAGACATTTCTTATCACGTGAGTTTTTTAATGACATTTTTAAATAATTATCGCCAATGTCTTGAACTCAAAAAAACTGACAGTAATCTACTTATATAGCTAAGGTATTAAGTATAATCAGCAATGATGATTTCCAAATTAGCAAAAATACTAGCAAAGATTTTAGGTACTTCATCAAAAGAAAATAACAAAGAAGAGAGATTATTAAAAAATTGGATTTAAAATTGCGATTTGCATCTAATTAGCACCAAGTATATATCGGAAAATAAATAATCACATCCTAAAATACAGCTTATAACCCAATTGTACTTCCACTTATAACTTTGCTACAGTCGTATGGTAACTATATACTCCTTTTCTCTCAGTTTCAATCCTAAAATAGGTAAATTATCTAGTATTTGCATCAATTGGTTATGGTTAAGAAGAACAAAAAACGAATTGACCACAACCTATAAATCAACTCTTTATTCACTTTATGCTTATAACTTTGCAGCAACAGCATCATATCCAGATACTCCAACTTTTCTTTCAGTTTCAACTCCAAAATAAGTATATTTTCTAGAATTTGCATTAATTATAGTAGCATACCTTGAATTTCTTGTAAAACCCCCCACACTATTAGTTAAACCATTTGAAGAACTAAATTGAGTATCACTAGCGAAAACCACTTCAGGAGAATCCTTTTTGAAATCCACATATTCTTTAGTTAATAATTTCCCCCATGCATTTACAACAAATGGATCATTACTTGTTATTACCAAAATAGCTCCAACTCCTTTCGATTTAAGATGATTTAAATTTAATAAATATTCCAAAACATGTTTTTCATGACATAAGGGTGTGAATGCGCCAGGTGCTGATATGAGTAAAATGTTTGGAGTTGATGTGCCGGCATACTTGTTGATTAATTTATCCATATTTAATTTGATTGGTATATCACATTTTAAGGGATCTATTGCTGATGGATTTGATAAATCAATTGGGATATATAGAAAGTTAATACCTTCTGGAAATGTGGAGCCTTCTTTTATCGCCATATTGCTTCTTGATATATGAGAATGAATCGATATGAGATTGTAGAAGATGATTTTCGAAGGTAATCTGTTATCTGATTTGAAAAATTGAAATTCGGCTACAGCCGTTTCAAAATGTGGCACCTACACTACTTTTGATATTCTATACCGAGCATGTAAATATATTGGAAACATCAAAAACAATATAATTAAGGTAATGTTTCTAAACTAAAGAATACTTAGCTTCAAACGGCGAGGACAAAAATCCATACTTAATGTTAGTTCCTGAAAATCAAAAGAAGTATCGATAGGACAAAGAACTAGATAGCTTGAGATTTGGAAAACAATTATTAATTACAAACAATAAAACTATTAACAAAAACATTTACAAAAATTGACTAAGAATTGAATGTTTTGAATAAATGTAAACAAATGGTATCATCAAATTAAAACCTTTCAACTAGTATTTAGTATGAGCAGGTGGAGGACCATCTGGAGCAGAAAATTGTTCATTACCACCAACATCATGTTCAGCTTCTCTACCATAATAACCATTATTTTGTTGACCTCCACCATAACCACCATAACCATCATTACCATATTGTTGATTATTATATCCACCAGTTTGTGAAGTTTGAGGATTTTCTGGTGGAACATATTGTTGTTGTTGATTATTTTGATAATATTGTTGATTATTATCTGGATAATAAACTTGTGATGTTGATCTTCTTCTTCTACAACAAAATAATATTAAAAAGAAGAAAATTGGAATTAATACTAATAACCAAAGTAACCACCTCCATCTATACCATCCACTGTTGTAATTGTTATAATATCCTCCATAATATCTTTTGAATAATTCAAGTACTTCTTTTGTTTCTGAATCTGATGGAACAATCATTTTGACTTGTAGCTGGAAAAAAATTGAGATGAATGTTCTTGATCAAGCTAAAGAAAAAGGTATGAAACTATATCATATTATAGATTATTTGGAATTTCGATGGTTATTTAAACTAAAATTAAATATATAGCAATTTAGTCTTGCACAAAAGAAATAAACATAAAATTATAAATAGTAACACAATTTTATTTAGTTAGCCTAACGTACATAAGGGTTTCTTCTTCCTAAATTTCGAGGAGTTATTTTCGAACATCCAACACTGCTATTCCAAGACTTAAGTTGCTTAGCCGTATATGACTTTTCTCTGGGGTTGTTGTTAAATAGGATTGCTTCAAAAGTTATGATGTCATTAATTTTGTGTTTCGTTTGAACTATCCAAAATCTTTTCTAAATTTAAGAGCTTTAACATTCAACTGAAATTTAGAACAATTTTGAACTATAATTTGGACTATTGTTTAATTTTGTTGTTATTGAGTGAGTTATTGCTAATTAAGGTACAGTACAATTGCTTACGGCTTTATTTTTAGTCTTATAGTTTTACAATTTTTTAGCTTTTCGTAATTCTATTCAATTTGCCATAAATTTTTATTGTGTAATTTAGGAAAAAACCCAATCAACGTCGATTGTAACTCTTTGTATATGTTGTAAAGTCTTACTTCGTTATAAAGTTGATTTTGTTTCAAATATTTGTTTAGTAAACTTCAAAACAATTAAAACTTTTGGGTGCAAAAAAACTGAATATTTAAGGTTTAGTTTTTCATTAACTTTTAAAGCTTTTAAACCGACTGGATAAAAGACGAGACAAGATCTACAAACCACCTAGGGCTTTTTAGAACTGGGTTCAAAAGAGATTTGCAAATTAATCGAGCACAAGACGCGTCTTATAATTTCTTTGAATTAAAATCATAAACAAAAATACGAACAATATTAATACATGGTCGTCAATTGATTTATACAAGATATCATACAAACATTCAAAGTCTGGTTATTTCAATATTTAAACATCAAGTGTTTGTCAATATCAAATGGTAACATATTACAACTCTTTTGGCAGTTCATTGTTGAATTGATAAAAATAATAATTTACGAAATCAAAAATATTTAATAATAAGTTTTGACACAAAATATATTTACTTACAAAAGATAAAAAAAAAGTTTATTTTTTCTTAAATTTAATAAATTATAATTATTATATATTTAATTAGGATAAGTTTTTACAACCATTTTGAATAATAACAAAAGGATATCATTAACTTCAATTAACAACAACTTAACAATTTTTAGCATATGATTTATGACTTCAGATAATCCTTGGAAAGAAGAAACTTCCGAGTTAACCCCCACACAATCACCACAAAAATCTACATTATCAAATACTTCAACAAATTCAAATTCTTCAACTCCTTATAGTTCTAAAAAACCATCAACAACTGGAGGAGAATTACGTCCATTAAGATTAACAAAACAAAGATCATCAACTTCTTCAAATTCTACACCTACATTATCTTCTTTTTCAACTAATAATAATTCACCAAGTAGAAAATCAAGTGTACCAAATAATACCCCAACTGAAGATGGTTTCCAATGTCGGCCCATGAGGCTAGGTTCTCATCGTCAGAACTCAGAAGCTGGTGAATCATTCACGAGAAAAAATTCAGAAACATCATCAATACAACGTAAAAAATCAATCCAAATCAAAAATTTACCAATTAACAAAAGAAATAGTGAAACCAGTGTTCATTCATCAGATCATAAAGATAAATATGATGATATGATTTTTGCAATATGTCTAGTTGATTTTCATCATCAAAGAGGTCCGGAAGTTCAATGGTGGAAATCAAGATATCATCCAGATTACAATCCCGAATTATTTAAAAATATTCCATTCCAAGCATTACCTGATGGCTCTCATTTATTTGAAGAAACATTTCTGAATTTCAATTTAGTTTACGATTTTGATCAAGGTAACTCAATTGATGATTTTGAAGCATTAAATAATTTCAAAGGTGATCCAAGACATCTCAAGACTTTATTTGGTTGTTCATGTGTTCATCAAGTTAAAACTAGTGATTTAAGTACTGAAGAAAAAGAAAGAAATAAAGATATTACAAGATCCATAGTACAAAAAGCAGTTGTTGTTATAGTCAGAAAGCAACCGATTTTCACCAAAATTAAAGAAAAATTATCAATTATCACCAAAAGTTATTTCCTACAAGAAAAATTTAATGATTATGAAGTTTTGGAACACTTATTTGATAATCTAAATAATCAATACAAATTATTAGATAATGAACTACATATAAATGAATTAGGAGAAGAAGAAAACTATATAAATTTGAATCTACGATCATCAATACTAAAATTCAAACAAGATTATATGGTAATTTTCAAAGCTTTACTACTTGAAAAGAAAATTTTAATATATTCAAATAACAACTTGGAAAGTTTAACTCAATTTCAAAACAATTTAATTTCATTAATTCCAAATCTCATTAATAATCTAGATGATTCGGGATGTCCATTAATTGATTATATTGAAACCAACGGCCCATTAAAAAAGCCAGAATCATTGAAACAAAATAGCAGGTCATCGATGTTGAGATTTTTTGGATTACCTTTACAAATATTCAACACAAAAAATTCATTTTGGAACCCCTACTTACCACTACAACAATTGAATGAACTAAAAATTGAAAGTTTTATGGTTGGTTGTTCTAATTTATTATTTGTTAATCAAGCTACATTATTTGGTATAGATTTGTTGATCAATCTAGATACTAATGAAATCTCATACCCAAAATCTATATCACAACCGGACTTTTTTGGATTAAGTAGTCAAGATAAAAAGTTCATGAATAACATTATCAATAATGCTGATTCAAAAGATGACTTTGTTGGAAACGATGATCATATAAGATATCAATTTGAAGATTACATAAATCTGTTAATTTCAACAACAAGATTTAATCAATATCAAGAAAAAATGAATCAACCACCACCTGGTTTCAAAGATGTAAGTGTAGGTCATTTATCAGAATTCAATAAGTCATTTATTGAAAATTGGTCTAAGACTCAAAATTTCAAAATTTGGAATGCAATGGCTGATGAATCTATTTTTGATTTTGTTGATCCAAAACATATTAGTCATTCTTTAATAAATCAACCAGTTTCAATTAATAAAAATATAGCTAATTTTTTTAATAACTTTAAATTTCAAAAATCTACCAGTTCAATTGATGAAGAAAATACTATAAAATCTCATAAATTTATAGAAAAAGAAAATAATTCAAGTGGTGATAATGATGAACAAAATGATACTGTTGATGAATTAGTCGCAGGATTTGAAAAGGTAACTAGCACCACAACCGAAGAAGATAAGAAACCTACTACAAATAATAACGTTGCTAATAATGGTTGGGCAAATTGGGCTTTCAAAAAAAAATAGCTGTTTAAGTAATGATATAATGTAAATAAATTTTTCACTCTACCTACTTTTTTTTGCAACAAAAATAAATTTTTAAGACATCTCTAAAAACCACAACCAAAAATGAAACATCCATTTCAAATACTACTAGCCAACGAATTAGGAACTCATCTATATGCAGCAGTAAAAAACCACATTATAGTATATAACTTAAGCACAGGATCTCAATTGGGTCATTGGTTTGATGAACAACAATCTCAACATATAAATGATCAACAAATACGTAAAACTGGTAAAACACTTACAGCAAAATCCAAAATATTAAATCACATTAAATGTTTATCCATTACAAAAGATGAGAAATACTTAATTGCATCAACGGATTCAGATAAATCAATATTAATTTTTGAATTAAATTTCATAAACCAAAAAAATTGTCTAAAATTATCAAAAAGACAACCGATGCCCAAAAGACCAAGTTCAATAACAACAACAACCAACGAAGTAATAGTAGCTGATAAATTCGGAGATGTTTACTCAATACCTATTGATTCAAATGAACCAAAATTAGAAAAAAATTTACAACCTTTATTGGGACACGTTAGTATGTTAACTGATGTATTAGTCACATCACATAATAATAAACAATTCCTTATTACTAGTGATAGAGATGAACATATAAGAATTTCCAATTACCCTAAATCATACGTCATAAGAAATTTTTTATTAAGTCATGAAAATTATATATCAAGTTTAAGTCTTATTAAAGGTACTGATTATTTAATAAGTGGAGGAGGTGATGATTATATTTTAGTTTGGAATTGGGTTACTGGAGAACTTATAACAAAATTTGATATTAAATCTGAAGTAGCATCATACTTAACGGATGATCATTTCGTACCTGAGAAATTTAGAATTGATGAAAGAACTACTGAAATCAACATAAGCAAAATATCAAATATGAAAAAAGGTAACAAAACACTAGTTCTAGTATTAGTTGAAAAATTATCAGTTTTAGTAATCTTGGAATTTGACGGAAAAGAACTCAAGTCAAGCCAAACTATACATGCTTATTCACCATTAATAACATTCACTAATTCTAAAGACAAGGTTATCGTGTCAATAGACCCAAAAGATCTGGAAGAATCGGAAGACCTAAATTATATTTACTTTGAGATTTACAAGTTTAACAAAGAAAATGAACTACTTCCTGATAATGACTCACTGCATGTTGTACGGAAAATTGAATCACATTTTCCTGTTGAAGTTAAAAATAGAGAAGAATTTGCTGAATTATACCCTGTTTCTGCTTTAAGAAAAAGAAGTGAACATTAACTTGGGATCAATTATCAATCATGAATAGATTTTTAATGTATTAGGAATCCGAATAAGTCAAATTTGTAGCTTGTTAAATACTCTTGCATACTGTTGGGTATCACTTGGTACTGTATACTATCACAGACCAAACTCTAAATTTATATACAAGAGTATTGGTGCAAAAAACAAAAATTATATCAAAGATTGCAAAATAATTTTGATCGAGCTACATTCATTAGACTACTCTTACTTTTAAAAGCAAAGTAAAAAAATGGTATAGTCAGTATAGGATGTATAATATCAAAAACATCAAAAGAGATAACTTGAGAGAGAAAGGACTCAATTGAAAAGTTTCGTATACGCAAATTATAAGTTTTTGGTGCCAAATTTGAGAAAGAAATTGGAACAAAATGAATAAAAAAATACTACCTAACCTTTGATACTCTTAGCAAAATCTAAATTGTTTAATGCTGATGTCTCTATTCTAGAATTTTCATTTATGCTTACATTACCATCAAAATTCTCAAGGTGGGTTTGCTAAGTATAATCTTCCTCTATTAAGTTAGTTTCAATTGAGGATAAAAACCAGCTTACGATACTCGAAAGAGATTTTAACTTGACTAATCTGTCCTTTAATGATACGAGGGCAATGATGAATGTCAAATAAGTCGACTGAAATCTCCTGCTTTTTGCTAAGAAAAAATTGGAGAATTTTGCCAAATGACGGCGAAGCACACACTCTATTCCCAGGAAGCAAAGTAAAGTACTCGAAACAGCCCTTTTTATTGCTTCATTGGATTCATCTAGCTAACTTCTCTCTGAATATGCGGGAAATGGTTCATGTGACAATTTGGTTGGCGAGATATCTAACAAAACAGCTTTCTCGCTCAAACGAGCACTTACAGCTCTTTAAATAATCTTAAAAGAAAGATCCTGCTTCGTCAAGCTCATTGTTTTGTTGAATACATCGCTAACACCTTTATTTGTGGAGATATTGACATTTTAAAATTCATGTCTCAAGAAATTACACAAAGTCGAGGTGAGTTGTTACACAAAAATAAAAGTACCAATTATGCTAATTTTAAAGAATGGCTGTAAACATTTGGTTCATCTGACTAAGATGAGCTACTTTTCAGCTTCACAGTGGCTGTGGTTGTTGAGTTATTTGCATTTGGAAATTTTAACATCCGTACCTCAAAAACGCGGAGTTATACATCCGCTCACGTGCTCCAATACTCAAGTACTAAAATCTTAGAATTGAATGTTAATACATGCAATAATGAATTAAATGGATCTCTGAATCTAATTTTGTATTAATAAATAAATAACCAAATAAATACATGAATAAATAAAGTAATAAATAAGTTAATAAATAAATAAACCAAAACAAAAACAAATCTATAAGAAATAAGAATTTAAATATTTCTTAAAAGCTTTACTAACAAAATCATTATTTTGTAAAACAAATGATTTATCATTTTTGAACAACCAAACACTAATCATCCCTAATATTCCAACAGTGTTTAAAACAACAAGACCAATTCTTTTCCAATTTTTTGAATATAATGAATTTAATTTTAAAATTCCATTTGTTACATGATAACTTACTACCCATACTAATCCACTTAGACAAATTTGATTCAAAATAGGATTTTTCAAATTGAGAACATATTTTATATAATCTAAATTTATTAATGACGAGTCTCCTTCAATTGATAATGGTATATATCTAAATTTATAAAAATGATACAATAAAAATGGAATTGCTAAATATCCTGAGAATTGTAATGGTGTTAGATTAGAATATTTTGTAGTGAATGATTTCTTATAACCTAATCCAAAAATTGAAGATATTCCACCTAATCCTATTTCATCATCATTTTCTCTTAGACTTAAATTACTATTGTTGATTTTAATAATATTTTCTGAATTTTTAATTGCATGTTTGTGTGAACCTTGACCTCTTTTGTAATTTTTAACAATCCTTAACGCTATTCCAGATACAACATGAGTTAATGAAGAACCAATAATAACCAAAGATTCATAAAATGGAATATCATGATAAATAGCTTTTGTAATTGAAAATACTTCATCTTTTAATTCAGGTTTTATTGGTAAAATTGGAACCACTATGACTGATGTTAAATGTATACCTATAAATGATAAAAATGAATATGCACTATATTTTTGAATCTTGTATAATACTGGAATTAACCATTTTGAAGTTGATTTTTTGGGTTTCTTGTTTGAGTCTGTTGATTGATTATCTTCCTCTAAAACATATATGGGACTCGGTTGAACTTTATGTAGTTCCTCTATTGATGACACCGATGGTGATAAGTAGGACATTGATGACTTGAGTCAATTGACTAAGAAGCTTTATTTTATATTATGGAATTTTAAGGCTTGTGATATTCTTTTCATTAAGTCATAAGAAGTGATAAAAAAAAGTACAAAATAAAATCGATCTGATCATACAAAATCAAACTTATCTTGTATCATCAATTACTTCAACTAATTCAACCCTTACAACGACATCATATACTCAATGTCATCATCATCCTTTTCACAAATTAGATCACAAGCATTAAATCTAGAAAATCAAACAGAATCATTATTATCAAAATATTCACAATACATTCAACAATTATCCCAATCATTAGAAAGTTCAACGGAAGAAAATCAAATAAAACAACAAATAAATGATTTATTAACTAAAAGAGATACATTATTACAAAAATTAAATAGAATAAGTGAATCATCAACTCAAGAATTGTCCACATCGAAAATCCAACAAATTCAAAGACATTCACAAATCTTAAAAGATAATCGAATATCATTTAATAAGATAGATCAAACCATTCAAGAAGAAAGAAATCGAAACAATTTATTATTTTCAATTCAATCAGATATAACTAATCATAAAAGAAGAAATTTACCAGAAGAACAACAAGAAATAGATCCAGATTCTTATATTCTAGAAGAAAGTCAAAGATCAGATAATTTAAATTCTATAGCAAATAGATTATTACAGGGAGCTTATTCAACAAGAGATGAATTAATTAATCAAAGAAATATATTGAGTAATTCAAATTTAAATATAATGAGTAATATTCAATCAATACCTGGTATTAATGTTTTGATATCAAAAATTAATTCAAGAAAGAAAAGAGATACTCTAATTTTAGCTGTTATTATTGCTGTTTGTATATTGTTATTGTTTTTTGTTTAAGAATATCATTTCATCGATATAAGTGGTATTAGGAGTTTAAATAAAAAGGTTATTGATCGATTCAGTATTGATGCTTTACTTTGGCGCATTGATGTAGAGAATAGTTTTTCTATCATTAAACTATTCTATCATTACACCTTGAGCTTTAAGTTTGAATACTTCACCAAATTTTTAAATAAAAACAATTCTCATCTGGTGCCTTAAGAGTTGTGAATGAGAGATAATTTTCAAACATTTCATTTGATTCCTTTGAACATGTCACTAATTATGCCCTTCACGGAACCTAAAGCTCACTTCAACCAGTATACGGATGGCAATTACTCAATTTGAAACCAACCTATAAGTTTATTTCAGTTTGGAGTTGAACCTAATGTATCGGGTCTGATGAAGTTACCTCTTGCCGTTTTTGAGATGACCAACACATTGTCCAATACTATCATATTTCACATCAATAGCTTAGACCATATCAAATAATCCAATACTATCACATTACAGATCAGTTTCTGCTGCTTCTACCAACTGACCAAAATCAATACATTCAACATCAATGCTTGCTGCTTCAACAGCCAAGACATGCTTATACAGTCCTACCCAATCAAATACTCCTGATTCAACTTCAAATAACTCACCAACAATTACTGCTGCTTAATGTGCTGCCACTTTACAAATTTTAACAATTTCAAAATCAACCCGTAGCTTATTAGTGAATAATGGATTATAAATGTATAAAATACAATTAATCCTTAAGAACAAAGTAGTGTGAATTTGAACAAGATTGAAATTGAATTAAAAATTGTAAACCTGAAAAAGAGCTTTTGGATAGAGTTAATGTTAAGAGCTTGGAAAAGTTGATTCTAATGGGAGTATTGGTCTGATTTATTTTTGATGTTTTTATTGTTTTGTATGTCGTATTAATTTAACGAATTTTGCTCTTTGTGAATACTAGCTTATCAGAGTCATGTAAGTGAATCATTTTTTATAATTAACATTGAGTTCTATTACAGAATAAGTCTTGCTCTTAGATATACTATATGAAGAATAGATAATAAAATAAATTGTATAATAATTTAACTATAAATTAAGTTGATTATAATGATTGTTTGATGTAAGAATATATTTTAACTGTTGTTATAATAACAAATGATTTAACGCGCTAAATTTGAGGACTACTAAACTTATATTTACATATTAAGATTTTTTGAACGTCAAAGATAAGACTTATTTTACATCAAATCATTAACAAAAGTAATTTCAAGTCAAGTCATTTGTTCTATTAATTGCCATTTAAGATCGAATGTTTTTTAAAAAACTAAACATCACCGGATAATGACATAAAATAATGCAGAATTAGGGTTCGATCAACTATTTAAATTATATCCAGCAAAATCATTTCGTTTAATTTTAGACGTGTCAATAATCAACTCATTTTTAATTAATTCACGTCAAATATGGTTATCAAATTTAAGGATATTAACTCCTAGTTTTTGTTGAAGCGCTTTAACTTTCAAATTAGATTTCCCTCATCTTTAAGATTTAAGAATTTTCAATCAGATCTAATCGATTAAATTTGCCATTTTACAAGTCATTATTTATTTTTTAAAACTTTGAAGTGGCGCTTCTTGTTTTTATTGCAAATTACATCAGTTTCAGACAAATGGAATGAGTTGATAAAGTGATAGAATAAAGCAACAGCTTACCAATGAATATTTCGAAATTTCCAATTATCCGAAGTTAAAACCGCAATCAGGTTATGACATGGCAAAAACATAAAGACATTTTTAAAGTTGTTGTGAGGCAATGATACAGATATTAATTTAAGTTGTATTAATAACAGATTGTAATAACGTATCAAAAGCAGAAGAGTATACGTCTTGGATCAATTTATTTCAAAATCATATGTCCTCTTTTTAACAGCAGGTTCATGTACTTCAAATATGAAACTGGAGATTATATGGTAGAATAATTACTAATATGAATTTGCATGAAATTTAGGTACGGAAATCATTATTTGTTTTTGGGAACTTAGCAGAATTAGTTGAAGATATAAGACATAGACAATTCTTGGATGGAGTTACAATCCCAAAAAACGTTAAAAAAATTATTTTCAGTTATAAATGAAGGACAATTTAGCAATCCAGAAGATTTCAACCCATTAATTGACTCCATAAAGTACCAAGGGGATTATTTTGTTGTAAGTGGTGAATTTAATTTATTTTTAGATGCTCACAAAAAGTTAGAAAATGTATTTGGTCACCATGAAGGTGATTCAGAAGATGTTAATTATTTACATAAAGGGGCGAAAAAATATGTTTGAAGTGTTGCTAACATGGGGTTTTTTTTTCAAGTGATCGTTGCATTGATGAATGTGCAGAAAATAATTGGAATGATGAACCTTCAAATTATTAGATTGTTAAATTTTGAGTTCTTTGTAAGTGGGTTCATCTACATTTATACAATTCTAGATGAGAACATAATATGAAAGTACAGTTGATAAACAATATTGAGTTTAAGTCAGAATGCAATTGTTGAAGTCTCGAAAGTCAATTAGAAGACGAAGTTGGTGCATACCTGGGATATTTAGAAACCAATGGTTCTCACAGATATATACTTAAAAAGTATTTGCAACATACGGGGAAATGATGATCTTTTGATTTTAGTTGACACATTTAAGTTGCAAATCCTGATAGGGACCGCTACCAACCCACTACAATACTTCAAATCTGCATTCCAAATTTATTTGTGGTTATTTAGGGTCTGACTTTGCATCAATTGAGATACACAATAACGATCCACAATAATGATCCACATGTTAAAGTTGAAGATAGCATTACAAAATAACAAAAATCACCAAATATAAATTCCCAAGATTTTCCCAAAAAGATTTCAAAATTTATGTCACTTTTTTTTTACTTCTTTTTCACTAACAATAAATTCAACCTTTTATCAACCTCACAACATACTTCTTCTGATTGTGAGTTCAAAGTTTATAAATTCAATTCACTTTATTGTTAATTAACTCAATTTTTTTTCGATTACTTATTAATCATGTCCATTTTCAAACACATTTCATTATTCCACCACTCAAAAAAATCAACTAAACCATCATCACCAGAATCATCATCAATTAAAGAATCATCACCAAGATCATCATCAACTGATAAAAAACACCGTAATATTTTCAAAAAAATATTCAAATTAAATAAAAGATCAAAGAAAGCACCAACACCACCACAACAACAACAACATAATTTAGTTCAATCAACTGCACAACAACAACAACAACAACAACAACAACAACA